CCTGCAATCCTCCTTGTAGTTTGCAACAAATTTCTCCTTAAACTCTTTAATATTCTCCCCTCAAATTCTTCTGCGCATATATCTCTATTCTAATTAGGTAATTTATTTTGCTCTTATTTTTGAGTGGGCGGGGTTTCAACCAGGGCTGCTCTACCAACCAATCAATATTAACTCTCACGTTTAGTACTTAAAGCTCTTCTTGAGTTCTATTCAAACGTAATGTCTCTGTTCACCACAAACTTCTGTCATTTGGCTATTGAGCGTTGGTCTCTTTTTTATGTTCGCCCCATTTTCTTTTCAAGCTGTTCTCAAGATCTCCTTTTAAGTTCTTTTCCGATTCATATCAACCTTCCCTCTGAAATTCTCTTTTAAGCGCCCTTTAAGTTCAAATCAAATTGTCCTCTTACGTTCACGACTCAAGCTGCCTCAAATTGCTTGTGCTAATCAAGTTACTCACCGATAATTACTAGTACAAGTTTTTCGCAAGCCCCCAAGAGCAATTCGCTTCATGTTTCCCTCTAGTTATCCTCAAATTAGTAAGCATTCTAAAGTCCAAGTTTATTTTGCTTTATACTTCCGCTACGCTTCTCACAATTTACTCGTAAGCTAACCTCAAGTTCCTCTTCAGCTTTTTTAAAAAGAGCCATGAATTATTTTTAAGATTTCATCAAGTTTCTTTAGTACTTCCATTTCTTCAAGTCCCTCACTTGTTCCTCTCCTTCATTTCTTCATAAGCCGTTCTGCAGTGCCTCTTTAGTGTTTCGTTGATTCCCATCACATTCATCAGCAAAATCCATAAAGTTTGCAATGCGTTTTACATTTTTACATTAAGTAATGGGAATGGTGGAACACCACCCTATGCTACTTCAGGTTCCAGTTTAGTCGATATCTACACCAGGTAGGCAATTTAATTGTTAATGATCTAAACCATTTCAAAGATCTATAAACAATTAGAACGTCGTCTGTGCTCGTATGGGGTATTTTTAAAGTGCTATTCATCAGCGAACGAATAAAATAAACAAAGTAACCGGCACTTCATTAGGTAATTATTTAAATTACCTGCAATGCCAACCTACACGAACTAGAACCAGTTAAAATCTTCCGAAATAGCTCTCAATGATCATTTTACCTACATCGAGTTTAATCTCAAAAATAGAAACATCCTGTAAATATTATCTCACCGAAATAGAGACCGTTATGTAAATACACCATCGCTTGATTAATATAATAGAAACCGTGCTGGCGGCGACGGCTCCCAAAAAGAAAAGCGATCGGTTTGGTGCACGTGGTTATCTTCGATGAGACAATATAGCACTTTTAATACAAAGTGGAGTATCAACTACCGGATGCTTCCTATCATCGCATTTGGTTAAGCTTTTTATATCGGTGTGATGTATGCACGTTGCATTAGAGACCATGCATGCTCTGTTTAAATAGAACGTAACAGAGCAAATTGGGCACTTAAGCACCTCATCTAAATGCATAACATCATGCATCTATGTCAGTTCTCGTCTTTATTTTAAATCATAATCTGTGCTCACTTAAAACTGGCATGGTTTGTTTATTTGTAAACGTGGTGGGCACTTTTAATTGTGAGATAACTAATATTGATTTCCCATCATTCTGAAGCCACAACGGAAATGCTATTTTTGAAGCATGGACTCAAAACTCTGTCACTAACTACTCGCTTAGAATGTTTTTTTTTTTGGAACTACATATAACGATAATTGAACAGCAACGAAAGGGGTAGATACTGATATCGTTTGCGATAAGACGAGGAGCGATTCCGCATAAAACACGTGCAAAATAAATCAATTTGTTTTATTTTATAGCAGATGTTAACCTGACATTTTAATAGGTTTCTCTTTAGCACTAATAGTGGTTAAAGTGATCTCTTTATCCGCAAGGGTAGATAAAGTGAAACAAAAGATAGTGCATTCTAATCACATCTGTCATTAAGAATAGGACGCGGTGCACGGAATAAAATGAAGTTCAGAACAGATAACAATACCGTTGGCATGGAAACGATGGAAGAACCCAAGTCTGCTGTTTTGACGTCTTAAATTCATAATTTCTTGAAGTTTTATATTGATTTCTGGTAATAAAATAAAGTTTTGAGTTATACACGAGAATAAAGGGAAACTAACCATCTTTAACTCGATGGTTGAAACATCCCATTATCGTATTAGAGCTTGAAATATATTTTCAGCAAGTGCTCCTTTTGGGTCGGTAGACCCTAGAGCTATATCACTTTCAGATAGCGCTTCCAGCCAGCTTAAAAATTTAAATTTATCTTAACAGTAGTTTCCAAAAGCAAGCAGTATGTGTGTCAAACCTCGCTCCAACTAGTGGCATAGTTTCAAAAGTTGTCGCGGGGTGGGGGTGGGAGTGGGGGTGGAGAGGGATCAATTTTTCTCGGTACTACCATTTTGGATTTTGAAATGAAATTTTGAAATTTGCACTAGGGGAATGCTACTCTAAGCTAACCTGGAAATTTAGCATTCTAAATATTTTTTTGCAACTAAATTGTTCAGTGAAAAAACTACAAAAGTTGAGAAAAAATGAAGAATGAGAGAAACTTTTGCAAATACTACGCGAATATCTGGAAATTATTTGCGTAGTATTTGTAAAAGTTTATCTCATGTTTTTCTCCGGTCGTAGATAAGAAATTTTTTTATCGCTGCAAAGTTTATTAGTTTCAAGATAAGGTTGTATATTATCGCCGGTTAGAAAAGACAGGTGCAGTTAAATTACGACCCAGATAAGAGTTCTTAAGTTAAACAATGCTATTTCGCCCCTAGAATTTCATCGAAAATTTATTAATTAATTCTTTGGAATTTTAGAGGCAGTTAAGACTGCTGAATTTTCTCAAAATAAAAAATTACGTCAATATCGAGATTTTCGTAATGGCAGAAATGGACGTGCCCTAGAAAGATTATACTTTGTTGTTTTTTATTTTGTTACTGTACCACTTCTCGGTGGTTTAGCGACCGTTTGTCAATTGCCATTGCACATAGTAGGTGTTGTTATTAGCGACTATGAAAATTTATAAAGGACAATGTTTCACAATGTAACTTAAGGCTCTTAAACCTCTTCACATTACTATCAAGCTTTGCTGGAAAAAGGGAATTTTCCTTTCCAAAAAGCATTTGACAATACCTATGGAACAATCCTTTTATATTTATTATTTGTAAACAATTGCCCTTTGTTTTGTTTCATGAGTCTCCGGAATTCAGGAAATGCGAAACACATCCGCTTTACTTAAAGAATGACAATGATGCTCTTCCATCCACTAAAATCCCTTCTCCCTCTCTGAGCTGTCGCGCGGCGAGGGATCTAGTATGCATTCTTCCGCCCCACCTTACTTTAATTCAGTCTTCGCCCTGATCTCGCACCTATTGTCCAACTTCGGCCCGGTGTTCCGGTTTCTTAGCTCTCGTACCTGAAAATCGGCAATCGGGCACCCATCTTGGGCTATCGAGCACAGCGGTATCTGTCCCGCAAAACTATAGATATTCGTATCGTGGCAAATTGGGCTATCCTCTAGATCCCACATCAGCGAAAAATATACAAAAGTTTATTTCTGTAATCTTGCTACTAGTCTTGTCTAGTGCAGCCAAATACTCGGTTAAAATCAAATCCGGATTATTAACACGAGTAAATGAGACCAAAAACTCTCTCAGACAGAGAAGTGCACGTTCTGCGTTTACCGGAAACGAATTTAATGTGCACGAATAAAAGACTGCTTAAGAAATGTTATAACTAAGGTTTTTATTTTATTCGAAAATTTATGCAAAATTAAAATAAAAAAACCACAACTGCATCGCCATTGAAGAAACTCATAATTTTAATTAAGTGTGCAGTAAATGCATTAACATTATTTGTTATATAAGCACACCGATTATTTAAAAAATTGCTTCATAAATAACGGAGGTAATCGACCGTTCCGGAACTTTTTACTTACCCTGTATAATTCAATTCGTTTGACTTGCGGTTTAAAATTTAAGAGGTACGTTAAAGTATTTCTTTAAATTAAAAATGTTAGTCAAATTGTATTTTATTTTATGTTGTAGGTACCTATGTGTTGGTCATATCTTATTTATAGAATATTAAAACAATTTTTGAAACCATAAACGTTAACATCCGTGCAATAAAAAAACATCATGTAATTTAAGAATACGTACCGCATGTTACGGTAATACTAGGTCAGTGTTGTCTAATTACCATGTCAAGGGTACCTAGAGTCCTATAACTTTAAAATCCTTCTTATGATAGACAAATTAATCTGTTGCAAGAGGTCAACGAGCGTAATTTGTTTCCACTTTGGTAAGACCTTTGAGCGACTAAAGGAAAGTCCTGTTGCAATCGATTGATTTGTGCGTAGTGAAAACGGTGCAAGTGCAGTAATAAATTTACCATTAGTTTAAGTGCAACTTCTACTTCCTGCCATTGTTTCCACTATGATAATTAACAGGAGTGTTTCGTTTAAAATAATGAAACCATTTAGGTATCATATACAATACCTATACATACAAGAGACGGCTTTAAAATTAACATTTTATTTGCCATCAATTATTGGTGAAAACTGCATTCTGCACTGAAACACCATGTAGATAGACAACATTAATTGTAACAGAGCATTGGCGCGTCTAGCTTAAATAATCATCTCAACTATCTCAAATACCTATAACGTTATGTTTTATTATTGTCTGTGTGGTTCTGGATGTATTAAAATAAATGTACATAATAATTAGTTTATAGAGAAGAATCACTAACGGGTGTTGGAGGTGATTTAAATTAATGTACTGAACTTGTTAATAAAACATCTTTTACCTGCTTTCTCGAAACTGAAGCGAAGAAAAAAGTACCTATACTCAAACGATATAGTGTAGTTCTTCCCAGCAAAAACAATGAGGATATCTATTCAACTATCAATTCAAGTTTCCCCATTTGAAAATGTAAAACAACGTTATTCTTATTCATAAAATTATTTGTTTCAGAAAAAGATGCAACAACATGAGCGAGATATTTGGAGACATTGTCCACTTTAGGATATGAGCTTGAGTAAGGAATTTCAGAAGTGAAAGATAAATGAGTAAATGTTTCTAAAAATATAGATTTGAGAAAATTAGAGGTACCTTGTAGTTATTTACATTACAATGACACGCGTATAAATTTAGCTTTTTCAAATGCATGTACACGGATTTTTTTAATTAAATGAAAAGATCTCAACTGAAACCTAGATGCTTGAAGTTACAAGGATTTTTGCTAAATAGATTTTGCATACAATAACCAACGTCCACGACTATCTACTGAAATGAAATCCCTCGGCTTTACGAAAACGTTCACTCAAAGTTTATTATCTAGCGAGTGTGAGAAGTTACGTTTTAGTCAATTATTGTCTATTTATTTATCAGTTACCAGTACTTTCACCTTCTCACAATAATTGACCTACTTACTGTCGTCCACTTTAGAATTGCGTTTAAAAACACAATGGGAAATGTAGGAAATTTCATTTTGTCGTGACTCGTTTCTGTAGTTACTGATCTGAACAATTTCCAGGAAGTGGAGGCAGATGATTGGGCGATTATATGAATCCTAAACGTTTGTAACAAATTATAGGTACATTATATTAGAAATCGGACTTTGGTATATATCGGAAGTAACTAAGATGTATTTAGTAGGTAGGTACCTACATTTGCCGAAAGTGTAAGGTTAGCTGAGTGCGTTAGATCACAGAATAAGACCGTTAGATTCATACATTTTATGGCTGTCATTAGGAATTTAAAATCGTAATCTTGGACTAAAATTCCAGTACTTTTATCCTTTGGCATAATTTTTGGGATATGCATAGATTCGCTGACAATTTAAACTTAAATGAATTCAAATTCCAGCCTCATTTATGTAAATCAATACAAGAGGGTGACAATTTCTCGAATTTATCCAAAACCAACATACGAAAAGCTCGGTAAAGAAATGTCCGCGCTGAGCCGAGGTTACCTACTGATTTGTACCATAAACTATGTCGTTATGATGTCCTTTATGGATCACTTCGCTGTAGGTACATTCAGTTACAAAATATTTCTTTATGGAAGTAGTGCCATTACGACAATCTGATTGTGATAACGAACAGAATGAACGTTCGAAAACTGAATATCCTTACATATAAAAATATGAAAATAGGTCGTCTCTGAGACGGCGATAAAAGTGGAGACTATAACCTACTCACATTGAGGACTTTTACACAATATAGAATGGCGGTACTCGCTATATAACCGAGACAAACAAAAGGAATTGCTAATCGATTGCCATTTTATAAGTTAGTCTGAAATTAGTTGCAGGGACATGTTAAGTTATCGCTCTTGTTGTGTGACCGGCCAGCCACTCCACTCCAAGCTCACAAATTATAGAATCATTGTAAAAAAATGCCCCGAACAGGTTTCGACCTTGGGACAATGAATTTATTGGTCCCAGATTGTTTTTATAGGCGATATTAAAGTGGCAGTACTGGATTCTATAAATGATTTTTTGTTAAAGTATTTGTTTACATTAAATATGATTTGGTTCTATCACATAAGTGTAATACTTAATCCTGTACTGTCTTGTTCGTTTAAAGTGGATTAATAAATATATTTTCATTTTCAAATTTTCATTTTTCAATTTCGTATAAGTTAACCGCATTTTCGTAAATCTCGGAGGAAAACTTGTTTATCTAGGAAAAACGAAAAATTGCAATGCATTCGTGAGCTGTATACCATAACCATATACATCTTGTTTTGTGGTTTACAGTCATTTGTAAGGGCGAGTACTGTAAATTATTTTTAGGCGCCAAACAGAAAATATTTCTAGCTTCTAGACGGCTTAACTAGTGCAGACGGCATATACATACATCATTTATTAAAATTGGTTTTTTACTGCAGTCAACATTTACGTACATAAAAAAAATAGGAGTACGGCCTGAAGTTGGAAAAGGAGGACCCCTGAGATCTTGTTTAACTGTCCGTCCACGTTTTCATTTGTTCCCTCCTAGGGGAATTTGTTGTCAATGACTCTGAACACATTCACCTGTCAGGGAAGACTATTTTATGCAATAAATGTGGGAGACTGCAAAGCTTTCGAACAATTCAAACCTCTGCCTCCTCTGAGATTTTGGTAAAACTTCTTCACTTGTATAGAAGCTATCAATGTTATTCATCTTCTTATATTAAAAACCGAAAGCTCCAAGCATAGGGAAAGATTTGGCTTTTAAGCAAGGAATATTTAAACGTTCTGGGTTCTCCTTTTAAATTATAAAAGCGTAGAAGCGTTATGTAAGTTATTATCGCATTTTTCGATGGGAAAACGTACGAACGTCCACAGTGCGTGAATTAATAGGACTTGAAAGGTATGCATTATGTAGTATACACAGAGTGTCCATTTTTCGAATACCACTATGGAGATCTCACTTATCTCAAGAGGTAGAAAGTTGATTTAATAAGGGAAAAGTTGAGAATTTTCGTGCTGAATAATAAAAGAAATTTAAAATATCTTCAATAGTTTTGCAAGCATCTAAAAAAATCTGGCAGCTGAGCCAAGAATGATATTGACGATTAATTTGCGCATGCGTAACCTGCGCAATGTTAACTCGCTTATTTATAGAGATATTTTTTGGAATTTTAACCATGGATGCTTTTAGTAAAGACAAGCATATCGCAAACTGTGAAAACTATTACGTAATCTACTGGCAAATAAGTTGTACGATTATACGTAATTTTCAAAGCGCAGTCACCATTATTTATGAAATCAGAACATTACAATTTTTAATGATTTGCACAATCGCGACTTTTTTAACTAAATGTATTTCAGTTGTGAGGAAAGTGTCTATAGAATATATGTACCAAATTCGATGTGGCAACAGTTTAGCCATAATATGGAAAAATGTCAAAAATTGACAGTTTCTTGTTACATTTTAACATACTTGCGCATGCGCGATTCCACCCAAAAGCTTTTCAGTTCTTTCTTTTATGTCGAAGAATATATGTGCCAAATTTGGTTCCAATCGGTTCAGCCGTTTAGCCGGAAGTGAGAATACAGACAGGCAGGCAGACTAACAGACCGACATTGTCGAGATTTTGTTTGATTCGGATTCATGGTGCCTCGAAACGTGTAGTTCTGGCAATAAAGTGAGGGGGGGGAGGGTCATTTTTTACCCAAAGGCAGTACCTCCTTACTAACGTGCGGGTAGTAAAAATTATATGTGCGCATGCGCAGATTACGCAATGTCAACTTTCTTATTTATAGACATATTTTAACCAAAGATTCTTCTAGTAAACATATCTCATATTTTAAACATCAGGTGGAAATGCAAAGCTTTTCATTTATAAGAATCAAACATTTTTTTCTCTACAACATGGTGGTTCAGTACCTATCACATTTTTCTTAAAAATAAAATTGCTTTTTTTGCGAAGAGTGCTGTGGAAAAACAAAACGTTATTTTGTTGTAAACAAATGTTTGACAGTTTGATCTTATTTCAGGTACCTATTGTCATTTACATTTGTAGTTTTATTGCGAAAATGCAATTTTCAGGTGCAGAACAAAGAGATACTACTAGAGGTTTACTAACCTTCGCATCGAAACGCCCACATGACTGTTGCAGCGCATATTTGGACCATTATTTATGTAGTAATAATAATAATAATACTCTTTATTATTACCTCCAGATCTACAACAACCTAGTTTGAGGTACTTTTGTCTGCTGCATAAAAACTTGGGAGAATATGGTTCGTTTATAAAATGTAGGCGATAGACCCAATGAATATAAACCAATTTCGTAATTTTTTTTTCGTATTTTTTCGCGAACCCATATATTTTGTTTTGCTGAAGGAATTTAGATACTCGAATACCTCAGAAAGAAAAGCCAATTTTAAAAGAAATCCAGGGTCGCACATCAAATGTTCAGAACGCAGTTTAAAAATAACACTATACATACATTTGGATTCTGCTTGATTGTAGTAGGGCCTATCGTAAAGAGTTTAGCACAAATTCTAAAAGAAATTCCTTCAATGAGATCCAGATCAGAGCAAATTTTATCTTATTAGTCAATGTGATTAAAGGCAATCAAATAAATAAAAATAAATAAATAAATAAATTTGGCGAAAACGGCCGGGACTTATTTTAGAATATTTTCTGTGTGAGTTACGCTGTGTATTTATTTACGCAATAAACTCTGCAGAATTTGTTCACAAAAATAGTACCAACTGAATGTCGAAGTTTACTGACTATCGTTTGAATAAACAATTAATGGCAGAAATGTCACAGACCACCTTTGTATGTATCAGTAGAGAAAGATATTCATTTTCTAACGTAATGGCCAAGTTTTGAGGTTCAATTTTTAATGTTATGTGCGGGTATTTTCTAAATTGAGTGGATTGTAGGATGTAACTAAGCTGTTGAAAGCACCATAATAATTAATAATCCTTACATCAAGTCGTTAAGCAATTTCAGCCTCTGAGCTGCATCTAAAACAACTTTAATTAATTAATTTAATAGGCATAGTAATGATAGATTAAGTAATTTGCACAAGGTGAAGGTTAGATTATATTAATTATCAAAGCTTAAGTGTAGCTCTTATGTTATGTCATTTAATTAGACCACAAATTGAGACTATTCATCAGTGCATGTAACCTTCACCCATGCTTGACTTTGACACCTATACATGCTCTCAAATTTGATGTTCTTAAAAATTAACAATTATCCTCTTTAAATTTCATGCTCAGATTTGTTGTTGGCGTACAATCAAATGATAATTATTCCTTTTAATCCTTCGAAAAATAAAACTTTGTGTAATCATAATCAAACAAAAAATGTCTGGTTAGTTTTTCAGTTCAGCACTAAAAATTTACTTTTGGATAAAAAGGCGGCAACTTCTGTACCATTTACAAAGCCCAGACCTTAATATAAGTAACTTCAGAAAGGGGATTATCTCAAAAAGTCAAATATCTCTTTGGGATGAGTTTATTGACGTGGTTTTGTATGTATTTTTAAAAGACTTCAAACGTTCCTACCTGTTTGCAATTGATTTATGTTTATCACCTTGGTCTTTTTCGCAAGGTTTCAGATTTGGAAAAATTCAGCTAATACTTGCGCGAATTCGTCATACGCGTGCACTGAAAAACTTACGGTTGTCTTACACTCTTACCATATTCAAAATTGGCTTTATATGCCTTTAAGGCTGGTACGGATTTACATTTATACATCCTGAATATTAATTTTCGCCATTTAAGCAATTCACTGTAATTGATTGTTTCAATCTTTAAGTTGCACCGTGTACATATTTTATTGAAAGAAATATGTTTATAAATTCTTAGCAGTATACCTTCAATAATGTTTCATTTGTTTCAGTGATAATTGATGGACAAAGAATTTAACAATGGATAATGAAATTCCAATAGTGAGCACAACTACCCCAGATATAGCCGCACCAGAAGAAAGACTGAACGATGAAAAACCAAATGAAGATCTCGACAATACTATGAATGGTTTTAACTGTACCACCAATATTACAGTTATCGAAAAACCATTAGAAGTGATCCATTTAGATGCCCCGATTAAAAATATATCCTGCGAAGGGAGTGACAGCGGTGTAGAGGTGGTGGAGAATTGTTGCTTGCAGCGAGCTTTAAGCATCAACAGCAACAATTCGCAAGAGTTTGGCACAGTCACCCCCGCATATTCATATGAATCTTCAATAATTAGTTGTTGTTCTAACTATGAAGAGGCATATAATATATTGGCTCGTCGAAACTCTACACTGTTTGAGGATTATAAACTTCGAACTTGTGATGGTACAAGTGAGGGTGGTAGCGAGAGTTCATCAATTGCCGGCGGAGGGCCATCAAAAAGAGTAAGTGTACAACATGCAAAAAAGAAATATATCACAAACGATTGCAAGAATAAAAATTCAACATGTGCCAATCAACGATCACGACCACCAGCGTCGCCGCGAAATCCTATGTCACGTCCTCGAGGAAAATCGATTGATAAAACCCTATCCTCGAAGCAAGAAAATCAAAGAACGTCCACTTCTAAAGCAAAAAACAACAATTTAACACTCCCAGTGTCTAAAAAAGAAAAAGTCAATCCTCCCTCAAGAGCTTCCTCCTCCACCAGAACTCCAATAACGACCCCAACCGATGATGGAAGATGGCCGTCAATTAACAGTAAACCCGCGCCTTTAATGAGTAGATCCGTCAGGGGATTATTTCAGTCTGAAGCGACACCAAAGAAAGTTACCCCCGAAAGCAAATCGACCGCATTAGAAAAGTACGCCACGTTACCCAGAAGACGAAAAGAAAAATCCGCCGATAATTTACACGATTTAACTAAAAAACAATCTACGTCCAAAGAGCCAACCAACAAAACCACAATCAAACGACAATCATCAACGCCTAAATCGCTACCTCCCTACCCAAGGAAAAAAAGTGTCCCCAAAACTAAAATTTACCACGAAACTAGTGTACAAACCGCTCTAACTCAAACCGATATCGAAAAAGCGTTCCTCGGCGTCGCGGTTAATCCGGCGCAACCTCAAGACATTGAAACCTGTGATAAAAACGTACAAGTGGACTCGAAATTCGAAGAAATCGAGAACCTAAAAGCGCAACTGGAGGCCCTTCGAGAAAATCACGACAAATTGCTGGCCAATTTTAACAGTCAAAACGAGAATTTATCGGAAGTCAAACAAAAGCTCGACGAAGAGCAGACGGAGAAAAACGCGTTGAGGGATGAACTGAAACAGAACACCGACAGGGTCCTTGCGATCTTGGGCAACGACAGCACCCTGCCCGAGGACGAGAATGTGTCCAGTGACAGTCTGATGATGCTAGAGAATCGTTACCAAAAGGTAAGCCAGATAGTAATCAAGCAAGAAAACGAAATATCGGAATTGAACGCGTACTGCCGTTCTCTCCAACGAGACCTGGAGAAGAGCGTGTCCTCTCAGAATGTGTTGCTACAGCAACAGCACGATCTCGAATCCGAAAGCGTCGAATTGCAGGAGTTTATGCAGGCGGAAAAAACGACTCTAACTGACGCTTTGAAGGAATCCGAAAACGAAATTAATAAACTACGTTTAATGTTAGGGCAGAAAGATAAGGAGATCGAAGGTAAACACGAGGAGTCGAAGCGACTGATCAGGTTTAGTGAGCAAAGGAGACAGGAGAACATAAGTCTTCATGCTCGTCTCGGTGCCTTCGAAATGAGAAGTCGAGAGCTGTTGATTTATCAGGGGAGTCATATTTCCGGTGCTACGGTTGCATTGACGTCCCTCATTAATAGGCTGGACGGTTTAGTGGATGAATTGGTTACATCTTATAGTATTTCTGAGCAAGATCTTGAGGTAAGTGTATTCATAATTCATAGGAAAGACATTTCGGAAAAATTCCCATACCACAGATACCACCCGCACACCTGGGCATGCGCGTTCTGTCCAAAAGCTTTTCAGACCTTCCTTTTACGCGTAAGAAATGTGTACCAAATTTGGTTCTATTCGATTCAGCCGTTTATTTCAGTCAAAAAAGTCAAAATCGTACAAATTAATTCACAGTGCTAGTTCGTTTCTTATTTTTCACACCATCTATTAGAATTTCTTCCTCTTCACTTGACGATCCTGTATAGTTTTCTGTCTTCAGAACTCTATTAAAACCATTATCCCCGCTAACTTCGTACCGCCTTTGAGAAATCCCGTTTTTTCCCGTACCCCGTTCTCGTGGGACCTTCGGGAAGTTTCTTCCAGAGTACACCTTGGCGCTTCTAAAGAAACTTGAAATCCCGATAGACATCTAGGCGCCATAAAAGATTTGTCATCGGCGGTAAGAAACGAAAGCGAATGTGATGACGCATTCTTTCCAGGAAATATGACGTAGGTACCTATATGTTCGAGAACATTCTAGTAGAATACACGAGCGCGTTCAGAAGCGTATCTCAGAACTTTTCGCTGCGAGTTACAGTTACTGATAGGTATACACCCGAAAAACTATAAAAGGGCCCCTATAAATGACCCCCCTTCCTCGAGCTAATATTTCAACAAATTACTTTGTAGGTATAGGGTGCAGTGTTCTAATTTTCCTATTTTTAGGACGTCATTTTCCATAACGAAGCTTACACAAACAGTAGCAGTAGTCCAGAAATAACTCCGGAAAAAACGAAAAAGTCGCTGAAAGAAAACTCACCATCTCCGAAAAGGGGCTCGTCATTCGTATCCGCTATCATAAACGCCATAAAGAACGCAACTGCACAAACTTCATTCCTAACGTCGAAAGAGTACAGCAAAGACACCATTTCCTTGGGTGGGTATTATGGTTGGATCTAACTAATTTAATACTAAATTTCTCTTTTAGATAACTCAGACTCCACGGAAATGTTAGATTCGGAAACAGAACCGTGTCTAATGATGGAACCAGTCTTAGAAGATGTGCTAATACCAGACGGTCATTCCCGTAACATGATTTCATCGGGCCACGGCCTGCTAAGTTCGGCGAGACTCACCCAGAGTGAAAGTCTCAATAACTTGTTCTGCAGACAAATGTCGGAACAAAAATTGACTGAAAATTTAAGCTCTTCATTTAGTGGCGAAATGCCTTCGTTAACAGAAATCTGTCCACCGGTGCCATTAGTCGATCAAGTCATTGACGTTGACAATTTGGTAACGAAATTATTAAAAGTGCTACGTATAATACAAATAGAAAATGACGATTGTATGAACGAATTGCAAGATGATCACGATTTACTCTCCGATCAAGTCAACAAGCAAAAAGATGCGAATAAAATCGTGGCGCAACAACTCAAAGATTGGGAAGTACTCGGCGCACATCTGAAGAGAGAAATTACGGAGTTAATGCAGCAATTGAGTAGGAAAAATAACGAAATTGACGATCTCAAATCGGACCTGAACCATAATCGAAAAGAAATTGAGGTAATTTAGTTTGAGTACTATTATAGGTTTGACTGATTGCAATTTTAGAGATTGAATGAGGATGTTTGCGCGTTATCGACTGCTTGTTCGAAAGCGGAACAAGAACTGAAAATAAAGAAGGAAGAGACTGAGGAGGCGATAAAGAAATGGGAAAGTAAAGAAGAGATCCCATCGAAGGAGGTTTTGGCAAAAGTATTTACGGACCAGAAAGAAATTCCAGTATTAAAAGAAACTTTGGCGGAGAAAGAAAAGCAGCTAAGTGAATTGCAAAAGGAATGCTGCTACAGTAGGAAAATTTGCGAAAATTGGAAAGAAGCGGTCGATGAATCGAAAAAGCAATATGAAGCAATCGATAGCGCTTTAGAGGTATAGGTATTAAAGACAGTCCACTTATTTGTGTAACGTTTCCTTTCAGATATTAAACAGTATTCAAACAGTAGTTCAGCAATGCCCTCCATTAGCAAAGCTACAAAGAGACCTAGAAGAAACTAGTTTCCAAACCGCTTCGTCGATACCGGTAGCTTCTCCTAGCGATTGTAATGCAAACGGTACATTACTCAAATCGGTTAACAACTTAGAAATACCTTCCCCTATAAATAGTACCGCCTAACTTTTGTAATTACTGTTACATTCAGTTTTCAATTGTGATTAACTACCAATGTTTTATATTTCTATATGTAATCTCGTCGGTTACGTAATACGTTGTTATACCTACTACCCGAAGGTCGTTAATTATTGTGTAATTGTACTATACGTCCACACGAAGAAGTTTAGCATACTTCGCCAATTTATAAGGGTAATAGTTGTGTTCAAAAATCAGGTGTACCTAAACAAAATTACGATGTTGAATTATTTACTTTTGACATGTTACACTTTTTGAGTAAACGCTGTATAATATTTGGTGCTTTTTGACTGCTATTTTTAAGAGAAAAATTGCCATAAATATACTTATTGTAAATAAAAAATTATTAATTTTATGTGGATTTTCATTCGCAGCTATCTGAATTAACCTCTGGAGTGAATGTAAGTGACTGGCCTCCCAAAGTAATAATGAAGAGGAGAAAACTACAACAATTCTCCATCTGTCAATCTGTCCAAGGTAAAAACTGATTCTCCTAGACCTATAATTCGACCACGGAGCAAACTAACAAAAAATATGTTAAGGGATACAGTACACATACCACCACTAAAAATTCCATAGGGTATATACAGTGAATTTTTTTTAAATGCGAACATAGGAGTTTGCATGTAATGTAATTTCCCTATGTTCGATTTTTAAAAAAACACATCAATCTATTGAGTAGTTCAAATGAGTAGTAGATACAATTGACAGCTGTCACATTTTTAAAAATGCCGCCGTCCAATTTAATTACGAAATCGGTTAGGTTATTGCTTAGAATGTCGAGAAGGACACTTCGAACATTTATTGTGATTGTTTTCGGTATTTATTTTCTTCATTTATGTATTGAATAGATCAAATTAGTAGAATACCAGGTGCACATGACCTACAAATAATTGAAGGTTGGTTCACAATGAATTGTGATGTCAGCGCGTGCCATGTGAAGTCAAGTTATCGTCAAGTTAAAGAAAAATTTATCCTAAAGTTGCTATGGCCTCACATGGCTTAATTAAAAGAATCTTACCGAGTGCTCTTCATCATAAAGACTATGAGTTGCTGTTCATAGTCACACAAATTGCGCGTTTTGGGAATGTGAACCGCGCACATCTCATAGATTGATGTGTTTTTTAAAAATCGAACATAGGGAAATTACATTGCATGCAAACTCCTATGTTCGCATTTTAAAAAAAACTCACTGTATACCTTGCCTGTGAAATTCCTAAAAAGTTGACCTGCTTTGCATTGAGAGAATAGAAAAATTGATCTTAGGAACTTTTATATCCTGGGTCGTAATTTAGGTTCGATTAAACACACAGCTGATCATTTACAAATATCACAAATTTATTCGAAAAAAATCAATAATGCTATAAGAATCAAAGGCACTCAGGGTCTGCAAACAATATATCGCGCACAAGCGATCGATTGAAAAAAAATTAAATTTCAAAGATAATTCTAATTAACTGTGATTTTCTTTAACAGACGCAAAAAAAACAAAAATTCCAACTGATGTTTCTTCGCAATCTTTATTTACGTTACTTTCACTTGCTTCAAACAAACTGGCTTTGTTGTAATTACAGATAGACCGGGAGATGGTGACACTTTTTGTGGTGTGATTTGCTACAAGAATGACGACCATTCAAAGGTCTAATTAAGTACTCCTCAAAACGAAAATGGTGCTAACTCTCTGGGAGTGGGGCCGTTATTGCGTGACGATTTTTTAAACATGTCGGAAAATTTAATGATTTTGGACAATTTGTTACACAAAATTCTTTGGATTTTCTGGTAGTCGGTGACTTAGCAAATGTCGGAAACGAAATGCCATACTTTTCCGGTGGGCCTTATAGCCCGCCATACTCATTGAAATGTGTCGATTGTTTCTTTTTTTTTGGGTGATTTGCTACAAGCTCATTTTTTTTATGAGCATCAAGTCTTCAATCAGTCATTCACAAAAATCAACCTGCCATACCGCAGTGACGGGCCCGTATAGCCGCCATACCGGCACAAAGATGTCATTTTTGTTAATAATTTTGGGCGATTTGATACACCCTATATTTTTTCCACCAGTTATTTTTATAGTCAGAAATAGAAATTTCGATACGCCATACCTGTGGCATGGGCCAATTATGTGTAATATTTTTTCAAAAATGTAAGAATTTTCGGAAAATTTGGGCGATTTGCTACAGTATGGCACCAATTTTTCGTGACAGTTTGAGGTGTAATAAAAGTAAATATCAAGTTTCAAACACGAATACCGGGCCAATCTTGTGTTATCACGAGATGTTATGTCGCTTAATATTCTCCGCCCCACTCGAACCTCTTAGTCAAGTTGTAGAGACCATCTCCCGGTCTAAGATGTAAAAGTGGTGGATCAGGCACTTGGAAAACTTTAAAGAAACTTACGCGATTACTGCTCGATAGACAGAATACTCGGACTACTTCTCCATATACATGACACAACGCTTGAGCTGAACTCGAACTACAACATTCACTTTTATAATGACGAATTAAAATCTCTTAGAACACTATCTAAACTTTCTTCTACAAGAAATTTTACTACCACAAAAACTGACTGTCTTTGACCACAGGGCTAACAAAAAAGCACGTCTGCTACGCCTATTTATAACATTTTTTTCTCCTGTTCCATCCGATCCTACTTGTTTATCATTTTGTCAACGTTCGTCAATCGAAACTTGGAAAGAAAGAATTAGCTTTTATGGACCGATAACAAACTTCTATCGCAAGACCCGATTTAAATGAGATAAACTCCAGATGTCCCTAATCTTTCTTAACATAATCCAAGAATAAAACAATCAAATTAAAAGGTGACAATTAAACAAAATTAAGCGTCTAGTAATTCTAATACAAATTCAAGTAACATGATCCGAATTTGTGTTCAGTCTAAATTAACAACCACATTTAACAATATAAAATACTAAGGTGCACAGAAGTGAGAGGATGCTCCCAAGGTCGGGTAGAAAGGTAAAGGGTCTTCGTACTCTCCTGTTATTCCAAGAACACTTCCAATTTTCATAGTCAGTGAAATATCTAGGAATCACGCTGAATTATATCCAGGTCAAAGCTGGCTTTCTAACAAAGTCGTCACGCAAATAGACTTTGGGAACCATCCTGGAAGCTGTCTTGTGGCTGTTTATACTGCCGTGATCAGACTTATGCTCTGCTGTGGAGCAATCGTCAGGTGGCCGAGAACCAGACTGTCTAGAACCGTAGCACTTGCTTGCATGGGCGCGATGCAAACAACTCCCACAGCCGTCATGAAGGACCTTCTGGGTCTGCTACTCTGGCATGCTTGCATCTTGAAAATAAGGGGTTGTTGAATCGCAGAGGTACTGAGGTGGACCACTCTCATATTCTGGACGAGGTGATTAAGCGATTGCCTAGAAGGGTAATTGGAGTCACTCACTCCTCCATTCATATATTAGAGAAAAACTATCATATCTTCCTACTGTATTCCAATCAGAGTTGGTAGGGCTAACAATCAGTGCAAGAAAAGGTCTTATAAAGAACAAAATTATTAGTCTCCAGACATGGTTAAGATTAAAGCCGCTTGCCCTTTCAGCACCATTTGGCTCATCTCACGTCGGGCGACTTTAGTCAGGGAGGTAGTACAAATAGGGGTCGAATTTGAGGCCTAGGTACGCGTGGACCCTGCGCACCCTCCTATCATAATCCAGAATCCATCCCTGGCAATACATTAACTACTGGAGCCGTTAACAATTTTTTATCTTACGTCCAATTGATAAATTTATATTGAGGCAAAGAGTTTTTTTACTCTTTGATTGAGGTATAGGTACTTAAACGTATATCTATCCTTTCACGTACGTATGTACAAAGGGGACCCAAATAAGTAACGGGACTTATGATGTGGTGAGGAAGAGGAGAGTGGGCGAAACGCAGATTGTCCAGAGCAACGCGCGATCGTAATATTTTGTTTCTTGTTGAAGAAAGAAATTATTTTAATGCTTAAGACTGATTGTGGGGATGCTGCCCCAAGTAAAACCAGAGTCTACGGGTAGTTTTCACGTTTTAAAAATGGAGAAATAACAATTGAAGACCAACCCGTTTAGGACGTCCCTTAACGTCCCGAAGTAGCGTTCACTTCACGTCTGTTTTGAGCTTCAAAGTCAGGTCAAAGAGCACCCTGCTTTTTTTCCAAGGCCATTACAGGTGATGAATTGTGTTGCCATGGATACGACCCTAAAGCAAAGCACCAATCAGGCCAGTACCTCTTTTCGTCTCAAAAAGCTCTCCAAGTGAAGTCAACCATCAGGACAATGCCGGGCCGGAAAAAAAAATCTGTAACTTTTCTTCAGTTATTTATAAGGGGGTTTGTAATCTATTTTTCCTGCATATCGCTTCCCCGTAGATACCGCTAATTAATTTGCGCTTTCATTACCGCTTGAGTAATCGCGTAAATGATACCTTTGACTTTTTTGTTTTCGTCTCTCAAATATAAACTTCTAAAATCAGCAGACTATACATTTTACTCTAATAGTACTAAGGGTTTATTATGTAACGTTTTATAACATGTAGAATTTATTTAATAATAAAATATCGTTAAGAAACAGTAATTTTGTTACATTATATATTATTACTATAATATGACACTCTATTTATAACCTATGTACCTATAGAGATAATTATTGTATTCAAGTTTGTTTAATTCTTTGGAGTGAAATAAGTGATATGTTAGTAATGTAGAGTGCTAACAAATTAAGGTAGGTAGGTATATTGGTTGAGAATAGTGCAAAGTGCTCAGAAAAAAACGAGAGAAGCAATTCGAGAGTAGAATTTCATGTGAACCCTTAAGTAGTTAGTGTAATTGTATAGTTTAACATATCACAGCACAAGCATCTTTATTCTTACGAATCTAAGGTTTGTTAGTTTATGGTGAAAAAACAGTATAGAACCACAACGTCCACAGTAGCAAAAAGGATTCACACCAGTGTGGTAAAAGTGAGATACTGAGCACTATGCTTATCATTTAATATCGCATAACATCAACGCCGTAAAAATCTTAAAACAAAAATAACAACGAAGGCGTAACGCCTACTTTAAACGGAACTACTAGCGGAATTGTATTGGGTTAGCATATGACACTGTGATTCCAGTCTCTGCACGTTAGCGACGAGGTACGAGTTTTCGACGTACAGATCCTTAACGAGAATGTCGGTCTTAGTTAGCCTTTCCAACTGGTCGTTGCATACCCTCATTTGGTATTCGAGTTTCTCCTGACTGGATTTTAACATATACTGAAGCTCTGCCTTTTCTCCCCGATACTGCTGCCAACAATCTGAAACATAAGTCAGAATTTTCAAACTGGACCTCTTGTCTTTAAAATTGCAATAATTAAATACAGTCAGCAGAACTCACATTGTTGGTTAACAGGTGGTCCAAATTGGACACTTTCTTATGAAAACACCCTTTATTTTTTAGAGATAGGAAAAAATGGACCTAGGTGTCTGGAGCCCAATTTTACACAGAAATTCACTGGCGCAAACAGAACTCGGCTATCTCTAATCGTTTGGCCGAATTTCTCGAATTTAGTCGATTTCCTTAATGCCCCATTCCTTTCTTATTATTAATGCCAAAATCTAGAGCAGTAGAATGTAGAATCCATTGCAATACACTGTTTTTATACAACGCATTTGGTTTTGAGAAATTTGAGAAACGCCCCCTAGCGGCCAAACGATTGGAGATCGCTGAATTCGGTTTGTGACAGTGATTTTCTCTTTAAAATTGGGTTCCTGACGCCTAGGTCCATTTTTTTTCTATCTATGTTGATACTTTTGGTAGTGCTCAAAGTATCTTATTAAACAAGAAAAATATTACTTACTTTGAAGCATTTGCTCGGCATGATAATGCTGTTGCCTTAACACAACTTGCAAGTGTCGTCGTCGCTGCTCCAGATGATGAAGCCGGCAATTTAAATTATGCAGCGCCGCGATAGGGAGCGTCACCATTTCTTCCGCATTATTTCGTTTCCATCTTAAAGACGAATTAGGTACACTGGCAGGAAACATATTTTTGTTATCGTCCTTATTAATCAGTCTTTGAACTTTGCCGTTCTTATTATGTTTCCGGCTTCTTTTAGGCCTACTTGGAATAGAGTTATTATCCGTTACTGTAGATGCTGATTCAGCTGAGGTAGACGGTAAACTAACTATAGAAAAGGTTTGAGGAGAATTATGCCATACTTGATTAGTGGCGTTATTAGATTCGACGTTTTCGGTGGTGAAAGAAGCAGGTGAATTAGATTGTCTATTCTTATTCCATAGAAATGCAGGATTGACATAATCACGCTGTATCAAGTGAGTCTGAGACGGCGAATAGTCGATGGAGTTTGGTTCGGATTCTGGTTTAGCACTACTCCAACCAAAAGGCATCGTATCCGCCGAAAATATGTTTGTTGACTCGATCATGCAGTTTGACAAGTTGCTCATTTTGTTTTCTATACAATTTTCACCCTGACATTCGGCGCTTGACACTTGCACCCCCATTTCCAACGTATTTCTCTGCTTTAATTCAATAAGCTTTTCCTTCAAATCGGCAATTTCGTTTACTTTCTCTGCAATTTGAAATTCAGCATGCTCCTTATATTCATCAAACTCCTGTTCTAAGTCTGTAAATTGTTTTTCTAGACTATAGGTCTCTTCTATTGGCGGTAGACGATAGTCACGTTCGTCTTGGACGGCAAACTGTGCTTCGTACTCAGCCATTTTTCCAATAAGCTCTGTTAACTTGTCACTACTTTGCTTCTGCTCTTGCTCAAACATGAGCCGCTCCTCCTCCAATTTCGACGACCAATAATCCTCGCATCGTTCGTATTCGTTACGAAGTTCCTCCACACACCTTTCCAATTCGGAACATTTGTTCACTAAGTCTTCATTCTCCTTGATGTACTTTTGAATTTCATCTTGCAAGTTGTTATCTATCGTTTTACTCGCTTCTCCACCTCTTGCATTTTTCACCAAGTCATTAATATAATCGACGTAATTATCTTTTTCGAAAATAACAGCCGTCAGTCTATTATTAAGGACTTTTGCGAACGTAGTACATTCGCACGCACACGATCCTGGACTTTGCGTTAACATTTTACTCAAATCCTTCTGAACGGAAATGATCAAATCTTGTAATTCTGTGCACCTTTTTGTTAACTGCTTTACTTTCAGTTCAATGACTGTCGAATTTTCCTGAAACATTTTGAAGTATTATCTACTCTGATTCATAATTATGATAAAATTTACAGTAAATTAGGGCAGGGTGTACAAGAGTGAAATGGCAACAGTCAAGATGATTTCAATTATACCTCTATTTTAAAAATTTAAATTATATTTAACGATATTATATTTTCTGGGTGGCCAGAAAGAGGCGAATTGAAAATATATTGGTATCAAATTCAAGATTTTACAGATAGTTTTTTGTGTGTGAGAGACAAGCATTGCAGGTTGAAGAGAGAACAACAATCTCTCAGCTCGAGCCATACAATGCACTTGTATCTTTGGGTTTGCCGGACAACAGCTAAATGAGCCTCGCTAAACCTGCGTAGTACACAATCTTTTTCAATTGCAAAATGATAATGGGTTAGACTAAACTAGAAAATCAGATTAGGATTTTTTCTAAACATCTGATTATCAGTACATACTGACATTCGTATTTTCCAACGAAGTTGGGTGCACTATTGCAGTCACTTTTCCTGTCCGTCCGAGGCCGGGACTACTCCTAGAGTTTAGTTTTTCTTTTATTCGGTAGCTTATAGCTCAGGCACCTGAGCCAAGAGAAATCTTGACGATTAATGTGCGCAATGCCAACTTACTAGTAAAGGTAAACATGGAAAATGCGCTAGTTACTCACCTTAGGGAGGAAATCTATTTTACTTGTGTTTACTTCATCTTTTTTTTAATGTAAGAAAATTGTTAGGTTCCTGTATGTTGTACAATACATGTTATCAAACGAGAAAGTGCGACAAGTAAAACATATTTATATTATTTAGTACAGTGCTGTAATATGGTACACGTCTTTCAAAAAATATGAAGATGATCTGGAACCTGTACAATGTCGCCTCCTCAAATACTTAAGTTACGACAGCAATGGCTTTTGGAAAGATTTCAGCTTGTATCCTTTAGTACAAGAAGAAAACGTATCAGCGTTACTTTTTTATCTAATTTATTGCAAAATAATATTCACTCAAGATGTTTGCATAATTATACATTTTCTGTTCCACGTCTTGTCATCCAGGCATGCAGTAACTTTCCATTTACCTCAATGTCAAACAAACGCTTTAAAAAATTCTCCATTTTAGATCATTATTTTTGTGTTTTGTTCACTTTTATTCAAATCTACATTTCCTTTTCATGTATGTAGCCTCATGACGAAATCTGGGCTTTTCTTTTGCTTTTTTGGGACGGTTTGAGAGCGTGTAAATTATTTGCGCTAAATTTTCGGGCAGTCAGCCTATGTGTCGATTTTATATTTTCAGATAAGTAACAAGTGTACAAGCAGATAAGAGTCAAAACGCCGTGTTGACGCGGTTTTGCGTTGAAATCATTTTGGTATTCGGGCTCGGCGAGTACATAAGCAAAAATTGGGTGGAAGAGAATGATTCTTCGCCGAACTAAACTAAATTGTTACCACAAAAGCATTGTAGTCCTGGGTGCGTAACGTTCATTGCGTTTATATCTAGAGTGGTTGATTACGAAAAAAAAAAACAAGTTTATTACTTTAACTAGTGTATAAAGTCAATGCTTTAACCCAATTTGTGCAACTCTCGTTTATACGAGGCGATTAATTCGCGTTTTTGCTAACGGTTTTATTTTAAAGGTAAAATTCACATTTCCATATTGCGGAACATTGGTAAATCAGTCCAGTGAATAAACAAAATTTAAACTATTAAATTTCGAGAAACCTGAAGCCTGGTTTGTTCCTGATTTCAGTAGTCAACCGTCTCTCAATATTCACTTTCAACGAGCACGAGTCGATCGTTTTTGCGATTTTGAAAATAAAAAAATTTATGCTCAAAATCAATAACATTCTCGAAGAGGTCGACCCACGGAATTTAATTCCGTGAGCAAATTTGTATTTTTTTAATGAATGATAAGCAAACCCAAATAAAATTGCACAAACAATAATGTACCTACTTTAGACTGCCATGATCGAGTTGATGTCATCTACACTGATAGCGTGTGACAGGATTGATTACAAAATTGTGTTCTCTTTCATCAAACATCTTAATGTTTGCCGATAATGTAAAGTTATATACTGCTATCTCGCCTTCTTCAAAGTCAATTGGAGAAGTTGATTGAACGCTTATAATTACTTGAAAATTAACCCATCTAAATCTAGAATTGACTTACATGATTAAAGCAAATGTCAACATATTATTATATATTTTTGAAATTAGAAAGAAAAGATATTCCATTTTTTGAAAATATACGGGGCTTGCCAGATTTGCATATTTTACTAACTTTGCGATATTCATTTGTTTTTTTTTGCGTTACATTTTCTGGCGATTTATGATAATCCCGACAATTTTTGTAACTAAAGTTTTTTTTTCTATCTCTTATAATACACTGTCTAAATATACGGAATAACCCTGTACATATGGGTGAAGTTAAAAAAAAATAAAAAAATCAGGTACCTACCTTCCTAAAAAAAAGATGAACGACGAATAGAGCAAAGAGTGATGTTGAAATAATGATACTTTTTACACCATGCACATGTGAAGTAGTTAATTAACTTCTCCATAAGAACCAAATAAAAAATTAAAGTATAGAAAAAATATTTATTTCGTGCAAGACATTTACAAACAAAAAATTATGGAGAAGCTAATAGAATGATAGCACTTAGAGCACAGAATAAAATAATACTGATTCAATCACAATAATCTTTAAAGTATGATCACTTTTATCACAAGAGTAATACACCATGCTAAATTCTCTAGCTTCTCCAAGCACAATAAAAGAACGTACAAGTCATCAATAAATTTAAAAAAACAAAGCTCAAGTGCAACCATTCAAACAGAAACTTAAAAATATAAATCCACCACAGTCGAAAGTGTTTTGAGGAAAACATCTAAACTTCATCGACACTTACCAATGAACAATTAATAGGGGAAGGAATTGGAATGCCATGCTGCATGAGAAGTTCTTCCAAACGCATAACTTTCGTTTGTAAATCGCTAACTTCCTTCGAATCGTTTACAGAAAGCGAGAGGGACGAGTCCAGGGCGTCTAGTTCGGTATCGAAACCGCTTTCACTCGAAGTTATCGGTACTTCTAAGTTATCGGATTTTGTTTTATGACACTTGCGAACTTTACCCAATCTTGGGCTTCCATCACCTAAAACAATTACGCGTGTAATGATCCCGAATGTAAGAGAAATAAGGAATTTTAATTGTGAGGAGATATGCAAATGTTGAAACCTTGAAGGATTGTTTATGCGATATTTCTACTTTACCATAAAAACAATAATCTACTTGTGACGCATATACAAAGTTGGTGACATAGTGGAATATAAGTCTTGGCTATTAAACCTCTATGACGCTTACCCATCTGTCATAAAAAAGTGACAAAATCGTTTCTGCTCACAATAAACTTACTAAATGATTCAAATTTCACATAAAAATTCTAAGGTCAAGGTATTAATAATGGATGATTGAAATAGTGAAAGTAGAAACCGTGATACAGATATTCATAATTTCTTTTTATCGACATGCTGTTTTAAATAATGATCCGCACAAAATATTACCATACAAAAAAGGCCGAGATTAAGAAATGACGCCTTCAGACAAACTTTCCAATCGGGTATAATTTCAACTACTAGCAAAATACACATACTGTCAGCTGTGCAATGTATCTGTAATTTGAAAAAAAAAAAAAGTTTACGAAATCATTCGCATATTGAATCTGTACATAAGATTAATGTACTTTTAATTGATATAAATTTCTCACATCAGTTACAAGGTTGGCGTGAGCCATTGGCATTAATTGAATCGTTACCACCAATATACCTAGCTTCTTTTAATTCAATATCTAGTATAATATTACACCGAGCAATTGGCCTTCAATATTATAGAAACGTTTACACTTTCAATGACGTGAAATATCAGTTACACCATTCATGTATTCCATCCATATATTTATTTTAAAATGTTAGTAGCTATGATCAGTACCAGAAGAAATTCATTCATTCATCTACACTACAGTACCAATTTTAGATACACTTTTACTAAAAATATAAAAAATTTCAATTTGAGTTTGTACCTCCATCTGCATACTTTTTTTAAATAGGCAATGCTGAAGTTCCTCTTTTGAATCATGTCTATACTTCCTGCTGTATAAAATCAACCTTAGAAATGCGTGGACGGATTTTATTACCATTTGATTGGATCATAATATAATTCTAGTAGTCCTTGAACTAAGGAAAACAGCGAGGAGAGTGTCCAAAATTGGAATTAATTCACAGATTTCGTTCCAAAAGCGCCAAAACGAATTGCCTCAGTGACCAACAATTGAATCTGGAGTTTTTTTCTGTCTTTCTTTGGCAGATATTGAACTTTATTATGTAGAGATATTTATGTAAACATAAAATAATAATGGCGGTTACTGAAACAAGAGTAAGTACTTACCTACTTTTTTAAAATTGAATTGGGGCAAGATACAATGTTTATAATTAAAAAGCGATGTTATTCTCTTTCTTAATTATGAAACCTATAACCGACTAAACTAAACAGTTCACAGATATTAAATTGTCTACTAAATTAACAAAGACTAGGTACTTGATTAAAATATCAAAAAAGTCTTACCAGTTAGAATAAAAAACATCCTTAAATCATGGCATACTCCACTATAGTTACCACCCATTTAACAAAAGGAAGTTCATAGGTAAGTATTATAATGTTTGTCATATTTTTTTCTTAAAAATTGTCGGTTTACTCTTTTTTTTGTTAAATAACTGAGCGAAATTTTAATTAGAACGTAAAATAAACAAAACATTGCTCATTTCATTTAACCTCTATCTTATCATAATAAAAATAAACTGAAGATCCAAAATGCATCATTAGCGCGACACGCCCTCAAAATTTAGACCTCTATATTTTGTTTCGCACGAACTATAACAGACAGAAGAACAATCTTGTGGCTCTTCTGTTTTCGGGTATATCCGTTCTGATTTCAAAATTCTCACCTCAAGATGATGCACTCTTAAACGGAGACGCGACAAATATTCTGATTTTATTTTATTATTAAATTTAGTAACTGCAATCTTTATTCCAAATTAGTTTTTCAAAATTCCGAGAAAAATCTTTAATAAAGACATCTATGTTAAAAAGAAAGTTGGCAATGCGCAGTGCGTATCTTATTTTTGCATTATGCAATATGTTTCTGCCTTTACTAGAAGCATCTATGGAAAAAGAAGAAATATCTATAAATAAGGGAGCTGGCACTGCGCAGAATGCGCATGTGCACATCTAATGTTTACAATATGAGATATGTTTGGCTTTATCAGAACCATCTGTGATTAAAATTTCAAAAAGATATCTCGATACATAAGACAGTTGATATTGCGTATCCTGCACATGCGCACATTAATCTGATGTTTAGAATATGCAATACGTTTGCTTTTACTAAAAGCATCTTTGGTTTAAATTTCAAAAAAATATCTTCATAAATAAGAAAGTTGGCATTGCGCAGTCTGCGCATGCGCACATCTGATTTTTACTATATGCGATATATTTGCCTTTAGTACAAGTATTTGTGGTTAAAATTTGAACAAAATACATTAATAAAAAAGAAAGCTGATATTACGCAGCCTGCGCATGCGCACATTACTCGTCAAGATTTTTTTTGGCTCAACTGCTAGACCTATAAGCTTCCGAATCCAAAAAAAACGAACTTCGTTGGAAAATACACTATAAAAGTAATGCGATTGAAAGCCTTTATTTTCAGAGATACCTGGTACCATTTTTCACTGTGTTCAGGATTTTTAGTTTTGGGAAAATGTTAAATCAGAAAGAACACACCCAAAAACGCTTCCAAATCTGTTGGTTTCGTCCTCCTTTGTGTTATGGAAACGCAAAATTTTAAGAACTTTAATTTAATAGCGTAGTTCCCAAATGAAATATTTAGACCTTCAACTTATTTTTTGTTTTAATTCCTACTCTACCACCAGTTTATTTTATTACAACCTTCCTAGTTACAGGGTGTAGCATCAACATAATGGCTTAAAAAAATACCGAAAAAAGTCTTACAGCAAAATTGTACAAAATTACAGTCTCCATGTTTCTAAAATATTTTTGAGAACCCCCCTTTATTAAGGTGGGTTCATAGCTCTCCGTTTGTCCGTTAGCCAATCAGAACACAGTAAATTTTTAAACCGTACGTCGTCCATTTACAACGGAAAAGTTGGTTGAAGTTGAACATTTACGTTTCCGTTGGTCCGTTTTTAACAACAGTAAGGTTATGTTTGTTATATTTTTGCGGAGAGCTGTGAACCCACCTTTATAGTTAATTCGGGACTCTATTAAAGAAATTATTGTTCATGCATATGCTAAACACTTACTAAAATCTCACTCGAATTTTGAACTTATGTTTGATTTTTTTTTATAAAAAACAAAAGTTGGTATTGATACAACAAAACGTAGTAATGATAAGGAAATTCATTTCCATCATCTAAAATTCTAAAACATACATTCCCAACCTTTTCTGAAGCATCGCCCCCTTAAGGAGCATAAAAATAGCTACCGCCCCATAGTCGTTTAATCATAGTCATAGTTAGTTTTGATTGGTACACTGGTCAATGACGCACACTACTGGTAATATACTTCTTAGATTCTTTCAAAACTAATATCCCCCCATGTTATGAACGTATGGGAATGAAAAAGAAATTTCTTCATTACCCGAATTTTGAGGGCGGCCGCCATCTTAACTTTTTTAAAAGACAATATGGGTCACTTAAATTTCTTTTTCAGAGCCAACCTGCGTAGCTCAGATGAGTTTACGTTAGTAGCTCTAGCGTTGGCTACAAGGGTCCTGGGTTCGAATCCCAGGTAAGGCATGGCTGTTTGTGATTGTATAGCGGATTGAGTGGGGAGAATAGCTAATTAGCTAACACTCCGCCCACTATAAAATAAAGGCAATAAAAAAAAAAAATATGCGTAACAATGTCTCTGTCTCTCAAACCATTTCAGTAGGAAAGCCTTGTTCCTTTACTTAGAAATTTAATTTTTACTACTTTCTCGCCACCCTGTATAGACGTGCACATGTTATGCTTATTCGAAATGATTCAATTTAAGTAAAGTTCGTAACGTATTTATCTATTTTAATAATAATAAATTAATCAATATTTCAGTAAAATTTATTTTCTAAGTTAATAGTAGATACCGCCATGACATCCCTCTGTGTGTACATAATCAACGAGACCCCTCAGCGCCCCTAACGCCCCCTCGAATTCTCCAGCGCCCATTGGGGGGCGGTACCACCCCCGTTGGGAACCTATGATCTAAAAGAATAAAAAAAAGTTCTCTAAAGAAAGTCTTGGTTTTTAAATACCTGCCCTAGTAACGATTTTAAAGCCAAAAGTAAAAATCTGTCAATTCTGGTATTTTTCGCCATATTTAGGAAACTTTAGAGAGGGGGTAAATTTTGTTTTTTGATTCTATTTACTTAGGCATAACTCGAGGATCATTTTTGCCCATTAACCAAGCGTACGCAAGTCTCTATCTATGCTAATAAACGAGATCTCTGTATGAAATTTTCAAACAACCTGTATAATTATATAGAAAAATATAGATTTGTCATGTAATCAGGGAAAGGAATGCAAAAATTGACGTTGCATTTAAAAAATACAAACTTTGGTCCAATTTTTTTTTACTATGCCACTGAGTAAGATATGATAACATCTCGAATTCGTTTTCCAACGTAGCTAGATTGATTCTGATTGCGGTATCTATTCAAAGTTTCACAAAAAAGTTGCACAGGGTTGCGAAAACGGCAAGTCAGTTCCCAAACAGCCATCAAATGTTTCTTCTTTAATTTATTTCTTGGAAACCATAACAGGATTACAAGCATTACCTACAATTATTGGTATTCTGTTTCTTTTCTTGAAAGAAATTCCTCCCCAAGAAGCCTCAATGGAGATGAGAAAAAATTCCGATTACACAACCAAACCGAGTTTGAGAACATTGTTAAACTCCATTCGATTTGCGCATGTGCGGCCATCTTTTTTTATGAAAAGCTGTATGAGTAAGTAAGATGTTGAAAAACCCCCAGCACCAAATTTCAGATCTGGATCGTTTTCGCACTCCCTGTTAAGGGTTTTTGGGATGGAATGGAACGCTTTTATAAAATCAGACAAGGCATACATTTTGGTTTGGTCCTCTCTACAACATAATTTTTTATACCTACTTACCTGCACATTTTGTGGTGATTACTCGTTCCAATAAGAATTGTGTTTACATTTACTAAACCTAAACTTAATCTGTAAATATGATCATGTCACACAAAAATTTCCACTGTTTGAGTTTGAATTACATAACATAATTTAGATCACTTTTGATTGGACGCCCTCCTCTGTTTTGGTTATCTTTGCAACTGTTTTAGAAGGCGTTTTTTTGCTGAGTTAGTCCGGAAGTTATATATAAAAGTTGTAATATGTGTCGCAAATTTTCAATCAGATGCACCAAGTACTAGACAAGACTAACAGAATGTTATGCAAATAGATTCAGATTATAAATTTTAATGGCATTTGCTTTATATACTTCATCTAAATTTTATACAAGTAGAACCAAATAGTAAAGATGTCCTATAAATAGAATTATATAAAATTTGCGTACCTAGTTCCATAAGCAGAAATCTATTGACACTTCTGTGTCCTATTCACACCTACCATCAACTTGTAAAATTGTGACACTCAACAACTTTCCTTTTATTTAACTACAATAACCTACTTGCTTCTATTTACTGTAAATTTAATAACGAATTAAGGAGTGTAGAGTTTTAACATAACTGGTATTATTTAGGTGTAGTTCAAACAAGCTGCAAAATTAAACATCCTTGCCATTCAATTATTAAAGCTTGACTGAACTAACTTATCCTAAAATAGCAAATGATGTAAATGTAATTAACATACCTAAACCCAAAACGTTCAAGTCCTTGGAAGGAGAATCATCGCTCCTACGTTTCGATCCCAGTCCCACTCCCTCGCATACAATTGACACATTCTCCTCCATAGACTCCTCCAAACGAAACGTTGACAAATTCAGACCCTTATTCTTCAACATGCACACTTGACTATTTAAGCTTTCGATTTCGCTCATCATCTCGTCATTTTTATCTCGTAATTGCGAATTTTCGATTTGCAAATTGGACAACTGCTGCAGCAAGGGTTCGATTCGCGCCTGCTGATTTTCGCGTTCGTAATTGTGCTTGTCGCTCTCGAGTATGCTAATCTGCTCGCTCAAGGTGGTCTTCATCTGCTGTAGTTCGGATATTCGACCGTTCAAAGCTTGATTTTCTTTATCAACCGTAACAGAGTAGTCTTGAGCGGATTGCAGATCGTTTCGTAGTCGAGCCTCTTCGGATTCGAGATGTACAATTTTCTGTTTCAACTTTTGATTTCGATGGGACATTTGCTCTTTTTCGCCGGCGAATTGCGAGGCCAGCTCTTTTAGGATGTCAGCGTGGCGCTGCTCGAGGAGCTTCACTTGCTGCTGGGTGTTTTGTTCCATTCGGGCGTGATTGTCGTCGACCTCCTGGGCTAGCATCGTCGCGCGGTTGTTCGCTTCCAAGACGTCGTGCTTCAGTTTGTCGCGTTCGGCGCACATCTGCTCTAAAATGTTTTTCAGGCAGCGGATCTCCGACCGATATAGAGTTAAGACGGCTTGCAAAAGGACGACTCGCGGGTTTGTAAAGCACGGTTTGCTCGTTTCGTGAATCGTTTTAATCTCCTTTTCGAGCGCAGAAGCCAGCTCTGACACTTTGATTTGGGAACAACCGAAACCGAGTTCTTGCAACAGCAATTTCGGCGACGCTATCCCGACATTTTCCCACAATTCTACCACCACGTCACCGTTTATGAAACCGGTCCCGTCAGGCCCGAGCGTTATGTGCTGTACACTTTTGACATCGCCGCCCGGAAAGTGAGATTCTTCCGAAATAGCCAGAGTGTCCTCGACGACAGTCGGGGAGTTCGGACTTAGCACCTCGGACCAAGTGTCGTCCTGCTGTAGCGCTTCCAAAAGTTCCTGAAAACTGATTTTGTGGTCCACATCCAACTGCAGCTTATCCGAAAGCTGACGAATCACCCCCTTTGCCAACCGATGTAACCCGATCGCGTCACACACTAACACCAACTCGGTTTGATTTAAATACCCGTCATCACCGACACCTAACTTTTCCCACGCCTGTCGCAACATTTCCTCAGTACATAAAAACTCCTGATCGCTATTAAAACCGTTGGTAACGAAGACTTCCCCTGACATCTTGTGGAAATCCAAATCGTGGCTGCCCGGGAAGGAGGTGCACCGCTTTAGCTTTGTGTTCGTTTTTCTCTTCTTAGAGTATAGCACGTCGCTTTGCGAATTCGATCTTTGTACAGAGGTATTGTAGGTAATTTTATTAGTGTAGTTTGTATTTTCGTTAAGTCCCTCGAGCGTCACCTGATCCTCGTTCTTGGGACGAGACCGCCGTCCATACTTCTTCGTACCTGTCAGCAATAATACACAATTTTACAATTTGCTACGGAAGTTATTGTTACTTTCAAATTTTGACACCTTGGCAATAAAATGCAGACCTGAGCGTAGCCAGAAACACGCTACTAATATAAACATTTTTTGCCCAAGGCCCATGAAGGCATTCTATGTTAATCAAGAAAATGAATGGCGATAATGAAAGTTTTCAGCATTTATGCCGAATGGTGAAAAGCACAGCACAGCAATCAAAGTACCTGAAATTAGGACAAATATAAACAACCATAGCAATAATACAACATATAAATTGTGCATAACTCTTGTGCAGATAAAGCGCAACTGAAATAGCTTTTGTTTTGACATCACCAATGGATATATTTCTTGCAGACGTCTCAATCGCCCTTTGTGAGTACCCTCTTCCGACACTCCGTTCTTGAGGTATAAGGGAATATACCCGATCACCTCATAAGAGGTCGAGGAGGAGGAGGGCTATGGTTGGTAGAAATTAATTCCTTTTGTTGACACCTTTCATTAGAGTACCATGAAGGATAAAACTAGCCCCCCCTCCCCGTACTTTGATAAGAGGACAAAAAGAAGGGCAGTAGTTGGCGAGGTAGTTGGTAGAAAACGGTTCCTTTCGTTGAGGCCTTTCATTAGAATACAATGCGATAAAATTGATGTTTAACCCCCCCTCCCCCTCCTCTCAGGCTCCGTCGCTCACTGATCTCGAAAAAAAGTCGCAAGTTCAAAATCTCAGGAAATAATTTGTGTGGGGGGCTTTTAGACAGCGAAATTTGATGGCTGTTTGACACACCTTCAAGGTATAGGCTACCTACTGCAAAAAAATCCAGGACTCTAGGACCATTCCCCTAGAAGTAGTTCGAAACGGCAGAAGTGGGTCCGGACGGACAAAACGCAAACAATAGCACATTTTTTTTAATTCTTAAAAAATGCGCTAAAAAAACTGTAGCCATTATCGAAATATTTTAATAAGAAAAATGCTGCAAGACATATATTCAGTTTTTTGAATTTTCTAAATGGAAAAAGGCCCCGAAATTCATGAAGAATTTCCTGTTAGCGCAGAAATTCCCAAACAGTTTTTTCCAATAAAATTCTTTCTTTTCGTCCATCATACGTATTAAGACCTATGAAATAGAAAAAATGTAGCTTTTTACGAAGATCTGGGCCGTAAATCCCACTGCTGGTTCAAAAAATATTGCCATGTTCCACCCTGTATATGTACAACCTACGACGATGCACGCATGTTTCAGAACTGGCAACCACGCAATTTTTAGAAAAGGAAATGACTCCGCAAGTGAGTGGCGAGTCGTAGGTATGTATTATGCGATCAAAAATGAGTTGCTATCAAGTCACCTTTGGAATTTTTGTTTACATAGGAAATCGTACTCGACAGCAACTCATAATTTTGATCGCTGGAATATAATTGGTTTTTGTTTGCATTTAAAACAATCTTAAACCAACCACTAAGCTTATGAAAGTCATTATTGCCCAAGTCTGTGAGTGATTTCTAGTCGTTGTCAGACACCAGCAATGATGTGTCATCCGCATATCGAACATGGGGTTCTTTTGCCCCAAGGAAAGTGGATAGATAAATTATGTACAACAAAAACAGCACTGGTCCCAGTATCGATCCTTGAGGGACACCAACATTTAGTAACTTTATTTTGCTGTTTGAATACTTGCTTGGTGCCATAGTATGATGGGTACACATATGCGTAAGAAAGGATTCAAATGGCGATACGCTTCCTAATGAACAAAAAAAATTACCAAAACTTCTATCTGTTCTATGATATATTTAAAAAACAAATCGCAACATCACAGCAGACTGGTTCACTTCAATTGAACTGGTCAATATACTGAAACTAGTTACAGTGCCAAGTCACCGACACCGAAATTATGCACCACGCCACCAGAATTCACCTTGACTTACTTGGGTGCAATTAAAAAGAATAAAAAACATATTCCTATCCAATTCTTGCATAACAAACATAGGAAAATAGTTTCCACCATGTACGGATTTTCTGGAAATAGTGCTCTGATTGATACATACCTAAACAATATGGAAAAAATGGCCGCCGTATTCTTCAGAATTTTTGATATAGCTTATGTCAATGCTTATACACTGTGTCCAAGATAAGAATGTCTAATCGTGGGGATCTCCGAAACCATAGAAGATACGACGATGTCAAATTAAAAAAAAGATGCGCTATTATCATGCTTTAAAGAAAACCAGAAAATGCCGATTACTTCCCAAGATATGCCAGAAAAACCGATGTTGTTTTTATTTTTTTCTGTTATGTGGAACAGATCTAAAAAAAAACACTTTCTGAGCTCCACAAAACAGCGTCGAGAGATTTTCAATATAACGTTTCGTTTCAGAAAAATCATCAACGACTTTATTTTTTTAATATGGCCCATAAATAAAAGGAGCATTTTGTATTACTAATACAATGTTGTACGGCACACACACATGAAAACTGCTGGTTTCAACAGAATGGTGCACCTGCGCACAATGCCCTAATCGTGCGTTTTAAATAATAAAAAAAAATTTCGTGTACGTAGGTTGGCAAGGGTAAAGGCTCCACGGATTAAGATATATATTAGACACACAGAAACGGAAATAACGCCGCAACAGCATCGAACTTTTTTTTTTCAAATAGCAACCTAAGATTTTTATTAGGGTAAAAGACCTTATTTTTATGTTATTATTAATTATATGTTGGCTTCTGACATTAAAATAAAAAAAATAATAAAAGCAGTAGATAAGCATGAGCAGAAATTAAAAATAAAAGGAGCTACGGGCCCAAAACAATTGCAGAATCTCTTATAAAAAGAGCACACGAAAAGGATGAGAATTTCGCGATTTGGGGCTTGGAACACTATTGAGCATTATGTACCAATAAACAATGTACCGTAATTAATATTCGTTTAAGATATAACATCAAAATTACAATGAATTCTGTAAGAGGTCAACAAAAATTTTCCTGTGGGAATTTGAACAATTTAGTGTTTAGTAATAAAACGGCACATACAACAAATTAATATGACTTATGACAGTATATATTAAGCATAAAGGCGAGCATAAAGGATATAAGACTGTCAAAAACCGTTTTTTTGTTAAATATTTGCTTTGAACTAGGAAGCTGCTCTGTCCACTACTAGTACCATAAAATACTTACCTTTATTTTGACTAAAATACATTTTTTTACGTCAACATTAGTATGTCAAATCATGAATCCTCAACTAGAAAGACGTTTAGTAAAAGTTTGAATCGAGGTTTGATTATCTTGTAACTTAAGAAGTACAATTGAAAAAATGTTGAGGGTAACACCAAATACAGCTGAAATACAAAGTGATGGCGAGAGAAAATTGGCAAATCGAAAGCTCTGCTGTTTGAATGATACATAAGAAAAACTGCTTGCTTGTGTACCTACTGGATTTAAAAATACAGTTTGTCTGCAATGTAAACGTACAAATTTCATCATAATCATTAATCAGTAATGATTATTCCTCCATGAGTACGGACAAATGTGACCTCTTTAGTTGAAGAAATCATATTCTTAAAATAAACAAACAGAAGTTTGTTAACTTTGCTTACTCTAATCTTTTAATGAGGTAAGAGTTAAAAATAAACTTATGTAACTATTCAATCACAAATAAGTGCTTAAAAAAAAGGTAAAAAGACTAACATGATAAGTTGTTATTTAATCATTAAAAAAAAACAGATTCAAATGTCACAAATTATCACTCAATTCTTAGCTAAAATAAATGATCAATACAAAAAACCTCAAGAAAATAACAGCATTAAGCAGCGACTTCGACAGCGCACGCCCACCTCAGAAGAAATACTTGACACAAAATTCATGGACAGCACATGAGTAAAATGGGATCAATATATTCGTAAAACGGGCGCTTTCAAATTCCAACATATAAGTCAAATTCCTTTCTTAAATATTCTGTAGTGGGGTTTTGTATGACTTCTAGTGTATCTATCCCTTACTTTTAAGAAGACATCTTCCACTGTTGCCATTCTTGATCATTAAACAACTTAAAAAATCAGAAACTATTCAAGATAAGTGTAAGAACATGTAAGTTATGGTCATATGTAACCCTATACAGGGCGTCCCACGACGTATGCCGGCTATCTGTATCTTGCAAAAAGACCTCGGAATATTTTGAGCTGTTATTAAGTGATTGGGACTGGGCATTAGTTTTTTTTTCATGTAAATATCTTCAAAATAAAAAAATGGCGCAAATACAAAAATTGGGTTGCACTGCGCAATTTTTTTGCAATCTGCATAGTTGCATACAGTTGCTTAGGGTATAAGGAATATTTACTAACATAGAAAACCGGACATTCACATGTTCATTGTAACAAGAATGATAAAACAAACCCTTTTTTGGAGATATGGGTAGTTGTGGGACTATGACTGTGACTGTCCCACCCAAGGGTTTAATAAGCCTAAGCTGAAAAACAATAGCGACCTTTCGGTACATATTATATAGATCGTGCACATGGACAGACAGCAATACAAATTATTACTTATTATATTTATCTTATTAAGCACAATAAATAAGTGTAACTTTAAATAGGTAAAGTGGCAGAAATTTTCAGTTTTTGAAATATCAGTTTTTTTGTTTTTGCCACTAACTGTAACGACAAGTCATTGGCCAACTAAGCAACAAAGATTCTAAAATGCGATAAAAAATAGGGGTTGTGATTTAAAACATAAAGATTCTTCATCATTTTCAAAAGTGCCAATATTTGACATTGATTTCTGCTTTTAGAGCCGTTTTGATACCTTAAATATTACTAAATTTTCAAAAGTCTACCTCCGAAAAAACACCCTGTATAGGTATGATAGCGTGTATGCAAAAGCTGCAGTTCAAGCAATAGAAGGATCAACACCACCTTACACATGCAAGTCAATTTACTAGCAACCCTTGCTGTTATAATACTAAAAACATACAATTTAACGCATGCTAATTGTGAAAAGGGGCAGTCCGCCACTGGGCACAATAAAGAATATAAATGACGGCCTAAGTGAAGATTCTGACGATGAGCTTACAAACTCATTATTTATTTATTTATCTTGGGGCCAAGATTAAGGTCAGAAAGGGCAAAATGTTAATGGTAATTAACATACCGTAAACATACTTCGGTGAAACCTCTCTGTCAGGCGAGCCCTTATCGTCCTTGATATCACCCTGTGTCCGATTTTGAACATTTCCCAGCAGCGTCAGTAAGGCCTCCTTAAACTCCCCGAACGTCACTCGCGAATTCTTTGGATCGTGCAGTAAGTGCTGCACCAACTCGTTTCCCTGCTCTTCCAACTGCAGGCTGCTGCAGAGCTGCGTCAGGCCGTCCTTATCCAAACTACCCTTGTTGTCGAAATCGTAACTGTCAAACACGGTAAAAAGCTTTTGCTCGTAAGGATCTAAAGATGGATATTCCATGTCGTGACCTAAAAGTAATGCGGAAACTTAAAATAGATCAAAGGAGTGCATGGTGAAAAAAGTTAAGGCAAAAAGTTTAATTAAACCCCACCTACAATTCAATTAGTTTACATATTGAAATGTAAATACCTGTAGTGCACATCGTTAATTTACTTAATTTTACATTGTAAACTTGTTGGAGAAGTGTGTAATTGAATTATAACGGTACACGTTTTAGTAGAAAACGCGTAAAATTAAAGCACAACAAAAAAAACTAGGTCGAAAACTACTGCAATTTTCATTAGGTATACACTTATGCGTTATGGCGCCATCTGCAAGTAGAATATTTAAAACGTAATTTTTATCTATAGGGAGCGTCAAATAAAACAACCATTCCACCAAATACCATACTGTTTTAAACATCATGTATATCTGTACATTTTGGAAACTATAACTGTGAAATTTCATAACCCAATGTAGTACGTATGTGAAGGTTATGAATGAAGGTTATTGGGTTTTTGTTAATTTACTACATTCTGCCTCAACCGGGGTAACAGCCCAGATAACATTAATTCTTCTTGGAACATTCTCTCAATATACTGAATATGTTTAAAATATTCAATTATTTATAACATATTTAAAGAATATTTATTATTCTATGAATAATCTATTCAATTATTCCTGGAATGTTCTCTTATTATGCTAAATATTCGATTTGGACAATAATCAAGGATTATTCAATGTAACTATTGTAGGAATAATCGAACTTGGTTACAGAATATTCTGTGAATAAGAAACAAATATTCAACTAAGGTGCATTTTAACTTTGTCATCTGTCAAGGTACTTAGGGCTGAGATTGCCAACCACTGGTGTTCTCATGCCCTCTTTTTCCTCACGTTTGTGTGAAAGAATACATACATGATATGGAACTGGCAATATAACATGAGACAAGGGCTTGTGTCCTTTTGCTGCAATTTAGTGAACCATTAATGCATATTTACACTATTTTTTGGATAGACAATCATCTAGCGCAACGCTCATCAATTAAAACAAGAAATGCTTGACTACATAAGTTTCTAATGTTAAAAACAAATTTACAACAAAAATTACACTTCTTTTGTATCATGTCCAACATCATTGTTGTCATTGTCAGCTTCTGTTCCTTGTAGCAAACTATGCTGCTGCAACAAATACCTCGTTCTTTGCATTTCCAGTTTAGCTTCTGAGAACTTGTAACGGCACTGAATCCAATAGCACAACGCTATAACTCCGTACGCTCCTACAGCGAAGTTAGCACCCGACTGTGGTTTACTGGTAAACATAAACCGGAGTAATCCACATGCCAACCCACCCGAAATTCCATACAAAAAACTGTTACGAAAGCATGGAATTTTGGAAACGTCTTTACCAAATATGACTATGCTCTAAAAGAAGCTATTAACTATTGGTTGAACTTATATATTTAATATTACAGAGTCACTGGAAATTTCCTTCATAATTAACACGTTCTTCGTAATAAATAAATAATATATTAAATAATTCTAATTTGTTATTAAAGTAACATTGTTGGTGATGTTCAGCAGTGGATGTGACTCTATCACCTAACTAAATTCTGCAATGTCTGTGGCTCTTGAATGCTCTTAATTACGATACCACTTCAACACTGATTATACACACTGTATAATGACTTAAATTACTAAGAACAAAAATGTGTTTTGGCAACACAATCATTAACATTTTTATTTTAGGTCATAAAATTTCAAACAAGGGTATCACATCACAGTAAATCGAATCTCATCGAACAAAACAAGAACACAACGTTTTACAATTTTTAAGCATGATTCATTTCTCTAAAGTAGATTTATCAATTATCCCTAATCGGTCACATACCTTAGAGCCATTGACGTCTTTATTTAAAAAAATACAATTTGTTTAGGATATAGCCATAGACATATGAGCATATTTCTATCGATATAAGTACCTACCGCAACAGCAATCTTTTGAAAAAGTCAAAATATTATTACAGAATATTCCCACTTTGGCTTATTTTGATCCAACTATAACGATATCGATTTCTGTGGATGCACCCTTTTATGGCCTAGGTGCACGATGCCTAGGTGCCTGTTTAACACAGGACGGAAAAAAACGAAATTGTTGCACAAAGCGTATTTAACATTCTGTACCATACAGATGAACGCAATTCTATAACGTAGTCAATCACCATAATCATCACTATAGAAGAGACAATGGAGACTTTTTTTGCACACTTGACGTGCATCTAATCTAGTAGGTACATCTAGTCTACTCTTCGGGTGCAGAATATGCTTCCGGGCGTTGAAGATATAGTTAGAGAATCTTCATCCTCAGATTCAAAATCTGTAATTGGACGCTTTTGGTACTTTTTGATTAGTTTTCCTGTCAGAACTCTGCACCACAGACTAACTGCAATTGAGTAAAACAATCGTGCAATGTAAATTAAATAATTCTCCGACAGATGCAGCGACTATAAACTCAATTGTAACAACTTGCCCCACATTTCCCTATATCACAGTTTTGGAAGAGAATATGAAATAGTAATTAACGTCATAAGTCCGGCAAATGAATTGTAACGATGCGAGATAGAGGTTCTAATCGAGTATTTTTTACGAAGGAAAATTACTTACGAAAAAATTGGAATAGTCTCCATATAGTACTGCAAAGCAGTTTTTCTGTGTTTATCTCATAGAGTAAATACTCTATGGTTTATCTGCTACAAAAGCAGGTTTCACCCATTGAATAACAATAACATTGATTTATAAGACCTAATTTCGAACAAAAATTATTTTGTTGAGATTATGAGACATATCGATATCAAGCTCTTTTCAACTACAATACCCAGCATATTTTTCTTTATTAAGGTACCAATCTTTTTTTAGAAAGGAAAACAAAATGCCAAATAAACTCGGAGCAAAACCACCTATTCAACTTGAATGCTCCTTGCGATAGTACCATCCCCCCCCTCTCCCGCACTCTTAAGTCCATATTTATTATTTTGAATTTGTACGGTTTCGTAATATGTAATACAATATTCCCACAACTTTGATTACAATAGTTAATAGATAGCGGACCCCATACCTTATCTTGTTAACATAACCTTTGAAGCACCATATTTAAAAGAATTACCCACCAAGTATAGGAAAAACAATTCATTGTGCTCCTATATTTCTGCGATTTATATATAGATTAATTAACCAGAGATTATGAATCACAATAGTCAAAAGATGAAATAAATATAATTCGGAAATGGAATGATAAAGTCAGACAAAAAAACCAACTGATGACCTTTGGTATGATTTGGTAACAAGGACATAATAATCAGAAAGTGTTGCCATTAAAATTTGGAGTAGTTAATGTTATAAATTGTGTAGGAATTAAACATAAAATGGAAGAAATTATCAAATTACCGTTAGTGTTTTTTGTGAATGGAAAAAAGGTAAAATGTGTACTTATATCATCGTAGTACCGTGTCCATAAATGTAATTTCAAGTCTTTGCCGAGATCGGCGTTGAAATATGCGCCTCCGAACTGTTTATAAGACCTTGTTTATAGACCTTTTCTGGTAGTAAAAATAACGAACGCCGCATATTATATGCAGTGATTTTAAGAAATGTACTCACACCGTCATTCTTGCTCACAACCAAAACAAAAAGAAAGACCCACATGTTAATTTTCCATATTTTTTTTAAAATTAATGACTTGCGGCAATCAGTAACCTTGCCTTTTATTTTAGATTGTCGAAAAAGCACCAGATCCCCAATGGACATTACTTTATTATTTACGAAACAAACGTAAGTATCTGCACGAAAAAGTGAATATTTATGAAATTTCAAACAGTTTTGCTCTGTGGTGCCAAACTGGGATGTGGAGAAGGGGGTTGTGGAGCATGTACGGTTATGATTTCTACATACAATCGCAAAGAGAAGAAAATCAAGTATCCTTTTTTTTAACTCCACAGTTTACTAAAACTAGTCGGATCCTCGATCTTCTTGTTAGTAGAGTACATATATGTTGCAAGAAGCTCGTTCAAAAAATACGTAGATTGCGTCTATTTCGCGAGCCCATTTGGTTGCAAACAAAAAATAAGCTTTCAATCGCCCCAGTGGTCCACCCAATGTGACATTTTTCCCATGAGGTTCGACTGTCTCCCTCAAAGCTCCACAATAAACAAGATTTAACTACAATGATGTTTAAACGTCTGCGAGGCTATCTACTAGAAAACACACGAAATGTGGACTAGTCGTGACTGATTTCTTCTTATGATGCCATCCTAAGTATTTTTTGACTAGGTCTTGGTATCACGCGTTTCTCCTATACCTCTTTACCTACACTGGGATACATATATATATTACAACCTCTATCTCGTTTCAAAGCTTATGAGATTTGATTGCCGAGATTCACTTTACCATTGTAAAACTACACATAGGTATTAAACTTAACTTCTCACAGTCACATCGCTATTAACGCCTGCTTAGCACCAGTATGCTTAATGCATGGCTTAGCTGTGACAACTGTGGAAGGTATCGGATCCACGAAGAAGAAGATTCACCCTGTCCAAGAAAGAATAGCAAAATGTCATGGCACTCAGTGCGGATTTTGTACGCCAGGATTTGTAATGTCAATGTATACTTTATTACGTAATAACCCACTACCAAAAATGAAAGACCTCGAGGAAACCTTCCAAGGCAATTTATGTCGATGTACCGGTTATAGACCAATTATTGAAGGATTTAAGACTTTTACTGAAGACTGGGAGCTGATGCAGAATGAAAAAGGGGGATGCCAAATGGGCGATCAGTGTTGTAAAGTTAACCGTCAAAGCGACGAAGACGTTCTTGTTGACACAGGCGCATTTGTTCCTTACGATTCAACACAGGAACCAATATTCCCACCTGAACTAAAATTGTATGACACATTTGATCGACAAGAACTAATTTTTCATGGGACAGAAGTAACGTGGCATCGACCAGTTGTATTAAAAGATCTCATCGAATTAAAAGCAAAATATCCCAAAGCTAAACTCGTTAATGGCAACACGACAATCGGTATCGAGGTAAAATTTGGAAACCGTGTATATCCTATGCTGCTCCATTCGGCATATATACCAGAACTGACGGATATTCAATTGACAAGCACTGGAGTTCGTTTTGGTTCGGCAGTCACATTTTCCAATCTTTCCAAGTATTTATCTGAGCAAATCCAGGTGCTTCCCGAACACGAAACGCGCATTTTTGTTGCCGTTGTCGACATGTTGCGTTACTTAGGAGGGAAACAAATTCGCAATGTCGCTACAATTGGTGGAAATATAGCTAACGCCAGTCCATTGTCAGATTTGTGCACAGTCTTAGTCGCTGCAGGAGCAGTGGTAGAGATATCTAGTGTTCGCGGATCAAGGGTGGTCACAATGGATGAACACTTCTTTACGCGATATCAAACTACAATATTACAAGATGTTGAAATACTAATAGCAATAACAATTCCATATTCCAATTCCAATCAGTACTTTCATTCATATAAACAATCTCGCAGACGTGACCAAGATACCGCAATTGTTAACTGCGCATCTAATATCATTTTTGGAGAAAACAAGGTAATCGAGGAGTTTAAAATTGTATTTGGAGGAATGGGTCCTACGATCATGGTACCCGTAAGGCTCTGTGCTGAAATGGTGGGAAAACTTTGGAACGAAGAGACTCTAAACTGGGCCATAGAGTGCCTAGCAGAGGATGTATCGCTTCTCACAGACCTTCCCGGGGGCATGATTCAATACAGACGTTCCCTCACATTAGGTTTGATGATACGGACGTACTGGACAATAATGGAAAAACTATCAAGTAATAGACATGATCTGAAGGATCTCAGCGGAAGTCGAGGATTTTCCAACCAGATAGCCAGAAGTTCGCAAATATTTCACATTCATCCCTCTAGCCTTAAAACCGACACAGTAGGTAAACCAATACCGCATATTTCCGCCTTTAGGCATGCCACGGGCGAAGCAATATACTGTGACGATATGCCTCCTTTCAAAAATGAACTGTACATGGCGGTTGTGTTAAGCACAAAGGCCCATGCTCATTTTACAATGGACGCGTCGGATGCCGTCCAAATGGAAGGTGTGCGACTTTTTCTTTCGGCCGCAGATTTGCCACACGAACTTAATTGTATTGGACGGGGAAATCCGAATGCAGTTTTTGTTGAAAAAACTGTAACGTCTCATGGGCAAGTCCTGGGCGCAATAATTGCCGAAAGTCAAGCTATAGCTCAAAGCGCTGCACGCAGAGTGAAAGTGACGTATGAAGAGCTCGAGCCAGTAATTATTAGTATCGAAGATGCTATTGAGCATAAATCCTATTTTACGGATGTGACCAATCCGTGTGTGGCGGAAAAGGGGAATGTAGATGAAATATTTAGAACTGCGCCCCATATAATTCACGGTGAGAGTAGATCAGGGAAGCAAGAGCATTTTTATCTGGAAACTCAATGTACGGTCGCTGTGCCGAAAGAGGATGGCGAATTGGAAGTATATAGTTCCACGCAGTTTCCAAACTTGCTTAGCGTAGGACCTCAGTAAGTACCTTTAACTTCATTTTATAAGACAGCCTTTTATAGTGTGCAATTGCTCATTCGTTGAATTTACCCATGAACCGAGTTCCTGTAATTGTGAAACGATTGGGTGGTGGATTTGGGGGCAAGGAGCTATGTGCCGGCTCTATTGCGATACCAGCAGCTTTGGCAGCACAAAATCTCGGCTGTCCAGTTAGGTGCATGCTCGATCGAGATGAAGATATGCTGATTACCGGTGGGAGACATCCAACTTATATAAAGTACAAAACGGCATTTGACGACGATGGAAAGATACTTGCCACTGAAGTTTATCTCTATATCGATGGCGGATACTCTAGTGAAGCGACAGATTTAGTAAGTGCTATATATAGCTATAATAGGTAGATATATACAGTGATATTCATGTAGAAGTAGATATAGGGATTTCCTATGTCTACTTTCAAATGATAAAAGGTCTTCTGAAAGACGCCTAACTTTATGCAACCAAAATAACTTCTTGAAACAAATAAAGATCTGGCTGTCATATTAATTATTAATTTGATTATTTTTACTTTGGCTTCACAGAAAATTAACTTTAATTGTTATTGGCACTATACCAATTTGAAACATCAACTTTTTCTTTAGTTGAATACATCTCACACGAACGAAAATTAGAATACGGAAGTCAAAGCGATAATATAATATGACAGACAGATCTTCATTTGTTGTAGGTAGTTATTTTGGTTGCATAAAGTTAGGCGTCCTTTAGAAGACTTATTATCATTTAACACTTCTAATTCAATCTTCCCAGGACAAATTTAATTTTATAGGGCTTTAAGCTGTAGATAGGGTTGGTAGAACAGCCTTGAGTAAAACCCCGCCTACTTAATAATATACAATGATCTGAATATCTGAATTAAAGACAGTTGTTCACTGCTGGTAATAGAAATGACGTCAAAAACGTATTCAGTTGGTTAAAATATAAGTACACTCCTCAAACCACCACAAATGACCCCGACGTGATGTTGGAAGGAGAAGCAAGTGTAAATCCATCAATGGAAGGAGGACAAAATACTAACGATATCGCTCGTGTTGCAATTCTTGTAAACGACGTGTAAGAACACCACTCCAAACAAGGCAGTGGGAGGTTGGTGGTGCTAATTTCAGAATAAGCTCGTTTCTGGAAAAGTACTGTCACTGATGCATAAAATGACGTCATTTTCATTAGCAAACAACCCTAAACAAAGCCTAAGCTAGAAGTACGGGGAACCATTTCAAACGCGCCCACAGAATTCTCCCACACCACATAACATTCCTGTTATTTGGAAGATTCGTTTTGAGTTGCATACGACCCCAAGAAATGACTACACTGTCACTATATTCCGTCCATCCTCCTGTTGTTTTAACAACATGTACGCTATCCGGTTTGTAAATGGTCGTGATGCGAAAAGGGCACTGTGAATGTTGATCGATTGGGCCCAATTTTTGGAATTGCGTTTTATATGCCTAAAGCTATACGCACATTGAATTTCATGCAATTCGGATCATAACTAACGGAGATGCCAAAAGGGCCTTCTTTATTTTTTGGGCTACCTTGCCAATTCACGAACTCCGATCTACAAATTTGATAAAGAATCCACCTGCAAAATTTCATCATAATCGGTCCATTCGTTTATGAGTTATCGTGCTAACGGACGGACAGACGAACATACGGACAGACACCGCAAAATTATAAACTTGCTAGGAGCTCGCGCAGTGCCAACTTTCTTATTTATGGAGGGATTTAAATCAAATTTGATACATAGCCCCTTGGAATAAAAGCAAATGTAGCGCCATTTCCCAAATTTGGTTTTGTGTAGGATTTGCAGTGCCAACTTTCTTATTTATGGAAGCAATTAAAAGAAATTTCATACATATACCTACACTTTAAATAAAAGCAAAACTAACATCAGGTTTAAAATTTGGTTTTGCACCCAGGAGCTCGTTTGCTATATTTGTTTAACTTATTTATTTAGCACTTTAAGAAAATGAGGTTGATGTTAGCAAGGTTTTATACACACTCCCTCATCACTCATCAATAGTATCGTTTGCTATTGCACGCTAAATAGAAGAAGCATTAATTATCTGCAAAATATGCTAACGAAGTGATATTTATTTTATGGCAGATGTGAAATTGACGTCCTAATAGGTTTGGATAAGTATGCTAAGTGTCTCTTTAACAGTAGGGGTAAACAAAGTGATCATTTTAAGGGCAAGGGTAGGTAAAGTGAAACAAATCATTTTGCATTCCAATGGCATCTGTCAATCTTATTAAAAATGTGACGCTGAGTATCAAATAAAATGAAGTTCAGCATAGAATACAAGTTTTTCTCCATGGGAACGACGGCAGAACCTAAGGTTGCTATTTTTGACGTCTAAATTAAATAGTAATGTTGTACTCTTAACGCCTCAAACTCTAAAACTTCGAGAGACCTGAAATCCTGATGGACAAAAATTACGAAAGACGAGGATTCCTCCACTTGCTTGGAACTCTCTTAACTAAACAGAGAAGCTATATTTATAAGCAGGCTTTGGTTATCCTCTTACTCTGATATCCTTTGTTCTGTCTAAGCCACCTGGACGAGTCTCAAAAAAGTAACTTGAATCAAAGACGATTGCCTTATTCTATTTCAAAATCCAAATTAAATGTTACTGGAGTACTAATAAAAGGCAATAAAGGATAAACCGCGTGTAAAGCGGATCTCGAAATACGGTAGACTGTGCAGTGCAGAGTTTGTACAGAATCGTTTGCCAGTTGTGTTCAAAGACAGACAGACAGGCTCTTCCGCTTAATAATGACTTACAACTGAATTTAGTAAATTTAATTCTAAAAACAAAAAAATTCGATATCGCCTAGGCTTAGTTTATTTAGAGAGCAACAAAACAAATAAAGACGTGTATAATCTTTCTGCTCACTCCAATCAAAGAGCATATAACATACTCTTTGCTCCAATACTGTCTTAATATCTCAAGAAAAGCAGATTCGTAAAGTAGGCGGCTTTGACATTTTTCTTTTCCTAGAATGGTCATTATTTTGATAGATTAAGATCAAATCTGGGCTATCGTGGTTGAATAAGTTACGTTATTTTAGATTACTCGTGTAGCTCTGATAAACCTTCCAAACGCATACAATATCAGGAATATACGAACCTACGGCTACATGTGCAAGACTAATACGCCCTCGAATTTGGCATTTAGAGGATTTGGGGCTCCTCAAGCTATGCTATCGGCCGAGTACATGATAAGAGAAATAGCCGAATTCCTCAAAAAAGATCCTTTGGATGTGGCTCGTGTGAATTTGGCAAAAGAGGGTGACGTGACCTTCTATGACCACATAATGGAAAATTGCACTCTATCTCGATGTTGGGACGAGTGCCTCACTAATTCCAGCTATTCCAGTCGCGTATCTGCTGTAAATTCATTCAACAGGTAAGTGCCCTGATTGCGAAATCGACTATAATGACAAACTGTTTAGGGCGAATCGTTGGAAAAAGCGTGGCATTGCAGTGGTGCCCACGGCTTTTACTGTCGGATATGGGACTGCCGCATTGCGATTTGCCGCAGCCTTACTCCACGTGTACTTAGATGGTTCAGTCTCGCTGACTCATAGTGGAGTTGAAATGGGCCAAGGCTTACACACTAAAATGATTCAAGTAGCGAGCCGAGCTTTAGAAATACCTCACAGTCTAATTTACACCAGCAGCATAGCCACTGACAAGGTCCCAAACCCAAATATAACAAGTGCAAGCGTGAATTCAGATTATAATGGAATGGCAGTTTTGGTAATATCAGAGTTAGTGTGTGCGTATCCATTCCTCCTGTTTTTAGAATGCGTGCGAAATCATAAAATCACGTTTAGAACCCTACAAAAAAGCAAATCCAGAAGGCAAATGGGAAGATTGGGTAGCGGCCGCTCATTGGGATAGAGTAAACCTGTCGACAACTGGATTTTACAAAAACCCCTCAAAAGACTTTGACTGGAAGACTATGACTGGTACATACACCGATTATTTAACAATGGGTGTAGCTTGCACAGAAGTTGAAATCGATTGCCTTACTGGAGACCATCAAATAATAAGAACTGACATTGTCATGGATGTCGGTAAATCTATTAAACACTTTCTACTGCGAGTGAGTAATTGAGATTTTAGGAGAAAGTCTCAATCCCGCGATAGACATCGGACAAATCGAAGGTGCATTTATGCAGGGTTACGGATTATTTATGCTAGAAGAGTTCATGTTTGCCCCGGATGGAGCGATACTAACGAAAGGTCCTGGCACTTACAAAATACCAACGCTCTCCAATATCCCCATTGAATTTAACGTGGCTTTGTTAAAAGGGGCGTGTAATCCAAAAGCTATATATTCGTCTAAGGTACCTTTAAACTTGCAGGAGTTTTATTCACCTTCAGCATTGCAGGGAATCGGAGAACCTCCTTTGTTTTTATCAAGTTCGGTGTTCTTCGCAGTGAGGGAAGCGATTAAAGCTGCCAGAAGGGATGCTGGAGTTCCCGAAACTGGTTTTAAACTGTCTGCTCCAGCAACATCGGAAGTTATTCGACTCGCTTGTGAAGATCATCTGACAATGAAGGTATGAGTACATATGCGTTATCAATTTTTTAAGTTCTGTATTTAGATACGAAAAGTGCAACCTAAGGAAACTGCGTGAAATGTATGTGCTTTATTGTACACCAGTAGACTTTTCTGTGATGTTAAAATTTATTTCTTAGGGTGGTACACCTTTTTTAATTAATATTAAATCACTTAAGTAATATAACTTTTTCTATCCTTTCGCAAACTCGGGGACTTTTTTTGTTCCGAATACATACCTATATTTCTTTGATCGGTAAGACAGCAGATGCAGCTGTCCATGGAAATTATTCGGAAAATACAGTTACTGGAAAATAAAAAGGTCGGACAACGGAAAGGCAATTTCTATAGTACATACCGATTTGAAAAAATGAGCAAAGTCCAAGGGACTTTGGCACATTTTTGTGTCGCAGATCAGTATTCTATTAGCCAGTTTGGACTCCACCATCAATCAGATCTTGTCGAAGGCTACCACATTCAGTTTGTCGGTATCCGCTTCCCACACTTGCCGTGCACCCGCAATTCGCGTTTGAAGTTTTGACTCCACCATCAGTAAGATCTCGTCGGAGAATACCATATTCCCTTTTTCGGTACCCACCTGACACCTCCAACGTCACCCGCAATTAGAGTTTATGTTTTGATTCGATCATCATAATAAAATCTTATCGGGGGTTACCACATTCCACTCAATTTTTGAGTACTTCTCATAGCTCGAGCTTCTATTGGCGACACGAGAAAGAGAGACCGCGATTCGAGCTCTAAGAAACTTTTGGGCGCCGCCTAAAGTCGATTATCCCTCGAAGCGAGCCGTGCAAAAGGTTCTCTATTTCGCCCCTAGGAAACAAACAAAATTACGCCACGCAGGAGTTATGGAGTTATTATCTTTCCGACGACACCAATTCGAAAACAATCGGAAAAAACCTGTAGGAGATAGAAAAAAACTGAAAAATCTCCAGATTAGTAAAACACGCTCGGGGATGGCGCCCAGATGTTGCCGACCCGACATCTTGTAGCCCCGTCCGTCCGGACCCACTTCTGCCGTTTTGAACTACTTCTGGAATTTTTTGCAGTGGGTAGCCTATACCTTTAAGGTGTGCCAGACGGCCATCAAATTTCGCTGTCTAAAAGGAAGGCCTCTCCACGAATTATTGCCTGAGATCCTGTTTTTGAAAGTAAAACGTGCATAGATTTTGCATACGCATGCCTTTAGGGGTGCTAAGTTAAACTTTGGGAAATGGGGGGGGGGCGGGGCGGGGGTAAACACATGTTCTACCCTTCATGGTATTCTAATGAAAGGTCTCATCGAAATAAATTGGTTTGTACAAACCACCACCGGCCACCAGTACCTTTTTCCAGTTTCATTAATGCGAATTGTTAGCTAATTAGGGTCCATTGTCTAGGCACGAATTGTCCGCATATGAAAAACATGGCATTAACTTTTTCACACAATTGTTACTATTTTAGAGCACATAACGTTTGCAAAAAAGTGCAGTGGTACTTTAAACGATTCCTATTCGCTGTTACAAACTGTTAACCTTTGCTACTTTCTGCGTTGTGTAACAAATTTAATTACTCGCGCCGAAGAAATTTCTCGATAACATTTGTTTATGTGCACCATTTAATTATCTTAAGTTTCTGCATTTATTTATAAGCAAATTTAGAAAGTTAATTGTTTAGAGTGAAAGAGTGAAATGGACAAAATAAATTATAAATTACCTTTAGTGTTTTTTGTCAATGGAAAAAAGGTAAAGTATTTGGCAAAGCTTATTTTATCACGTGCTATGTAATGTAAGAAATAATAAATTATTTATAGTTGTAAAGGTATGTTTCCACTAAAATGTAATGTTTTTTGTTTGCTTTTTCCGAAAATGTTCCACTAAGTTCTCTAAAGTTTCTGAATGTTACACTCGGTTTTTGTTCGAAATTCCGGTTGTTCCCGGTTTCCATTTCGAGCGGTAAACTTCATAGGAAAATCAGCAGCATAGGGAAACAGATAAACAAGTTGCTGCTTGTCGCCGTCTCAGTGGAAACGAATAAGGAATAGAAACTTTGGTAATATCGGCAATATCGCCTAGTAGTTTGGTCAAAATAGACATTTCAAATAACAAAAATTCCGACAGAGCTTAATTTTAATACAGACCTTGGGCAGGTACACCAGTAGAAATAAAGTGCCAAAAGTCCCCATATATAGATCCCATGGTGTGTGCTAAAGTTATTCAAGGTCAAATGTCAAAATTTTCTGTTTTTTGGATTTTTCTCGAAACCGGTAAGCTTGATCTACCATATTATAAACAAGTGCAAGTCTTCCCTCGAAAGGAACATTCAAAACAAAAAAAATTTAACTTAACCCACTTGAAAAAAGTGAGCATTTGCCACGCGGACAATAGAGTAGGCTAATTTTGAACAAGGGTAGAGGGAACTGGCTAAGGGACTACTAAATCTTTTGAGTGTATATTCTCAGAATTGTATATTTTAAAGGTACATATACGAGACACAAATAAGAACTTTTACTTATTAAGTGCCTGACTATGTACGTACGAGTATATACAGGGTGTCAATTTGAAACTTGCAGTCGGCCATATTTTTCAAACTAAAGAAGATATTGAAAATCGCGAAAAACCGTTTCGGGGGTATCAAGGGGGAACGAGGATGACGTTATGAGTGACAACCCCCCACTCCCCTTAACCCCCAGCCCCTCCTCTTCAAAAATCCTAAATGGCAACCCCATACTTGGGACACGTCGTTGGAAAGCTACTGAAAAATGCTTTCCAGTGGTACCAATATAGTCAATATTCATTAAGACAATTTAACAAAAATTTAATAAGTATTTGAAATTAGCACTCCATGTACTGTATGGCCTAATTTATTGGAGAATTTGACCCTCTCTCATTGACACATTGAGACTTTCTGTGATGTCATTAAAATCTCAAAAAATTCATATTGAGATACCTATCTCTATAAAATTCGAAAAGAATTTAGCAGATTTCGAACTACCGTTACAGTTTGAGATCGGTATGTGAAGTGAGATGGCTTGTATACGCTGGAACTCAAGGAAGCGAAGATATTCTATGTACTATAAGAGTTTTATCACTGTCATTGTAGGTAAAGATAATAAGTAAGAGAGAGTTGCTTTAATAATTTTGTAATTAAATAACTGCAAAGTTTGTAGATAAGGAAGTACTCGTATTTCGTCGGCCCTTAGCGAAAATGAAAAATGGTGATTGAGATGGTCTGGACCTCGGTCTCGTGCCGATGTGTGGGGTGATCTCCGTTCATTTGACTTTGCGTACGTAACAGCCCGTTGCGTGTAATTTCAAATATGTATTTTTCCAGTAGTCAGCTGCTATTGTTGTGTCAGTCAGTTAAATTGAGAAGTGATACAGGAATAGTTTTCTGATTGCTGTTCAAAGTTAGCGTTCACGCAATTAGGTACACGTTACAGAAGAGGAGGTGTTTCGTCAATTTTAATGGCGTGTCTTCGTTAAAATTAAAATTTGTGTCCGAGCTACCATTTCAATAATGTCAGTAGTCATGGAACCAGTGCTGGCGATTTAAAGGTTTTTGTTATTCAATGAACATTTCTCTTTTCTAGTATAAGGTAAAATTGAATAGTGTTGCTTCATTTGAATTACAGATTTCCGGAATTTCCTAGATTTTGATGTCAGATTTTCAAACGTTTCGGAACCCAGCTGGAACCTGAGATTCAATTTAATTGATAGTGGTTTGTTACAAGTTTTAATTCGTGTAATTTTAGCTAGCTAGGTAAGTGTTAATTGAGGGGTGTAATGAACTCGTGCCACTGGGCAGAGCAATAATGGTGGCCCAACGTGGAAAACAGCATTTATTGTTTATGCGCCCGAATTAAGGGACACAACAATAAATTATTGTGGTTTGTCGGTGTGTTTGTGTTACTTTTTGTATATTACATGTTTTAAATAAAAAATACTGCACTATGTTTAATGAATCATTTCATATATTTGGTATAATAATCTGCAGTTAGACTGTAGATTTCTAACAAAGATGTTCTGATGCAGGTTATTGAAGAACGTCCAGATCCGGACTGGACGTTGTTACACTATTTGCGAACCAAACGTATCCTTTGTTATATAGGTGTATGTAATCCCTAGGTGTATTCACCTTAACGTCGAAATAGTGATGCTATTTGGAACAAAATTGGCCTGCGGCGAAGGGGGTTGCGGGGCATGTACCGTTATGATTTCCAAATACGATCGCGATAAAAATGAAGTATAGTATCCTTTTCAAGTATAGCTTTCGGAAATACTGTGTATATATTTTGTTTATATTAAGAATAGTCATCTGGCAATCAATGCGTGCTTGGCACCGGTTTGTTCAATGCATGGTTTGGCCGTTACAACCGTAGAAGGTATTGGATCTACGAAAACCAAGCTGCATCCAGTTCAAGAAAGAATGGCTAAATCACATGGTAGTCAATGCGGTTTTTGTACACCAGGAATTGTTATGTCCATGTATACCTTATTACGCAATACTCCGCATCCAAAAATGGATGACTTAGACAAAACTTTTCAAGGAAATTTATGTAGGTGTACTGGGTACAGACCGATAATTGAAGGATTCAAAACCTTTACCGAAGATTGGGAGGTAATGCGAAGTGCCAATGAAAATGGCATTTGCGCAATGGGTGATAACTGTTGTAAACTATCTACGAAACGTAGCTCGACCATCGATACTAATACGCTTATTCCCGCTAACGAATTTACTCCATACGATTCCTCGCAGGAACCGATATTTCCACCTGAACTTCTAGTGTATGACATCCTAGATAAGCAAAGCTTGGTATTTAAGAACGACACAGTCACGTGGTTTCGGCCCAATACTTTGGAGGACTTACTTACCCTGAAATCCAAGCAACCCAAAGCTAAAATTGTAATGGGAAACACAGAAATTGGTGTTGAAATCAAATACAAGCATCAGTATTATCCGATCCGCATACACGCAAGTCAAATTCCAGAACTATCTACCGTCAGCACTGTTGACGCAGGGATACGATTTGGATCCGCTGTGACCCTAACGAAAGTCGCAAACGTTTTGAAAAATCAAATTAAAGCAAAACCAAAGAGCCACACGCGTATCTTTGCAGCATTGCTAGACATGATCCATTGGTTTGCAGGTCAACAAATTCGCAATGTTGCCTCTATCGGTGGAAATATTGTAACCGGCAGCCCCATATCTGATCTGAATCCCATTTTTATCGCGTCGGAAGCTGTCCTGGAAATTGGAAGCGTGAGAGGAATACGGCGGATCGTTATGGACGAAAACTTTTACTTGGCCTATCGCACCACGGTTCTACGCGAGGACGAAGTGCTTATCTCGCTAACCGTTCCATATTCGAAACAAAACCAATTTTTCTGCGCTTACAAGCAAGCTCGCAGACGAGACGATGACACCGCGATCGTCAATTTTGCCATTAACGTTACATTTGAAGAAAACACCAAAATGATACAGGCTTTTAAGGTAGCTTTCGGTGGAATGGGTGCAACAGTTCAAGTTCCATTAAAAACGTGTAAGGTGATGCTTGGTCGATCTTGGAATCAAAACACTTTGAACATGGCTTTAGATAGTTTAATCGAAGGACTTCCGCTATCTCCAAATGCACCAGGAGGCATGATCCAGTACAGACGGTCATTGAGTCTGAGCTTCATTTTTAAAGCGTATTTGGAAATTATGAATAACCTTAATGGTAAACTAAACGCCAGGGAATTAAGTGCGATAGAACCATATCAGTTTAAAGTCCCCAAAAGTTCACAAATGTTTCACATTTTACCATCCAGTATGAAGACGTGCGCAGTCGGAAAACCCATTCCTCATCTCTCCGCTATCAAACAATCGACCGGCGAGGCAGTCTATTGCGACGATATGCCCGAGTTTAAAAATGAGCTGCATATGGGCTTGGTTTTAAGTTCAAAGGCACACGCCACTTTCAAGATGGATCCATCGGATGCGTTAAAATTGGATGGCGTTCACCTATTTCTTTCCGCGGAAGATATTAGTCCTGAAAATAACTGTAAGTTAGGGTTTCAGTCGGATATCGTGGTCTTCGTAGAGAAAACGGTAACATCCCAAGGACAAATACTGGGTGCAATTGTGGCAGAGAGTCAATCACTTGCCCAAAAAGCCGCACGAATGGTGAAAGTCACATACACTGAATTACAACCAGTTATAGTTACAATCGAAGATGCGATAAAATACAACTCTTTTTTCACAAATATTGTCAATCCTAGTGTTATTGAAGCTGGCAATGTCGATAAAGCGTTTACAGGTGCTTCGCATGTAATAGAAGGTGAGTGTAGATCGGGTGCCCAGGAACACTTCTACCTAGAACCCCAATCGACCATAGCAGTTCCCAAGGAAGATAATGAATTGGAAATCTTCTGCGCCACTCAATGTCCACTTTTTACTGCCGTATGATGTACTGTTGCATCCCAGTCATAGTATAACTCGATATGCTTTCAGCAAAAAATAAGTACAGTGCTAAACATACCACAACATAAAATTCACGTGCGAGTTAAGAGACTCGGGGGAGGTTTTGGAGGTAAAGAGCAAAGACCAGCTTCTATTGCGGTACCGGCTGCATTAGCTGCAAATCGTCTACGAAGACCGGTCAGATGCATATTGGACCGAGATGAAGATATTTTAATAACTGGCGGGAGACATCCATTCTACATAAAATACAAAACAGCATTTGACGATCATGGCAAAATACTGGCGTGCGAAATATTCTTGTACAACAACGGGGGATATGCAAGTGACCTGTCAGACTTGGTAAGTCTATTGTAGAATTAGTTCTTACATCGCAAAATGGTAGTACAGGCAACTAACATAGTAGATGCCACCCATCAAATTTGGTTACCAATTCGTTTTCCCAAAGCAAGTGATTCAAACTGTCCTGGTACGATATAACGTTTGCGTTACTATAAGTTGCCGATGGGCTTATGGACCTTCAGGGATATGGTTGGTAGAAATTAATCCTTTCGTTGAGACCTTTCAGTAGAGTACCATGAAGGATAAAACTAGTTTCACTTCCCTCCCCCCTCCCCCTCCACACCGTACTTTGATAAGAGGACAGAAAGAAGAGCAGTAGTTGGTAGAAAACGGATCCTTTCGTTGAGACCTTTAATTAGAATACAGTGAGAGATAAAATTAATTTTTAACCCCCCTCCCCCTCAGGCCCCGTTGCCCACTGATCTCGAAAAAGAGTCGCACGGGAAAGTTATAGTTTGCACAAACCAATTTATCTCGATGAGACCTTTCATTAGAATACCATGAAGGGTAATACATGTGTTTACCTCCCCCCCCCCACCTTTAAATTCTTAAAAGCTTTCAATGACTCGCAAAAGCTGTTAAAAGGTTTGGTTCAGAAAGTGAAAAAAGAAAGTATGGAGCACTTTTTGGGCTCTTGAAGACTGAGACACTTTATAGCCTTGAAAAGAATCATAACATCCTCTAAAGATCTCTAAAAGCCCATAAAAACTTAGGTGCTGTTAATAGCGCGCCTCTTAAACATGCTTAAAGCGTATTAAAGCTTTGAAGACCATTTTTCAAAGCTCTTATACACTCCAAACGTCTTTAGAAGACTCTTTTTGGAGTCTAGAAAACTTTGAAACTCTTGAAGGCATCTAAAATATCTTAAAGATTTACTAAACCTCTTAAGTGCTCGGTCGTTCGAGCGAGGAAAAAATCTTGAATACTTCGCGAAGACCCTTTGGTGCACTTGGAAGCCCTTGAAAATCGTTTTCAGCAGTTTCAGACCTTTAAAGACCATCCATGCAAGCTTTAAGGGTTTATAAAAGACCTTAAAGGCTCTTCAAGGCGTAGCTCTTAGGCGCTCTTAAAGGGCACTGAGAATTTTTAACAGCTTTCATAAGCTCTTGGAGGCTTTTGGCAATCCTTAGGAACTGTTGCCAAATCGTAAAGGCTTTTAAAGACGCCCATAAAGTCCGTAAATGTTTCTAATAGGCTTTTAAGGCCCTGATATTAAATGTTCTTAAAGATTCTTAAAGGGCTATTGAGGCTTTAAACACCGTAGAGACCATTGCAGACTATGCGAGGAAACATACTCGTACGGTGACGCAGTAATGTTCTCAAATACCTTTAAAGGTCAATAAATCATCTCTGAAGGGCTAATAAAGACCCTTAAAAGCTCACCTTGAGAATTCTTCAAGATTATTGAAGGCGTTTAAAAACTAAAACCTCCTCTCTTAAAGACTCTTGGATGGGACGCCTAATTGCAATTAAAAAGTGTGGACCATTTCAGGAAACTCAAATACAAGACAAGCTTTCAAGTAGATAAGAGTCAAAACGTTACAGTGTTGTCACGATCTCACAGAAAGTTTCGTTCCGTTTTGTGAAAAACTATTGGTGAAATTTACGAACAAACCGGCTACCGGTAAAAAGGTTAACGACAATTAATATAAGCTTTTGTTTGCTCTTAAACGCCTAAGTTCCAAGTGTACATTTTTGCCTTTTATATATTGCGGAACATCGGGTTTACTGTGGATAACTCAAAGTTCAACTTATTAAATCAAAGTAAGATCTAGCAACAAATTAAGACAGCTTTTTTGTCCTAGATCGGATCAGTTTATTGCATTTGCTTTGGGAAAGCATAATTTTTATCACCTTCTACCTTGAAATTAAACTACACATTTGCTCACGGGCCATTAATTCTATAAGGGATTGTACTTAATAGCGAAACGGAAACTGTATCGATCAGCTTTTTTAGATCATGCAAAGGGCACTATATCATATTCAAAACGCGTACAACATTCCAAACGTGCGCGCCTTCGGATACGTTTGTAAAACGAATTTGCCGTCCAATATGGCTATGCGAGGATTTGGTGCCCCGCAAAGTATGTTAGCGGGCGAATTTATGGTTAGGAAAATCGCTGAGTTCCTGGGCAAGGAGTCTAATGAAATTGCGGAGCTCAACATGTACATGTGCGCGCCTTCGGATACGTTTGTAAAACGAATTTGCCGTCCAATATGGCTATGCGAGGATTTGGTGCCCCGCAAAGTATGTTAGCGGGCGAATTTATGGTTAGGAAAATCGCCGAGTTCCTGGGCAAGAAGTCTTATGAAATTGCGGAGCTCAACATGTATAGGACTGGCGACATCACGCATTACAAGCAAGATATTGAGAATTGTACCGTAGGGAGATGTTGGAGGAATGCGTTACTAATTCGAACTTTTACGAGCGAAAATTAAGTGTTCAAAAATTTAATAGGTTCACCTCTTATATTTAGCCCATTGCAGAAATAATGGTTGATTTTTAGCGAAAATCGTTGGAAAAAATGCGGCATTACGCTTGTGCCAACAATGTATGGTGTCGGTTTTGGTATGCCATCGTATCAGCAAGCAGGTGCATTGGTTAATGTTTATACAGATGGATCAGTGCTATTGGCACATGGAGGAGTGGAAATGGGACAAGGTTTGCACACAAAAATGATACAAGTAGCAAGCACAGTGTTGGAAATCTCTCACGATAAGATACACACAAGTGAAGTGTCTACGGTGACGGTTCCTAATCCAACAGGAACGTCGGCGAGTGTGTCTTCCGATCTCAATGGAATGGCCGTTTTGGTACCTTTCACTCGCTGGTTACGTCCTTATTATAGTTTTTACTTCAGAACGCTTGCGAAAAAATCAAATCTCGTTTGGAACCATTTAAATTAGCAAATCCAAAAGGCACGTGGGATGATTGGGTTTTAGCCGCCTACACGGAGAGAGTAAACTTATCCGCAACAGGGTTTTATAAAACACCTACTTCACCATACGACTGCAGTACACAATCAGGTTGTTTCTATGACTATTACAGTGCAGGTGCGGCTTGTACGGAGGTTGAAATCGATTGTCTCACTGGAGATCACAGGATATTACGAACTGACATTGTAATGGATGTAGGTGTGTGATTTCTTAAGAATTTCAGCAACTTGGACCATATTATTGTAGGAGAAAGTCTAAATCCCGCAGTGGACATTGGACAAATCGAAGGCGCTTTTGTACAAGGCTACGGCCTATTCATGCTCGAGGAATTAATGTTTGCACCCGACGGAACCACGCTGACCAAAGGCCCTGGAAGCTACAAACTACCGAGTTTTACAAGCATTCCGTTGGAGTTTAACGTTTCGTTACTCAAAGGAGCTCCTAATCCAAAAGCAATATACTCCTCAAAAGTATTCAGAATAATAATTTAGACGAGTCAGATGGTAATCTTACTTTCAGGCAATTGGAGAACCTCCCCTTTTCTTAGCCAGTTCAGTTTTGTTTGCGGTACGGGAGGCAATTAAATCATCAAGAGAAGACGCAGGACTACCTGTCGACGACTTCACTTTGTTCGCGCCCGCCACAGCGGCTAAAATACGAATGGCGTGCGAGGATATTTTTACCATGAAGGTATTTGCCTCAAACAAAAACATTGTTTTGTGATAGTACCTTTTGTTATTGCAGTTGGACATTCCCAAGCCTGGATCTTTCATTCCATGGAATGTAGATGCATAATTGGTATTGACAATTCCGTACACAGCACGTAGCAACAAATTTTGACATAAAATTCCCTATATAATTTAATAACAATTAGTAAAATGTTATACTATTTGCGAGTTGATATGGAGACACTTGAATAAAGCAGACCTCTGGGTCAAGCGTCTAATTACTCATTTCTAGTCTGGTCCCCGCGGCTCTGACGTTAGATGTAACGAACCGTAAACTGGATTGAAGTGGCTACTCAGTTGGGGGCAGTTGGAACGAGGAGCATGTTCAGAGATTGAGATTCTGTTTCTTATTTTCATTTAAGATTTCATCCTTTCTATCTTCTATCATTGAATTGTGATTTTTATTCAATGCTTCTATCTATTTTTGTACGTTCAGATTTTTTTTGCACTGTGTGTTCACCATGATAGATGTTTAGGCAGTAAAACGCAAATGATACAATATTTATACCGATTACGACTTTTTATTAAGACTTTTCCCGAGATCGGCATGATACCGTTATATTGTGCCTATACCCTCTTTCTTTCGCTAGGTTCAGAGCCGGTTTCTTTCAACAAAGAATAGAGCTCTATTTAGCCTAAGTTGCTTCACCCTTTCCGGTTCTAAGGCGTCACAGTGACAGTGACAGATCACATGCTGGGTAGTTTCATCGGCGTCCCTACAGAACCTGCACGTGGACTTCTCCATAATCCTAATGTTATGCAGGTGATAGTTGACCATCCAGCACCCCGTAAGGACACCGCCGATCTTCCTAATCTGGCTTCTATTCAGTTTTAGAAGCTTAAAAGAACCACATTCTTCAAAAGGCCCTGGACTGTCTGAGTCCGGTTGCTTGTTGCCACCGAACCTAAAATTGACTGGTCACCCAGTCTTTAATAAGGTAGGCTCAGACTCAACGAAAACCCATACTACTTACTGCCTTTACTAGCCAGCTCGTCCATCCTTTCATTGTCCCCTATTCCACAGTGCTTTGGCACCCAGATCAAGCTTACCCTATTAGATTCACCTAATCTATCTCGAGTTCGCCTGCAATCAAGCGCTGTAGCCGATCGGAACCTGTCTGTTGGCAGGGCCTTCAGCGCCGCCTGACTGCCACTACATATGTAAATAATTAGACCTGCGATGTATCAGAAACGTTAAACTTAAGATGCAGGTTATCTGTCATAAAACGTTATTGCATTATTTAGTATAGGCAGCATAACATTTTCTACAGATAACCTGCACGTTAAGTTTAACGTTAGTGATACATCACAATTCACAAGGCTGATTAGCCTTATTACGGTAACCTCTACGGAGGCTCTCCTGTGCACAGGTCATGATGGCTAACATCTCTGCCTGAAGCACGATGATATGCTGTGATAATCTACCCCTATGTCTATTTGGACGCAGATGCTGAAGACTAGGGGATTTTCACAATGAAGCAAGGAAAAAAAATTAGCTTTTTGGCTGAAGGGAAATTGCGATGGCGTCGATGAGGAGCATCACGCGGATTTTTATCATTGATTATTTGTTTGTTGTATTTTGAATGTGTACTTATTTACAGACAGTCACCATTTTATTCTTTCTTGTAGGTACTAGCTTAATCATTGAATTTCATGTCACAATTTGTTATTATAGATCGTTTCACCAATAATTTAACATTTCTCATTAGGTCGTTAAGCAGCGGTCCCACTGCGACATTGAAAACATCGGAAAATTGCCCCCATTTAACTAAAAGTCAGCGGTTCTCAATAAAATTGTAATTTTTCAAACGCAAAATTGTAGTGCTCGTATAAATCGGCCCCTTTCCTTAATAATCGATATATTTAAAAGTAGTTCCTTAAGGAATGCGTCGATAGGACATTAACGACAATAATCGTGTTGATACCATATTAATGTATTAATTAAATAGGTAGACACATTCCAAGTAATTTCCCCAATTACAATTTGGCGTTTGAAACATTAACATTTTATTGAGAACCGTTGACTTTTAGTCAAATGGGGGCTATTGTCCTATTGTTTTAAATGTCGCAGTGGGAATTCCTGCTACTTAACGACCTAATGAGAAATGTTAAATTATTGGTGAAACGAACTATATTTACATATTGAATAAAGTATCGATATCTAAGCCTGGCGTACCCATGTACCGTTATATGAATCATGTTTGTTTGTTATAGGTGAATGCCTTTAGGTAAGTATTTATTTCTGTATTCACGGGAAAGTTTATTATCACTGTGATATTGCTCTGCGCGATTGGATTTAATTATTCCGTGAAGGAAGGGAGGGTCCTCTAATTTGATGTTTCTGTGTATGAGTGGTTCAACTATTTCCGTGAAGGAAGTACCTACTACAGTCCGATGCTTCGCTGTACATGTTACTTTCTTACCGGTGGCCCGCTGCCGGACGATGCGTAAGGTATACGAGAAGGGGTCCCCTGATGAACTTAACGACCTAATGAGAAATGTTAAATTATTGGTGAAACGAACTATATTTACATATTGAATAAAGTATCGATATCTAAGCCTGGCGTACCCATGTACCGTTATATGAATCATGTTTGTTTGTTATAGGTGAATGCCTTTAGGTAAGTATTTATTTCTGTATTCACGGGAAAGTTTATTATCACTGTGATATTGCTCTGCGCGATTGGATTTAATTATTCCGTGAAGGAAGGGAGGGTCCTCTAATTTGATGTTTCTGTGTATGAGTGGTTCAACTATTTCCGTGAAGGAAGTACCTACTACAGTCCGATGCTTCGCTGTACATGTTACTTTCTTACCGGTGGCCCGCTGCCGGACGATGCGTAAGGTATACGAGAAGGGGTCCCCTGATGAACTTTTCTTCTACTGTATTTTGCTAGGACGATAATGGACTTTGACATGCTTACTACTATTGGCGTTCTCACATGTACTTTCCGTGTTACATTAATTGAAGTTGATGCTTGGAGTAGAGCGATGCTCTGATGTTATTTTTGTACACGCAATTTGTCATTTTATTGTTTTATCTCAATTGATTTTAATCGTACATCTATTTTAATGTGTTTTTGTACTAAATTGATTTACCATGTTTTCCACTTGAGTTGTGTGTTTTGTTTTTATGAATTTGTTTAACTGCATTTGATTCAATTACTTCATTGTTATCGTACAGTTTGCCATATTTTATTTCGTATATTTGTGTGTGTTATGCCAGGTTTTTTTTATTGCTGGTTCTTTTTTCATGGCTTTTCTGTTTGGATTTGCGTCGCGGAACCAAGTTCAGTGCGTAATAAATTGCACTTCTCTTATTCCTTCGGACGCAAAAATTCTGTCTTTTATTTAATTTCTTTCCCGATTATGTCTCACGTCCCAACACATAAAAGAACCGATTACACGACGTAGGAGTTCATACACTTCGGCGCACGTCGTTCCTCTATTTCATTTGACCAATGAAATTGCAATATTTGGCCTGATCGTCCAGCGACTGTACAGTATGCTTAAATGCCTTCCCCCATGTTCAAGGCTGCCTCGATCTGTCCACTTATCCTAATCGTTTAGCCGTATGGAAGCTTAAACCATTGTATTTATAACGAAAAATACAATGCTTAAACGTAACCTCTCTAGTCCTGGAATGGCCTCTATGGCCAAAGTTCGCGTGCTTTTGTTGGCTCCAGCGACTCCTAGATAAGCGAGTATCTGTACCTTATCTAGCTGCTTCGTATACGTTGACCTACGGATGACAGGTCACTACACAAATAGCCTAATCACTACAGTGTATAAAGCCAATGTACCAGTCGAGAATTCAAGCACCATGTACAGCCAAAAGCGGTTGTACATGTTCACAAACATGCAGTAGCCTTTTTGTTTATTCGTTCAATGTGCTTTTTTTCCAAGTCAAGCGGGATAACTCCTAATATTTCACTGATCTGGTCAGACTCAGTTGATGTCCTCGAAGAGTGAGCTCATCAAGGTCCGTTGACCCGTCATTAAGGATATAATGACCCTGCTTCGAAGCATGGCGCGGATTCATCAATGAGTTTTTAGAAGAAACGATGATAACTGATGGGCCTGTAATCCTTCGCCATGGCATGACCCGGCTTAGGCAGGTACATGACGCTTAACTTTCTCGAGCTTTCGCAGTATATACCATAAAGCCATGAAAGCTCTAAATAAGTGCAACAAATGTTAGAGCAGTGGTTCCAGGCTCTTGAACAGAAGAGCCGGGAATATGCCGTCCGACCCTGCATTCTTAAATGGACGGTCAACTCCTTTCCAATCGATCGGCCTTACACCGACCCGGATACCTTCTTTTGGGTGGTCCGAAGTTACGTAATCCCGAGAGCCTGGAAACCTTGGTCACACGTACCACGTCGACCAAAAATAGTGGTCCTAGATTTGGTTTATGTCTTTTCAAAGATGCATCGGTCCGCGTACTCTGCTTCTGCCAGTACTCATACACACAGTGCTTCATAAACACTTTCGTGAGGTCTACTATTACTTTACGTAGGGAGGAGAGAATGGTTTTGAGTTCCTGTGTACCAAATCTATTCATCAGATTGCCACTTCCTATGCTCATGAGCTTGTATACGCTCATTTTAGGTTCGAGGCCGTGGGAAAGACATTGCGGCTCAGAATTTGTATTTTTTAATTTTTTTGGGATTAAATCGCTCAGTTTATTTCATATTACAACTGTTAAATGTACATATTCCCTCTCTTTGTTTATACGGTTCGAACAACTATCTAGAACAGAAAAAATGTTGAGGCAAACAGACAACAACGAAAAAAGTTCTGGTTTTCATTTGCCTTCAAGATAGATTTTATGTGACTTTGAAACAACAAAGTTATCATGTGATTCCAAATTGAGAGAAAGAATACAATTCCTATATCATGCCGTTCACAGTCAACTATGATAGGCACAGGTCAAACTGATAACTTTTCCAGCATCGTGAACATAAAGATGCCAAATATTGGTATCCCTTTGGTTGTAGTGTAAGTGAATTAAAAAAACAAGGCGAAAGAAAATATGTCACTTCCGTTAGTATTTTTCGTCAATGGAAAAAAGGTAACGTACCTATTCTGCTCGTATATTATTGGCTATTGGGTTGGGCAACCATTTATAAGGCCAGAGATTAGAAATGGTCCAAAGTATATGTACTACAAAAATTCAATAGCAGTTTATGAAAGTTAAAGTCAATTTCTAAATGAAGCTAGCGTATTCAGATACATGATAAAATACCTATCTATGGAAATTACTGAAAAGTAGATCGTTTCAAGACTTATCAGCGGCTCTGTGTATGCTAAATGCCTTTCGAAATGCATTTGATAAAATTATTTTGAAAAATTCAAAAAAGTTAGAAATAGTCAATCATATTTGAGCTCTCGAAATGGGAAGTTTACAAACTAAAAACTCAAAATAGAAGTGTAGGTACTATCGAAATAATATAACTTTCCCAACTCTCGTATTGTGCGATCAATGCGATCAACAGTGGAATCGAACTGTACCGCACAACAGGAAAAAATGTCTCGTCGTAATCAATGCCATACTTGTGTGAGCATCCCTTCGTCACTAGGTGAGCCCTGTGTCGCATAACAGTGCCATTATGGGCTCGTTTTCGTTTGAAGACCCATTTGGTCCTAGCTGAATCCGATTGTGCCTGTTGCCAAGCTTGAAAATGGACCGGAAAGTAACCTTTAGAATCTTGGACGTGGCGTCCAATATGGCGGTTTTTGAACCCACGTTTTTGGGATCGAGGAACACAATGGAAGGGTTAAAAATGAGATCGGGATTCTGCCGTTTTATGTCTAAGAAAATGTGTACCAAATTTGGTTCCAATCGGTTCTGCCGTTTAGCCGGAAATGAAAATCCAGACGGACCGACATCATCGAGATTTTGTTGATTCGGATTCCTGGTGGTTCAAAACGTGTATAAAAAAGTGGGGGGTCATTTTTTACCCCAATGCAATTAATACCTCCCTTAATAACGTGCGGATGGTAAAAATGAGACAGGACGGAAATGTACTAGGAAATGTGATTTCCAATATTTCGACCGAAATGGGGCCAAATATTTGAATTGTTTTAACTACATTCAAGTTTAGTTTCTACTAAAGTACTACAACGTCACCAGATCCCATGTTTTCAATATACCTAGCGGGTTATATTTTACTCAAAAATGCATTGCCGCTGTAGGTTGTCTCGTTTTTCGTTGAATTGCGCGGGTTCTTATTTTCGCCTTGTACAAGGAGTAAGATATTCGCATCATGCTCGAAATTAAATTCCTTTAGCGTTTCGTTTTTTTTAAATTTTTACTGTGGTAAGTAGGTAGGTACTATCTATTCTTAAAGTAAAATTAGAAGTGTAAATAATAAACAACATCGGTCCGAGTACAGAACCCTGGGGTACCCGTGAAAGAAGATTAGCTGGCTCTGATTCCTGGTCTGATCATTTAAAACCACTTGTTGGGTTCTTAAAAATTATTTTATTAATAAACGAGCATTTCCGCTGAATCCGATGTAATGTAAGAGCTAAGAGGCTCATTAAAATTTCTCTAAAAAGCATTATGCGGGTCACTCTTTAATTGGAAGTCTATTGAGGGCCCAGAATAAGAGAGGGATAATAAATAAATAAATGAATGATGAATAGTGTTAAAGGCTTCGGAGATATCGAGAGATGAATGTTTTCCGGTGTCTATAGCAGTCAGAATGTTGTCAGTAACATTAAGGGGCGATGTGGCACAGCTGTAACCCTGTCGAAATCCAGATTGAGTAGGGGGTAAGATATCAAAGCAAGTTAAATATTGCTTTATGTGGTCATTCATTATTTTCTCCAAGACCTTTTACAGCTCCGGCAATATACTTATTGGGCGCAAGTCCTTATAGCTTTTCGGATCAGTTTTCTTTAGTAATGGGATCCAAATTTTCGGAAATTCGTTATGTCTTTGATGCTTTGCCATATGCCTGGCGTAGCCGCCTCTTCCAGAATTTGATCAACTATCGTGGGGATGTGTCCCTGGACTCTGGTAGGTACACTACTTCCTGGAATTCGAATTGTTAGCAACAAGTTATCAGTTGATCAACTGCTCGTAAAATGTACTAATTAGTACCGGTATCGAGAAGGACACTAAACGATTCCTGTTTCTTGCTGTAGGTTGTTGAAGAAGACCCTGATCCAGATTGGACTCTGCTATACTATTTACGAAGCAAACGTATCCTTTTCACTCTAAAACTCTAAACTCTAAAATCGTTGTCCTATTTTCACCTTAATATTGACATAGTTATGTTATGTGGGACAAAACTAGGATGTGGAGAAGGCGGTTGTGGAGCATGTACGGTTATGATATCTAAGTATGATCGAGAAAAAAACAAAGTGGGGTATCCTTTTGATGATGTAAAATTTACCATTTATGTTCACAGGAACTAACACTATTAACAAAACTAATTGGGAAAGGTCCTTAAATAGATTGATTTATAACAGTTAATTACTATTTACTTGTGCTGAAATTTATAACACAAGCGCTCACTATTTATTACTTCAGCATCGATTTTGAGACTGAAACTAAACACAATTAATTTAGATTATATAGCAAACAAAAACTTCTTGAGAAATCTCGAATCAGTATATCATATTTCATGGCAAGAATGAGTCACATACGCTTTCATTTCTCATTACCGGTGACTAATAGACTAGATATCCCTCTAGAAAATTCGCCACAATATTTACTTTCTACAATGCCACATATGCTTTTCCAATATTAAAACAGTCATTTAGCAATAAATGCGTGCTTAGCACCAGTTTGTTCGATGCATGGTTTGGCAGTAACGACTGTGGAAGGCATTGGATCTACGAAAACCAAGATTCATCCAGTCCAGGAAAGAATGGCTAAATCACATGGAAGCCAGTGTGGTTTTTGCACACCTGGAATTGTAATGTCCATGTATACCTTGTTACGAAATAGTCCTCTTCCGAAAATGAAAGACTTGGAAAAAACGTTCCAGGGAAATCTATGTAGGTGTACTGGATACAGGCCAATAATTGAAGGATTCAAAACTTTTACTGAAGATTATGAGGTGATGCAAACAGAATCACTAATTGTTAACGGGAAATGCCGAATGGGCGATCAATGCTGTAAGCAATCCAATGGGTGGGATTTGAATGGCGACTCTGAAATAGATAAACTCATACCTACTAATGTATTTACACCATATGATCCATCACAAGAACCCATATTTCCACCTGAGCTTAAAATGTATGATACCCTAGACACACAAAACCTGACCTTTAAAAGCGTCGAAGTCACTTGGTTTCGTCCTATTGCGCTTGAAGATCTGTTAAAACTGAAATCTAAACATCCTAAAGCTAAGATCGTAAATGGTAACACAGAGATTGGCGTCGAAATCAAGTACAAACACCAGCATTATCCAATACGTGTACATGCAAGTCATATTCCAGAATTATGTCATGTCAAAATTGAGACCACAGGAATAGTGTTTGGTTCGGCAGTAACCTTAACTAATGCGACCAATGTTTTAATGGAGCAAATTAGAACACGGCCGCCGTATCAGACGGGTATATTTTCCGCGCTCGTGGAAATGCTTCATTGGTTTGCAGGGCAGCAGATTCGAAACGTTGCTTCTATCGGCGGAAATATTATAACTGGGAGTCCTATTTCGGATTTGGTTCCCATTCTGATCGCGTCCGAAGCCGTATTAGAGGTTAAAAGTGTGAGGGGCGTCCGGCAAATCGTAATGAACGAAAACTTTTACTCGAGCTACCGCACTACTATTTTAAACGATGACGAGGTGCTGGTTTCCATTATAGTTCCATGCACAAAAGAAAATCAATTCTTTTGCTCCTACAAACAAGCTCGAAGAAGAGATGATGACACCGCAATTGTCAATTTTGCCATTAACGTAACATTTAAAGAAAATACCATAGAAACTATTAAAATGGTCTTCGGCGGAATGGGCGCAACTGTTCAGGTGCCATCCAAAACGTGTAAAGCATTGGTTGGTAGACCTTGGAACCAAGAGACCTTAGACGAGGCCTTAGACACTTTAATAGAAGATCTTCCGCTCTCCCCAAATGCTCCCGGCGGCATGACTCAGTATAGACGTTCGCTGACATTAAGCTTGATGTTTAAGGCATACTTAGAAATCTCGAATAAATTAGATAACACTAAAGTTAATCCTAGAGATTTAAGTGCAATAGAACCATATCAGTACAACATCCCCAAAAGTTCACAACTCTTCAGTATTTCACCTCAGAATCTAAAAACGCGCATAGTCGGCCATCCCATTCCCCACGTCTCTGCAATTCAACAGTCAACCGGCGAAGCGATTTATTGCGATGATATTCCCGAATATAAAAATGAATTGCATCTGGGGTTAGTTCTAAGTACGAAAGCGCACGCTACCTTCACAATGGATCCAGCTGACGCTTTGAAAATGAAAGGTGTTCACCTATTCCTTTCCGCTAAGGACTGTTCTACTGGCAAGGTTTTCGTAGAGAAAATAGTAACATCGCAGGGCCAAATGCTTGGAGCAATTGTTGCCGAAACTAAATCGCTCGCCCAGAAAGCTGCGCGAATGGTGCGAGTAACCTACCACGAGCTTCGTCCAGTTATTATTACAATTGAGGACGCGATAAAACATAATTCATATTTTACAGATGTTCCTAGTGTTATAGAAACGGGAAATGTCACCGAAGCTTTTGCAGTTGCCCCGCACGTAATAGAAGGTGAATGCAGATCCGGTGCCCAAGAACACTTCTACTTAGAAACCCAATCAGCACTTGTAGTCCCAAAAGATGGTAATGAACTGGAAGTGTTTAGTGCTACTCAAGCCCCGCATTTTGTGTCTGTATGTTGAACGGTTATGCTGTAAGAACGTAATAACTTGATGCGCTTTTAGAAAATGATTGGTGACGTACTACAAATACCTCAACACAAAATTAACGTTAGGGTCAAAAGACTCGGAGGGGGTTTTGGTGGTAAAGGGCGTCCATCAGTATTGTTTGCAGTTCCCGTGGCTTTAGCTGCTTATCGTTTAGGTAGGCCAGTCAGATGTATGCTAGATAGAGATGAAGATATGTTAATAACTGGCAGCAGACATCCATTTTACATAAAATACAGCACGGCATTCGACGACCAAGGGAAAATACTTGCTTGCGAAATATACATGTACAACAACGCCGGATACTCAAAGGACACCTCTGACTTGGTATATAAATAGTATCCTCAAAGTTGCTTATCAGAAAGAATTTTTTAGGTAATGCAAAGGGCTTTGTTTCATTTTCAAAACGCGTACAAACTTCCTAATGTGCGCGCCCACGGTTATCTCTGCAAAACAAATTTACCGTCCAATGGAGCAATGCGAGGTTTCGGTGCACCTCAAGGTATGCTAGCGGGTGAATTTATGGTGAGGAAAATCGCCGAATTTCTGGGCAAAGACCCACTTGAAGTTACTGAACTCAACATGTATCGTGCTGGCGACAGTACACATTATAAACAAAAAATCGAGAACTGTACTGTCGATCGATGTTGGACGGAATGTATCGCAAATTCAAATTATTACCAACGAAAATTGAATGTCCAGAAGTTTAATAGGTGGAGAAGCCCATACCTTGTAATTTTAAACGAAATTGTACTTTTAGAGAAAACCGGTGGAAAAAACGTGGCATTGCGGTGGTGCCTACAATGTATGGTGTCGGTTACGGCTACGGCCGTCCAACATTTCAACAAGCAGGTTCCTTAGTTAACGTGTATACTGACGGATCGGTACTGTTAACACATGGAGGCGTCGAAATGGGCCAAGGTCTACACACAAAAATGATACAAGTGGCTAGCACAGTGTTGGAAATAAATTACAATAAAATACACATAAGTGAAATATCTACCGCCACGGTACCAAATGCTGTTCCAACTGCTTCAAGTATTTCTGCAGATCTTAATGGAATGGCAGTTTTGGTTAGTTTACCTCTTGATTACAGTGGTGTCATACTTTTCATTTCAGTATGCTTGCGAGGAAATAAAATCTCGTCTAGAACCCTTTAAATTGGCAAATCCCAAAGGAAAGTGGGAAGATTGGGTGACGGCAGCGTATACGAACAGAGTAAACCTCTCCGCCACAGGGTATTATAAAATACCAATCACAAGCTTTGATTCGACCACACAGACTGGAACGTTTTACAACTATTACAGTGCGGGTGCTGCCTGTACCGAGGTGGAAATCGATTGCCTCAGTGGAGATCATCGGATACTAAAAACTGACATAGTAATGGACGTAGGTCAGTATTGCTCTCCGAATTTTGAAAAAATCTTACCTATTTTCGATTAGGAGATAGTTTAAACCCAGCTGTAGATATTGGACAGATCGAAGGTGCTTTTATGCAAGGCTACGGTTTGTACACGCTCGAAGAAATGATGTATGCACCAGATGGTACCACGCTCACTAAGGGCCCGGGAACGTACAAGTTACCCAGTTTTACGAATATTCCAACAGAGTTTAACGTTGCGCTGCTCAAAGGAGCTCCCAATCCCAAAGCAATATATTCATCTAAAGTACTACTCACATCATTAGCGCACTTGTGATCACTTTAATTCCAGGCTATTGGGGAACCACCACTTTTCTTAGCCAGTTCCGTTTTGTTCGCGATACGAGAGGCAATTAAATCGTCCAGAGAGGACGCCGGAGTTCCTGTCACTGATTTTACTCTGTTTCCGCCCGCCACATCGGCTAAAATACGAATGGCATGCGAAGATATTCTGACTATGAAGGTACTTTGATCGTGTGAATCGTTTTACGTTAACTTTGTTTTAGTTGGACAAGCCTGAACCTGGTTCTTTCATTCCATGGAATGTGGATGTCTGACATTCGGAATGAGAATTCAAACAATAAGCAAATGTCTCAAGAATTGCGGATATTTGTGAAAAATGTCCTTAGATATTTCAATAATTTGTTCGCATATACATGCAACATAGATTAATTCAGTTAGTTTGTTTAAAATAAGTCTTCAAGCAAAATTTTATTATGCTTTGTCTTATACACGGTGGGCCGTGTAACTGTTTTGGTTGTAAAAGCTGCCATGTTAATATTTGTTGAGAAAAGACCCTTTTTAATAAAATAATCAATTTGTACAGCGCCACGATGCAGATTTGCAATACAAGTGTTGACGAAAAGTTGTGCCTTCAGCTTCAATAATAATAAAGTTTGTTGTGATCGTTAATAAATTTGTCTCACTCATATCTATTTTTTCCCCTATAATTACAATCCATTTGATTCTCAAAAAGAAGCTTATTGTTTCATTAACTGTCGGATGTTCCTGGACCTTTTTTAATCGATCGAGATCTCGGAAACGGAATATCGTAGAACTTTCGGGTTTTCGGTATTATATTCGTACTATCGTATTATTCCTGCATCACTTTGTATGTATTTCCTCTATGATAGTATACTATAGCATGCTTTGCTCTCTATTTTTCGTTAGCAAAACAGGCGGTTGAGCTCTAATGAGCAAAATTTGTTGATTGGTTACTATGCCTTCGATCACGATAAATCATAGTACGTATTAGACATTTCGCAAACGAGAGATTTATTTTAATTAAATAATGAATCTGCCTGTGGAATAAATTATGTTTATTTTATAGCATATGTTAAATTGACATTTTAATAGGTTTGAATGTGTAGGCTAAGCCGTTCTTTAACCGTAAGGATAGATAAAGTGATCACTTTAACCACAAGGATAGATCACAACCATCTAGACCGCTGTGGGTAGATAAAGTGAAACAAATGATTGTTTATTCTAATGACATCTGTCATTCTTATTTCAAATGCACGATATAAAATGACGTCCAGAACATATGACAATTCTGTTTCTATGGAAACGGTCGCGATGGCAGAACCTAAGCTTGCTATTTTTGACATTAAATTTAGAATTGGCAGTAGCTTTACAATGATTCATATGCCTTCTGCTATAAAATAAAGTTTTGTATTATACACGACGATAAAGAGAAACTAACCATCTCGTGAATCAACATCTTTCACCCAATGGTTAAAATATCCCTTTATCGTCTTGTATAATAAATAACTATTAGCACCGTCGCTTGTATACTCTCGCTCTAGTTCTTTTACCGTAACATTTCACGTACAATAACGCGGTTAATAATTCTTTCGTGTCTTTTTATCACACGAACTCGTTTCCTATTTAATATACACATTTCGTGATCTAAAATTGCCGCACGTAACTTGCATTGTTTTGCTTTCATGGTTTAACCACGAATTAATGTTACACGCGATGTAAAATTAGCGTCCACAACTAACGTGTATTGCTCTGAAAGTTCGGCTAAGAATTCGTTTTCCCACCAAATTTTTACTTAAGTATGTGCCGAATGCAAGTTCTGAAACGGAACCACCACAAAACAAGCGTGCAGTAGGTTTTTAGCGCATTTCTGCAAATTTATTTGTAAAAAGGTTGCTTGCAATAGCCGGCTGGCTGGATAGCTGGCAGCAAATGAGGGCCCGTAGAGGAGGAGTGTACATGTACCTACCGTGGCCGTGTAATTAACAAATTTAGGGACGGGGTTACATGCGGGTCGGCGACATCTGGACGCTATCCCCGAGTGTTATACTTACTTGGAGAGATTTTTCCTGTCTTCTACAGATTTGGTCCGATTGTTTTCAAATTGGTGTCGTCGGAAAGATCTTGTAAATGCACACAACTCTTGCGTGGCGGATTTTGTTTTTTTTCCTAGAGGCGAAATTAAGCACGTTTTGCAAGGCGCACGTCTTCTAGGGGTAGTCAACTGTGGGTGCCCAAAAGTTTCTTAGAGCTTAGAGCTACGAGAAGCACCCAACAATTGAGTACTATTTTGTGGCGGGTTTTTAGCGGAATCCACCAAAATGAGAATTGTCGGGATGTCGGAAGTGAGTACCAACAAAGGGCCGGTGGTAGCCCCCGACAAGATCTTAGTGGAGTCAAAACTTTAAACTCCAATTGCGGATGAACGGGACGTCGCAACGGTTTCTAGAGCCGGCGACAAAGTAACGTTTTGACTCTTATCTAATTGAACACTTGTTTCTTATCTTAACGCGCTTTATATCTTGAATATTAGTCATGCTTTCTGAGATTAGACGACTGATGTAATTTTCAACCGTGAATATGGTGAAGCGTTACCGTATTAATACATAAGCGACCTACAGTGAGTTTTTTTAAAGACTGACCATAGGATGTTATATGTTAATTTTTTAACCCCCTGTCACCTTTTATTTTTGTAAAAATTACAAAGCCTAGCGCTCTAAATATTAACGTTTTGTAGTTATTTACTTCATTTTGTGGAGTGGTACTTTGTAGAAGGTGAAATTTTGGAAATTTGTTGAATCCTTTCAAAGGTCAGATCAAAATTTCAAATAACAGATGAAATTCTCGAACATTTCAGCCTAAAATTGAACTAATTGGAATTAGAAAAAATCTTTTTAGGCTATCATCACAAAAACGTTGATTTTATGGTCGCTTTTGCGGCCATAAAGTTTCACTTTATTGTACGTTTCTGTCAAACTTTACTTTATTGTACACATCTGTCAAACTGTACTTATATATGAAACTGCGATGTGTGAGAAACAGTAATCTGTTTGATACAAAGCGTCTATCTGGTCTCGCCCCATCAAGGATTGGGCCATCCACGTGCGTTTTTTTCATTTTCGGACTTGTAGGAATGTTTCACACTATTTTGCATAATCACAATGTTCACATTTAAAATTATAGTTTGACGTTTCAATCTTTGCTGCTTGCAGACCTTTTTGAAGTGTAGCACCAAAACATGAGGAAGATGTTATTACTTACATTATTATACGAAGAAATCACCAGCAATTAACCGAGAACACAAGTAGCTACCTATAGGTACCTACCATCAAAGTAGGTAATCAGGTTTCTAATAATTGTACAGCATGTTAACTATAAGGTCTTGGAAGCCACAGTTACGAAGGACCTATTGCATTTGACATTATTAAAATCTTGTGCAACGGAGGAAGTTGCGATTGTACTTTTACTCTCAAACGCCTGCTCTTATATCATATATGACTTAGGGTCGCAACGCTTGCAGCTTCCAAAATTTCATTTTGGGTATCTGAACTGTCGCTATCACCCATTTTGATACGCACAAAACACACGCAAAGATGCTAATTATAATTTATTACATATGACAGGAAATGCTTTGTTTTTAATTATCTAAGATAACTATGATTTTCAGAAAAAATATGTTTATGAGCAAATTTTTGAATTCTTTTTTGATGATCGCCTAAAAAATGTTGTGTGCACCTTGGCCAAAAGTGATTTGTTAGGCCTCATCTGAATTGCGGCCTCGGCTACCGCCTCGGCCACAAACAGCAGCTTCGGCCAAAAAAGATCACTTTTACGGCCTTGGTACACAAATAACTATTTTGCTACGTTTTTTTCTTACTTGTGGATATTAAATTGGAATTATTTCAATTCTTTATCAGATCCCATAACTTTACTACAAAACTAGATTGAACACTTTCCCGAAGACAAAAGTTTGTAAAATCATATGGCACGTCTTTAAAAAAACACACTGTATATTCGTTTCCGTGCCTTTATTGGATTAAGGTGTTCGCACTTAAATAAGTTTTTCCTACGAAAGCGTTGGGGTCCAATGTGCAAAACATTCCATTGCTCCAGATTTGTAGTGGCAAGTTCCGTAAAAAATAACTACTTTGTTACTCAAAGTTGTAGATCCAATTTGTTTATATGAAGTGCGAACAAAATTATGAACAAAAAGGCTACCGGTAAACAGGTTAAAGACAATTAATTCAAGCTTCAGTTTGCTGTTTAAAATCCCAAGTTACAAGGGTACATTTTTACATTTACACTCTGCGGAACATGGTAATTTATTGCTGTGAATACCTCCAAGTTCAACTAATTAAATCACAGTAAGCCTGAAGTATTGTTTGTTCCTGAATCAAATTGCGGCAACCATCAAGTAATCCTATTCAATTGGTCATACAAGAGGTCCGATCATATTACGTATATATGTATATAAGTATTTATTTGAAAGTAAAGAAACCAGAGCATCAGGTTTGTGACTTTCAGATTATAAGAAGAGATAAAAAACCAACGTTCCGCAAGGTAAGAGTAATTATCTAAAGGTTTATTTATTACTGAGCTAGCCGTGGTATTCATATTTCATTGCAAAAGGTTAATTGTTACCTACAGTAAAATTTTTAACAGTGCCAGGGGTTAATTTTTAAGTTCCCTATATGAACCTGAAGGTACTCAAATCCAGAATAGAATAAGAAATTTGAACTCTCTTTTTAATAAAGGATAGGGAACCTAACTCCTAGAATGTAGGACGGCAAACTTTGATGGCGCCTCGGCTCCCAACGAGTTATTCTACGCCATTGTTCTTGTTCATCTAACCTTACGACACCTGCGGGTAAATCAAAAGCCAACTTGTTGTAGAAGTGTACTACCCTCACTTTCGTTGGGAATCTGAAACCTTCATTCCATCAAAATATGTAATGCGTATCGTAATGTTATGGCAACGAACTTTGTAATTAGAAATGATTAATGTGGATCATAATAATTATAGCAACAATAAATCAAGGCTTGTTCAAAGCGCTGCCGACAAATAAATGAAACGCAGTTCATTCTACCTATCAATCCCTGATCCTTTAGGTGACCTTTGAAATTTTATATTACTCGGATTTGGATTTAATAGTATATTATTCCATGAGCATGTAATGGTGGCTATTACTCATGAGAATGTGTTTGCGGCACGAGCCGAAGGCGAGTGCCGTAATTCTTTCGAATGAGTAATAGCCCATTACATGCGAATAGAATACTATACTTTTTCTACGAATATTTGGCAAAATTTAATGAAAATATTGAAACTTGACGTTTGTTACCATACCAATTGCAGTTGTTATTTTATAAATATTTAAAGTTGGTCATACTGTGACAGTGTGACAATTGAGATGATATCAGAGATGTCAAAAGGTTGCCAAGCTTTCGTTTCTCATTTCTTAAAATTTGATCGTTTAAATTGCGGGTTTATTGCTATATGTAATTATAGCTAATCGCCTTAACATTGAATAATGCGCGTACTACCAAAACTACGACAAAATAACAGGCATGTGCGACTTACGAAGTAACAGAATTTGTACGAATACTTAACCTCACTTCCTATTTTTACACTTTGAACACCCTTTTGTAAGTAGTAAGTAGTTGTCTTTTAGGTCGAGAAAATGAGAGTGAAATATTCAAATTTTCATATTTATATTTAGCTTAGATCGATCTAAGATATTTAGACTTTTCCGGCTATAAATTTAAACATAATTTTTTTGCTGTTTCTGTTATACCTATTTGGCGGCGGCGTACAACTTCATTATTTTCATTTTCGCTATCCATCTTGACACTTTCAAATTCGATGCGTCGGTAATACAGTGATCTTTTCCTTTGAGTTCAATTCAGCAACTTAATTTATATTAAAAACGGTCTAAATTAGCATGGGATGTTTTATTTAATTTAATATTGACTTTCAATTATACAATTTTGCATTCACATTTTTGTTTTTTGTGTTATTAAATCTAATTCTTAGATTTGGGCAAGTCCTATATTTCGATACAAAGGGAAGTTACAACCAGATAAATTGACAGATCGATTCTTTGTTTTTTATGAAACTTTCTCATTGGCTGGCTGCGGTGAGTTTTTTTAAAGCCATGCCCAGTGATTAATTATTACTCACTGCTGTTATCCAATAATGTGAGGAATTTATACTCTTACTTCATAAAATTGGAACGTTTAATGTATTCATTAACCCATATGAGTAGAAAAATGTTATTATACAATACATATTAGTATTGAATTTATAACTATCTAAATTCAATTATATTATATAGTAGCATTGTTTAAATACTTTAAAACAATGATAGTAGATAGCAATGTTTTTTATTGCCTTGACCATAATTATTATACCTGCTTAGAGTAGACCACCAATGTTAAAAGATAATATCGGAGTCGTGGCTTGATGATCCTGATTACAGCAGAATTGCTGAATATCACACAATGTAAAAATTTTTTGCCAAAGGATATTGTTTTGATTCGACCCTCAAATAATGAAGAAGTTTTGGTGATCACAGCAAAGCAAAACGAGTACGATTTTAAATTTTCTGGGCGATGTGGATTCTACACGTCAAAATCTAAAAGAATTGTCGATAGACATTCTTAGACTGCAACAACATTTAGGTAGTACGTAATTGAGAAATCTTCGTTGGCACCGGAAACAATGTTGGTTTTGATAGCGTATGGCCGAATTGCCAATTGGCGATGGAATAAAAAAAGCCTATCTTCACGGTAGTTCCTCAACATGTTTATAGCTTGGTTGGACGGAAGTACTTTAACCCATATCTTTTTCCGGGCGCATCTTACCGAAAATATTGCGTACGGTGTTAGCTTTACAGCACATACTTTGAATGGAATATTATTTCCAAAAAAATGGAGGTATAAATATGATTTCAACATAATCAGAAAAATATTCCTGCCAGGGAAATATTATTACAGTGCAAATATTCTGGATAAATATTCTTTGGGTTTCAGCTCTTCTGATATTTGCTAGTGATGATCCATATTGCAATAGTTTGCCCTGCAAATTTACAACAGTGATGCCATAATCAACTGTCTGGATGATAATAAGTACCTAATCACAAGGCAATGTCATCACGCGCCGCTCCAAATAGGACTCATAAAGACTACATTTATCCTTTGGGGGAATGGGAGTACGTTAGTTCTCAGCAAGCCTGTATGACAGCACAACACACATTTCGTTGGTGTACCAAGTCTAACGGGTCTTGTCTTACAAGTTCACGTTCTCGACATGGTGGTCGCAAATCAAACTTGGTTGGCAGTAAGTGAAAGGGTCACCAAAATTCCCAAATTGTAGGAAATTAGTACTACTCACTGTAAATGAAGTGAACACTGAGTATCGTGAACTGATTTAGTGATAAAAACATAGGTATGAAAGTACTTAAGTAGATAGTGATAGTTTTGCAAGTGAATTACAGTTACAAACGTTCTTTTGACAAGATACCTTACCATAATCACAACATCGAAGTGTAAGTGAAATAATGGATATGGAACCATTTCCCTTGGTATTTTTCGTGAACGGAAAAAAGGTAATTAATCGTATTTTTCTTCACTTTCATTATTGTTAACCTTCTCATGTTAAGTACTTCATTTTCACGGTCACAAAACTTCCATGCGCAGGAAATATTATTCATAAGTCTACACATTTTTAAAAGCCAAATTGTACTATAGTAGAAACCTTGATCATTGTCACTTTCCGTGATTTGATGATATCAAGTCAAAGTTATCAGTCTGACAATAAATTTAAAAAAACTAAGTTTGCAATTTCTGGAAAGGGTTTAGATAAACTGTGATGCAGGCCAGTTTTTCATTTGATACCTTTTATCAATAATCTGACACTTACCGGTTATTTATCAACAATATCAAAATTTTCCACTCGTTTACTTGTTATTGCCTTATAATTACAAGATCAAACGAACTTACCTTAAGTGATGTTCGATCTTGATTATATGAAGGCCTCGTTGAAGTAAATAAAATTGTAGTACCTCTGCTTTCCGTTAGAAAAACCACACTTTAAAGCGAAACAAGTAGGCTCCGCATGTTTACCCGTTGTCAAGCCAACAACGCCTCAGTCTCTTTGACAGTAGTTGTTGCATGGAAGTAAATGGGATTTAACAGCATAAATTTGGGTGGGTATGGGACTATTTACTTCAACGAGGCCTTCATATAATCAAGATCGAACATCACTTAAGGTAAGTTCGTTTGATCTTGTAATTATATTCGGCCTCGTTTCGTAAATAAAATTGTAGATGTTTAAAGATTTTGCAACAACTTTATTATAATACACGATGTTTTCGAAGAAAAACAATATCTGATTTTATCTCTAAAATACAGAAAACATTTATAGAACAATTCCAGTAACACAATTTTAAGCTATATTTAATACCGCTCTAGCAAAAACAGTATTGTCCTGCACAGGCCTGTTATAAAATCGTGCAAAGGTATTAGATTTTGATGACCATCCAGCAGCAAGTCTGATGGTATCATAGCTTACTCCGGACCTGGCTGCTTTCGAAGTCGATGCATGCCTCGTGCTTTGCGGTTTAAATTGGGATGTATCTAAACCACAATCTTTTAAGGCTTGACCTATCCATCTACCTATAGTCTGAGTTGAAGCCCGACGATGAGGCTTCTTATTGGTGATAAAGAGAGACATGCATTGACCTCTATCTTCCTTGGTCCTTTTCAGATACTCTAACAATACCCCTGCCACACATAGGTTTGGATCCGTTTTATAAAAGGGCAAAACTAATAATGGTTGCAATTTATTTACACCTGAAGTCTTTATCCTATTAGGGATTCTAATCTCAACCTTGTCATTAAGAACAACAATGTTATCAATATTAATTAAGGACAGAGTTTGAATCCTTTGACCTGTAGCAAGAGCTAATAACAGTACCAGTTTTTTCGTTAAACATGGCAGAGAAAGAGTTTTATTATTGAGAGCCCTTGCATAACCCAAGGCTATGTCCGGGTCCCATACATTTTCATATCTAGGCCTCGGTGGTCTGAGACTAAAAACACCTTTAAAAAATCTCTTTACACGAAAATCAGACGCAATTTCTGGTCCTGCTATTTGTGCAATTGCACTTCTATACGAATTCAAGGAACCAAACGAAACACCTATATTAAATTGGCAAGTCAAAAAATCTAGCAAGGCTGGAATAGTGACACAAAACGGATTAACTAACCGTGTATTACAAAATGTCCACCACAGTCTTAATCCACTGTTATATTGCTTAAGCGTCGAAGCTGTAATGGAAGCCAAGCAGATTTCTATTGTGTTTTCCGGTATGTTTTTGAGTTGAAGAGCTTTCCGGATAACTTCCCTACCACCAGGGAAAGGTGTTTTGCCATCGGATGTGGTATCCCGCTAAAAGAAAGTAATCGGTCAGAAGGTTCAAGTATTAACGGTTCTTCCGTTAGTAACGATAAAAACACAGGGTACCACGGCTGAGATACCCAGTAAGGGGCTACAACCACCCCTTCTGCTTGATCTTTAATAATTTTTTGAAGAGTCCTCAGTATTAAAGTAAAGGGAGGGAATGCATAAAAGGAAAAAACGCTCCAATTTAGAGTAAAGGCATCTACCCTGAAAGCTTCTGGATCTCTTTTCCAAGACACGAATGTCTTGCATTTTCTATTCAACCGACTAGCAAATAAATCTATATCTGGGACACCAAATCTTTTCAACACTTTTTGAAAAGCAGAATTTTCTAGAGACCATTCTGTCTCCTGGTGTTCCTGTCGAGAAGCTTTATCCGCAAAAAAATTCTCGCTTGACGATATGTAAGATGCAAAAATGTAAATATTTCGTTCTTCACACCAACCCCAAATGAGTCGAGCAATCTTGTTAAGGTTTTGAAACCTCACACTTCCCATACGATTAATTGTACCAATGGCAGTCGTGTTGTCCACCCGACATAAAATATTGCAATTATGACAACCTCGAGCAAAACATTTTAACCCAAATAAGACTGCTAAGAGCTCGAGTTCATTAATGTGATTTTCTTTCTCTGAATTGGACCAAAAACCAAAAGAGGTGTTACCATTACAGTATGCTCCCCAACCGGTCTTCGATGCATCAGTAAACAATTCTATATCGAAAGTGTCAGAACGAATAGGATTACATGAAACCGCCAGTTTACTGATCCACCAAGAGATATCTGAATGTAAGAAGGAATCTAGAGTCATCTTAGCCTCATAGTTTCCCCCAGAATGCCGTAGAGCTCGATATTTTTTTTGTTCAAACAATTTTGTATATAGGAATCCATATTTTATAGCTGGGGCTGCCGACACCAGAGATCCAATAAATTTTGAGAATTCTCGAATCTTACATTCTTGTACAGTAATGAATTGATTGGCAAGCTTAATCAATTTAAGGCGTTTATCAGATGGTAGGGATAAAGACATTGTTCTGGAATTATACACAAAACCTAAATATTTGCAAGTCTGGTTTGGTATAAGGTTACTTTTCTTGTAATTCACTATAAAACCTAAACATTCAAGTAGTTTTACTGTTTCCGTTACGTTGCTAATACACTCGGATCGTGTTCTCCCTAACAGGAGAAAATCATCTAGATAAACAACGGAAAGTAAACCTTTCTCTCTAAGCAGACTTACAACGGGTTTTAAAATTTTTGTGAATACCCACGGTGCACAGCTCAGCCCGAAAGGTAGACAATTCCATTCGTATAACTTGCCATTGAAGCAAAAACGTAAATATTTTCTATGGCAGGGGTGAATGGGTATTAGATAATAAGCATCTTTTAGATCGACAGTGCACATAAAGATATCTGGCCTAATTAATCGAGCAACAGTAGTGTAACCCTCAATCTTAAAATGATCAACAGTAATAAAATTATTAAGATGTTTTAAATTCAAAATCAATCGATTAGATCCATCTGGCTTAGGTACAAGAAAAATGTTTGATATATATTGACCTTCCCTCGGCTCAACTATACTGATAGCCCTCCTAAGCAACAGATCTTGGATTATATTATTTACAATTTTGGATTCTTTTTGTGACCATTTTGGTTCTACAGGTACACCAAGTTGACTTGGTTTTGTATGAAAGGGAATATAAAATCCCTTGATATAAGACACTATCCTATTGTCAATACATAACGCACTCCATCTAAACGCAAACTGTCTGAGTCTTCCACAAGGACTACTAACCTCTAACGATCCCTCTGTCCTTGTTTGGATTGGAAATGTTTGTAACGTTCCTGCCTCTTCAGGGGAGTGTACGCTGGTGCTCTGGTTTGGGTGTAGGGAGTTCGGTAACTTTGTCTCAATTGTTGCACTCCCTTCTTCTGCAACAACGGACGTTTTGCGTTTCCCTGTTTCGAAGGTAAAGACGGTCCAGAAAATGTACGCTTCTTAGGTACCTTTAATTGATTTGCAGATTTTTCCAAATCTTTTGCGGCTTTTATGCTACTGTCTAATTCACTTCCAAATAACCACTCGGTTATGCAAGTGTTTTTTAAGGTATCCCGTAAATCCTTATTTAAATTGAGTGCGATCAGGTCCCTACGCGATATCGACTCGGTGTGGTAGATGTCACTCAGCAAACGTCCTACATCGTTCAAAACTTCGATGTACGATATGTGTTCTCCGCTTCCTTCCTTAATTAAATTTGTGACAACACAACCAACACCAGAAATCGCAGCACTTAACTGCGATTGAAGTTGACTCAATCGTATGTCTCTCCGAAATGTACCGTCTTGCACCGCAACTTTTACCTCCGGGTTAATTTTTGGAGGTAACAAATCTGGGCAGTTTTTCGGTGGAAGATACTTTTTAATTAAATTTGTTTTTATGTCTTCTGACAACCCTAATTTTAACAATTTTGTCCAGCGAGAAGCCAAGTCCGGATGGATTGAATCGGAAAAACCTTTTTCCATAATGTCATCTTCACCTAACAAAGTTAAAATAGCTGGCGGAAGCACGTCCTCAGACTCGTCTTCACGAAGCTCCTGAATTGTTTCATCTGCAACGCCAGATAAATATAAGCAACAATTCAAAACCCCCGACCTTACACAACCAAAAACTTTAAAAATTTGGAATGGGTATGACCGTATTAAATTATAAAAACCAATATAACAAAGACATAACTGAATTTTCAGTCGGTCTTCTAGGGTAAAGACCCAATTAGTGTTGCTCTAGGCACAAGAACTCTACCACACTAGGTAGGTACCTATGTTAAAAAATTAACAAAGGCGAAATAAAACAGGTTCACCTCACTCGGCGAACTAACTGTACTCACTGACAGTTAAAGGAAGGCAAAAAAAGCCGACCAGTGCCTCACTAGGCACGTTCACCTCACTCGGCGAACTAACTGTACTCACTGACAGTTAAAGGAAGGCAAAAAAGCCGACCAGTGCCTCACTAGGCACGTTCACCTCACTCGGCGAACTAACTGTACTCACTGACAGTTAAAGGAAGGCAAAACAGCCGACCAGTGCCACACAAGGCACGTTCACCTCACTCGGTGAACTAACTGTACTCACTGACAGTTAAAGGAAGGCAATAAAGCCAATAAGTGCCACACTAAGCACGTTCACCTCTCGGCGAACTAACTGTTCTCACTGACAGTTGTAAAAAGAAAACGCATTCCAACTTACTACCATTGTGTGTAAAATTTTCTATCCCGGCTGAGCAGTTCAACAATTCTGTATCTGCTACTTCCTCATTAACACCAGAAGGGCCAGGAGAAGATAAACGTGACAATCCTTCACGTACTCTTGACGGCGAAAAAGGTGACTGGCTACATTCGCTATCAGAAGGATACGGAGACGGTGATTTCCGCCGGCGTCTTCTTTGTTTTCTCTCAACCTTTTCTAGTCGTCGATCAATTTTCTTAAGCAAACTTCCAAAGACGTGCAACGCATCTGGAGAAGGGCTGCGTTTCTTTAAATGTTTCGGCATAATACCAAGTAAAAAGAACGCACTAAAAAACGACGCGTGTAGTTAAACCAACACAAAAACAAAGACTGAGGCGTTGTTGGCTTGACAACGGGTAAACATGCGGAGCCTACTTGTTTCGCTTTAAAGTGTGGTTTTTCTAACGGAAAGCAGAGGTACTACAATTTTATTTACGAAACGAGGCCGAATATAATGCCTCTCGTTTTTTTTTGGGCGATGGAGGGGGGGGGGCGTTATAAAAACACTGGATCAAACCGTAGCCTACCGATAGATCTAGCCGTGACATTGATTTAGTGACGTCACAACTGGAGATGGGCCACTGCAACGCGATACTATGTGTTTAAATGCAATTTGATTCGCGTGCGTACTCATTTAACGCGAAAACATTTAGTAATTACTTATTTTGAGCCGCAGGATTGTTATATGTTGTTTCCTAATTATAGACACGTGTTATTATGCAAAAATTTTATTAAATACGTACATAAACAACAAATACTCACTGAAAACCGAGCTGAAAACAAATAAAATTTAAACATTCTAATACACACATCTGCCTTTTTTAGCGTAACACAACGAAGTTGAGGTAACGCTTATGTGCTCGTTATTCCGTCGTCTGCCTATCTGTCTGTTCCATCGAGATCTCGGCCCCTGGACCACCTAGAGACTACAGGTTTTCGGTCATTTGTAGTTGCAAAGGTCTATATTTTCCCGTTACTCATCATTTACATCCTTTTCATATATGATGGCTGATTTTCAAAAATGGTGGGATACGTGTCTTCGGCAAGTTTTATCTGGTCTCGTGGAACTGTTAATACTGTATCGTCTTATCTAGTCATCTTGTCTACCCGAATAATGAAAATGTCGGAGAAATGCTTTATACAAACCCTGGAGTAACTAGTAATTTCAACATTGTCCCGGTGAATACATCTTAACCACTTTTTGTGATCGTCTTCATTTTCCGGAAAACGAAAAACCGTAAGGAACCTTGTCTCTTGAACTATAATTGCTTTTGCAACCAGGGACGCAGCACGTATTTGGCATTTTCTTACTTATTCTGTTCGAATACAGTTAATTTAAGTGTACAACATTAAACTACTTGGAATTAATTACATTAAAAGTCGATATGACGGCCGTCGTCAGTTGTGACGTCAACGCAATAGTGGGGATGAGTGTCACGGCTAGTTCTATCGGTAGGCTACGATCAAACCTACTGAGTCAATGAAACTCTGCTGGCATGTGATTGGGAAATGTTGACATTAACACGTCAAGTGTTCCGATTTTGGAAAAATCTAATACAGAGAATTACAATTTTAGGTTCGATGAGAATATCCTTTACTCTTAGCGGATACAACTGAACAATAAAGGATATTTCCTTATGATGACAGCTTCACCACTAAAGCGCGTCATCATTTGTAAATTAAGCAGCATAAAAGACATATTTTTGTTAAATTTAAAATAAATTAAGTTATCAGTTCGCATGTTTTAGCAATTTAAATTCAACAACAGATAATTGACATTATCCGGACGCATAATTCCAAACGGCCTTTTTAATTAATCCTAATATAACGTCTAGATTAATTATGGTCTGTCCCTAAACCACGCCGTATCTCCCTGTATCAAAGCATATCAGACCACAAGAAGGTGTACCTATATCATGATTAATGATTATATAAGCTGCCTACAAATATTAGATCTCAAATTTAATTAATTAATATTAATTGAAAAGAATTGCCTTGTAGTGAAATATTCCGATAGGAGCTTCGCACTGAATATAGTTAACAAATGCTTCCAAACTGCCCATTTCTAACTGGAATCGAAATTTGAAAAGTAGCCCGTGATCAAACATCTAAGGCAGAGGTCCCTTACGTTAGCTATGACTAAAGTATGGTTGGGAAGAACGTAAAATAAATCACTGAAATTACGAAAAGTTTGTTTAAGATCGTTATTATTAAGATTGTGAAAGCTCGCAAATTTAATCGAAATAAATTACATTGCAAGAATAAACTTCGGAAATGGTAGTTCACCCTGTAAAAACAGAAATAAGGTGGGGAAAAAAGAACTTACCAACAAAAATCAGCCGTCAAATCAATATTAAATTGTGTAGGTAGCAAAATTAATTGTTTGTAATGATATAAATGCATAAATAAAATTATAACAACAACAAAACAGGTAGCATGTAGACCTCTAAGAGGTAACATTTAGGTTACAAACAAGTTTTGGGAACAATGGGTCAGGTAAGCATCAGGTACCAAGATTGTAAGAAAGAGTGTGAACTATATCGGATGGGACTCATATTTGATGCAATAAAATCCCTTTGTTAAGAGCAAGATTGAAAATTACATGGCCTTGTTGGCAAATTCAACTAACCACAACATATGTGGAAATTAACAAATCGCAACTCATTGATAGCACAGATTATAAACCTTTTTTGTTGAGTTTTGATTAGCAGAATCTTGCCTCCAAGATATGTAACTTGCCCCTCGTTCGGGGTTTCGAGCCTATAGTTGAATGTCGAACACAATCGCGGAATTAGGTGTCGCAAATTATTCGATTACAGTTTTTGCCACCTCCGTGACTGCTTAATTCACGGAGACACATCAAAATAATTCGATAATTTCCACATGTTTAAAAGAATGTTCAAAACTTAAGTTATATGAATGTTACTTCTAGTCAAGACCGTGAGGCAATCAAAACATAAACATAAGTTAAACAAACATTACACTAAACACGTAAACAATTTCAAACAAAAAGATAACGGTATCAAATATGTAATTCTGCATTACGGTTAAATCAAGTCAATTTCAAAAACAAAGACTGAAACTTACAAAAATATAAAATGCTGCAAACTAAACACAAATACATTATAAAGAAATGCAAAGATTATTACCTGCATTAAAAAAATAGGCAAAAAACAACATTTACGGAGCGACGCGTTCGTGACCACCATTAAAAACAAGATGCCAAACGTAACCAACGTTCGTGCTCTCCAGATGGCGCAAACAAGTTTCGCCTCCTAAAAATTGTGCGGTTGTCAACTCTCAAAAATGTGTGCATCGTCGTAAGATGTATATCCAGAGTGGATTCTCTCATTCGCCTAATGAACTTTAGTAGAGAAAGAAAGCATTAGAACCAAAAGAGGTATAGATACAGAGTGTCTCACGATGAACACCCTATATATTATTTCATTTTTGGATTTCTGGGAAATTTGATGAGATTCATTAGGTTACCCTAGCTAGACCTATTGTCAACTTTATTCGCTTTGTTTTATTTATTTTATTTTAGGTAAAGTAAAATTTATTTGACACACCTAATAAGTACAAGTACAAGTTATCTACCAACTATTGGTTTTCTACATTGCCAACATATTTTAAAACTAAAGTAGCAGAGATGCCAACAATTACTTTCAACACGCTTCACTTTTTTTAAACTAAAAGATGCGACATCATAACCGTATTTATTTAGCAACATCTAGGTACCCGTGAACATTTGATTTTGAAATCTTTCATGTAAATTTATGTAAAAGGATGGAGTGTACATTATCTTTCTTTTTTGTCTTCTACTTATTCCGTAAAAAACCAATATGGCGGCCATAAGGAAAAATTAATTCTACATCTAGCGTGTTATGGAAATTCTGATAACAGATTCAGATTCTCCGAAAATGTGCCCATATTTTCAACCACCTGCATAATTCTTCTCTTCTTGCAGGTTATCGAGAAGGAACCTGATCCCGAATGGACGTTGCTTTACTATTTGCGCCGGAAATGTATCCTTAATTTGTACGATTTCGTAATGCTCATATGTTTTTCTTATTCCAAGTTTAGTAATGCTATGTGGAACAAAGCTAGGATGCGGAGAGGGAGGCTGCGGAGCTTGCACTGTCATGATTTCAAAATTCGACAGAAAAATAAACAAAGTAGTGTATCCTTTAATGGCATAGCATGTAATTGCAATTGTGTTCGTATATTAAGCTTAATTCGCATAGTCACTTAGCAATAAATGCTTGCTTAGCACCAGTCTGCTCAATGCATGGTTTAGCTGTAACGACAGTGGAAGGTATTGGATCCACGAAAACAAAACTTCATCCAGTTCAAGAAAGGATGGCCAAATCGCACGGTAGTCAATGTGGATTTTGTACCCCTGGTATTGTAATGTCTATGTACGCTTTGTTAAGAAATGTACCACTTCCAAAAATAAGCGACCTCGAGAAAACATTTCAAGGAAATTTATGTCGGTGTACGGGGTACAGACCCATAATAGAGGGTTTCAAAACCTTTACAGAAGATTGGGAAGTAATGCATTCTGAAAGTATGTTCGGAAAACAAAATGGCGCATGTCAAATGGGTGATCAATGTTGTAAAGTCGTGAACGGCGATTGTGAAACAGAAGGTTACCTTCTCGACACCAATAGCTTTTCACCATACGATCCGTCACAGGAACCTATATTTCCGCCAGAACTTAAGTTGTACGATGAACTAGAGAAGCAAAGTTTGATTTTTAAAACCAAAGAGGTCACGTGGTTCCGTCCTACAAATCTAGATGACTTTCTTGAGCTAAAATCAAAATACCCGGACGCTAAAATAGTGAATGGCAATACGGAAATTGGTGTTGAGGTGAAGTACAAACACTTCTCTTATCCGATTCGCATACAAGGTACCGAGATTCCAGAATTGCGCAATATTACTTTTGAGAATACCGGAATAAAGTTTGGTTCCGCAGTTACCTTAACTAACGTCGAAAATCTGTTGAAACATCAAATTGAGGTCCAACCGCAGTACAAAACCCGGATTTTTGCAGCACTTGTAGACATGTTGCATTGGTTTGCAGGTCAGCAAATTCGAAATGTTGCGTCTTTAGGAGGAAATATTATAACGGGAAGTCCAATTTCTGACCTAATTCCCATTTTTATCGCCTCAGAAACGGTGTTGGAGCTTTGTAGCGTGGCAGGAGTTCGAAGCATCGTTATGGACGAAAACTTCTATTCGAGCTACCGCACGACCACCTTACGCAAAGATGAGGTTCTGGTTGCATTGACCATTCCATACTCAAAACCGAACCAGTACTTCTGTGCGTATAAACAGGCGCGGAGGAGAGACGACGACACTGCTATCGTCAATTCCGCTATCAACGTCACCTTTAAAGAAGCTAGCGATGTCATACAGACCGTGAAGATCGCATTTGGTGGAATGGGACCAACCGTTCAGGTACCGCTAAAGACGTGCAAATCGTTAATTGGTCGAGCTTGGAATAATGAAACGCTGGAAAACGCTCTCCATTCTCTGATTGAAGATTTGCCCCTCGCTCCAAGTGCTCCGGGTGGGATGACCCAATACAGATGTTCGTTGTGTTTAGGCTTTATGTTTAAAGCATATTTGGAAATATTAAATAGCCTACCTAATGGTCAACTAAACCCTAGAGAACTGAGCGCAATAGAATCGCACCACAGCAAAACTCCCAAAAGTTCTCAACTGTTTCAAATTCAACCATCAAGCATAAAAACGGACACCATCGGTCGACCTATTCCGCACGTTTCTGGCGAAAAACACGCAACGGGTGAGGCTGTTTACTGCGACGACATTCCCGAGTATAAAAATGAACTGTACCTCGGCTTAGTTTTGAGTTCTAAAGCGCACGCGAAATTCTCAATGGACGCTTCCGATGCTCTCAGCATGGATGGCGTGCACCTGTTCCTCTCTGCCAAAGACCTTACCTCTCAGAATAACTCTACGGGACCTTCGATTGACAACGTAGTTTTCGTGGAGAACACGATAACGTCCCAAGGGCAAGTATTGGGGGCCGTCGTTGCGGATAATCAGACAATAGCGCAGAAAGCCGCGCGAAAAGTGAAGGTGACTTACGAAGAGCTACAGCCCATAATAGTATCAATCGAAGATGCTATAAAACATAACTCGTTCTTCACTGACGTGCTAAATCCTCGTGTAATGGAAGCTGGGAACGTGGACGAAGCATTTGCGAATGCCCCTCATATCATAGAGGGTGAATGTAGATCCGGTGCTCAAGAGCATTTCTATTTGGAAACCCAGTCGACGCTGGTTGTGCCAAAAGAAGGTGGTGAACTGGAGGTGTTTTGCGCTACTCAATTTCCTCGGCAAATAAACGTAAGTTTTCTTTGAGATTGCGACCTTTGATGAACCTTGGCTTGCAGCACTTTATTAGTAGCTCAGTAGGTGTTCCCCAACATAAAATTAACATTAGAGTGAAACGGTTAGGAGGAGCATTTGGAGGAAAAGAGCATAGGCCGGCGGTCATCGCGGTACCAGCCGCCTTAGCTGCACATCGTCTAGGAAGGCCGGTGAGATGTATGCTCGATCGCGATGAAGACATTATCATTACCGGCGGCAGGCATCCCTTCTACATGAAATACAAAACGGCCTTCGATGAAACTGGCAAAATTCTTGCATGCGAAATCTACTTGTACAACAATGGCGGTTTTGCTAGCGATATGTCGGATCTGGTAGAAACCCTCACACTATACCACGCGTTATTAACTCAATTTGTAGGTAATGCTAAGGGCTTTACTTCACTTTCAAAATTCGTATCATATTCCAAACGTACGGGCTTTTGGCTACGTTTGCAAAACCAATATACCATCCAATATGGCAATGAGAGGTTTTGGAGCGCCGCAGGGTATGCTTGCGGGGGAATTTATGGTTAGACAGATCGCCGAAGTACTTGCGAAGCAATCACATGACATTGCAAAGTTAAATATGTTAAAAGTAGGCGACGTCACACACTACAACCAAAAGATTGAACGTTGTGCTGTCGGCAGATGTTGGGACGAATGCATTTCAAACTCAAACTTCTACCAACGCAAATTAGATGCGGACAAATTTAATCGGTTAATTAAAAGGCTCTTCTGATACAGTTAACCAATACGATTTTGCAGAGAGAACCGGTGGAGAAAACGCGGCATCACTGTTGTACCAACGACATATGGTGTCGGTTATGATATCGCATTAATGAAGCAAGCGGGTGCACTGATTAATATTTACACAGATGGATCTGTGTTACTAACCCATGGAGGAATTGAGATGGGGCAAGGTTTACATACAAAAATGATCCAGGTGGCGAGTAGAGTTTTGGAAATTCCATGTGATAGAATATACACCAGCGAGGTATCTTCCAGCACTGTCCCCAATCCAACGCAAACTGCCGGGAGTGTGTCGTCGGATCTGAACGGAATGGCCGTTCTGGTAAAAACAGCAGTGTGTAATCCCTTTCTTTGATAAACATTAGGGAACACTTTCAGAATGCTTGCGAAATAATAAATTCACGTTTGGAACCGTTCAAGATAGCCAATCCAAAAGGGAAATGGGAAGATTGGATTTTAGCAGCGTATAACGATAGAGTGAACTTATCGGCAACAGGATTCTACAAAACTCCAACGTATGAAGGGGAACATTACGAATATTATACCACTGGGGCCGCATGTACCGAAGTTGAGATCGATTGTCTTACAGGAGATCATCAAGTTTTAAGAACTGACATAGTCATGGACATAGGTTTGTACTTTCTTTTGGGGGGTCAATGAAATACTAAAACATTTTACGTTCAGGAGAAAGCTTAAACCCCGCTGTGGATATCGGCCAAATCGAAGGAGCATTTATCCAAGGTTACGGCCTGTACATGCTTGAAGAATTAATGTTTTCGCCCGATGGAAGCATACTGACTAAAGGTCCCGGCAGCTACAAATTGCCAGGATTTACAAGCATTCCTACGGAATTTAATGTCGCGTTACTCAGAGGATCTTCAAATCCAAGGGCAATCTACTCTTCTAAGGTATTTTTAAATGTAGAAGCACGTTGTGACTGAGGATGTTCGCATTTCAGGCAATTGGCGAACCGCCCCTCTTTTTGGCGAGCTCTGTGCTGTTTGCAGTAAGAGAAGCTATTAAATCTGCAAGATCTGATGCCGGTGTGTCTCCGACTGAGTTTAATTTGTTCGCCCCGGCCACGTCTGCAGTAATACGCATGGCCTGCGAAGATCACATGACCAAGAAGGTAAACGTTAATGCACCTGAGCCTGACTCTTTCGTCCCCTGGAATGTAACCGCCTGAGCAAAAGTTTTGCACGGGATTATTAAAACGAACAAGGAAGGTGCGAAAATTTGAGAATTTATAATAATATATTTATTGCCTAATGTTTATAAAATATACGTAATTGTTGAGAACCAAATCGGTTTTTCATTTATACAATTAAGACTTAATTAATTATCTTATTATCAAAGCTGTAAACAAAATGGTTTGGTTACAAAAACTCTCACGCAATTGTCAGTCAGTACGTTAATTATTACCACCAAACCTTCACTAGTAATTATTTTAAGTTAAATCCATCAAAGGTAAGCGTTTATTGTCTATATTCAGGTAACACGATTTGTGGAACAACTTCATAGAAGTATATATACATATCACAGAAGCGATTAGGATAACTGGAGATTCAAATTTTGCACCGCTCTTGAAGCCTGTGTAGCACAGTGGCGTGCAAGCTCGACTGTGGTACTAAGGGTATGAATATTTGTAAACGAGTGGGTTGGGTTGGTAGAGCAGCCTTAGCTGAAACCCCTTATCTTAAAAATAAAGACCAAAAATAAATAGATAAATGATTAGCTTAAGCATAGCTTAAAATCCATGGCAACCATTATGTCTTAATAATCGTTGCCATGGATTGTAAGCTACGCTTAAGCTAAGCTCCACTTAAATTTGTGGGTGCAAACGGCCATAAGTCACACAGACGATTGTTGATGCGACTTGAAAACGTCTGTACCTAGAGAGTGTCACCCATAGGATACGATATCTAGAAAGGCAAAATCACACTCTATAAAATAACAAATAAGAAAACTTAATTCTACTTAATTGTTTCAATATAATAAACATTGCCGCATCTTAAATGTTTTCCAACCCTCCGATCACAGAGTTCAAATTGCCGGGACGACCGAAGCCGGGATTTCCCATCGCCGGGTTTTGATTGCCGGGATAACCGAAGCCAGGAAGTAAATGGTCGCCGGAATGGCTTGTCGCCGGGAAAATTTCCGGGGAAATTGATGCCGGGATAGTCATCGCCAGAATTAATATTGAAAGTTGTGATGTTCTCCTAATTCCTAATCCTCTCATAGTGAGACTTGCTTGGATCCACTGATCTTCTCCCAGTTTGACATTAGTGATTTCCTCCAGCAATTCACGCGTTATATCATCGATATCGTGGAGGTATTCAGGATGAAGCCAGCATGGAAAAGTTCTTAGGGTGTACATTAGTTTCGGGATTCCAAGAGCTGTTTTTAATAGAAAAAATACGGGATGCGAGTCCAGTAGTTTCAGTCTCTCTCCAAGTAGTTTTAGCAACGCTTGACCGTACCAATCGGCAAGGCGACATATTTTGGTAATTAGTAGCTATCATGTGAAGCACGAATCGCACATACACAATAATGTAACATAAAAAGTAGGATTAATTAACATTGAATCAATCTATTTAACCATCACGGCCACTATTCTCAGCGAAAGCTTATATTCAAAGGCGAAAGTATTCCCACTACTTTCATTTGTTTCTTCTATAATTTATTTTGACACGCATATAATCACCAGTTACATATTATATAATATGTTTTTACCGCATGATCTTTGCTATAGCAATGATACGGTGTAGTTCTAGGTAAAGCAGGAATACTTGTGAGTACGATCATTTTTCTATTATTTTATATAAAGTATTTACTATATATTTACATTTTAAAACAGCGAAGTAGTCCGATTGTTATGTAGGTTCCAAGGTTAGTTCCCATTACCACGTCTATCCTTTGAATATAAAATTATTATATTCAAAGGTGCTAAAGTACCTATGATACATGCGAATTGCGATCTCAATTTCAATTCATAACGTTTCGCACAACAGCAGCAGTCAACAGGGCGTAAAATCAAATGATTTTCGCTGTGCTTTTGTTTATCATCAAAATAACAATGACCATCAATTTATGACGCACAAAAAATCCGCTCTTATTTAATCCATTTTCCGATAAATATGATATTTACAAAGAGTATTCCATACTTTTCAGGCACTATGTACTGTATATTTTACACAAAACTGAAATCAGTGATGAGGTCAACGGTACAGTGAGCGTACAAAGTAGTACAGATACCACTTTTCATCAACTTTGTTCTTCCATCGAGTGCTGGTACCCGCTTCATCCCACTTTTTTAACAGTGGCAGGGTTTTGAGCCGCCCCAAACAATTTCTCATTAAGACCTTTTTAATTGATTCAATTAAACACAAATGTGCTCCAAGAATTCATCCAAGGTATAGTGTATTATTATAATTTAGCACCTCAATCATATACTCAAATTAGCCCTGTGTGTTCAAATACCCTCAATTTTAAGAGAAGCAGAAAGAATATTACAAGATGCAAAGAATCGCATACAATTTTCAGTAGGTGATTTTTTTGTCACTCAGCTCGCAGTCAGAAACCAGACTTTTAATCCGGGGATATTCAATAACACTGATCCTTGAACTCGTAGAAATCGATTGATGAAACTTTGACATCTTTTCGTTCTCGAGTTAGGCGAGGAACCGACGCGACGAACAGACCAGACGCACAACTCCATCACATTTTTTGTCTTTCGAAAAATTCCTCTAAAAACCTTTGCTACATATTATATCTGCCAAAATCAAGTCATTCGGCCGTCACACGCATGAATGAAGTTTTTTCTGAAACTAGTTTAGAAACAACTACTTTCGTCTCTAAAAAGGGCGAAGAAAATGTAATTTTCCTTTCTAGTGAGGAAAGTAAAAACAATTGCTGCGTTATTCTTAATGACATTTAAAATTGAAACATACCCACATCTAGATTGCTATGTGTCAAACAACTATTTGTTTTGAATGCCAAGATAACTGTGAGTATTATGCACAATTAATGGCTAGCAAAGGTCAAACACTTTTCTCTACTACGTGAATTAAATCAACGTGTTTTTTCTTCCATTTAAGAGACCAAAGCTAGGGCCAAAGTGTCACTAGAGCGATTAAAAAGCACTGAGGACTGAGAAGAAGCGTACCCAATGAAATGTCAAATCCAATATAACAATTTGTGATGTTCGATTATCTAATAAATATATTCTCCCATAGTCTAGATAACTAATATCGTTCACACTTCGACTCTAAGTAACTTTGCGTTCCTCAACCAATTAATTACACGTATATCCACTTCTTATTATAGACAATATCACCATTTTTCAGTTGAATACATGGCACACGAACGAAAATAAAAATACGGAAACCAGGGCAATAATATTCCAATTAATTAATATGGCAGCCAGATCTTCATTTGTTTTAAAAAGGTATTTTTGTTGCATAAAATTAGGTGTTCTTCAGAAGAGTTTTTGTCGTTTAAAAGTAGACATAGGGAAAACAATACACACAAATACCTATGCCTACTTCGAAATGAATGTCACTGTATTGTATATCCTCTTTCACAAAATAATTTTGCTCTTCTAATACAAGCGAGACAGGATCATTATAGTTCGAATTTGCGCAAATAAGGTACACGCTTTAACTAATCTCTAAAAAGTAAAAACTGTTAAAATAATATGATACACCGTGCTCAAGAATTAGTGTCTTAAGCATATTTTCGCATTTTCCAGACTGTGTAAGGGTAGTTTGCTTTGCAGTTTAAGATTTTTCGAATTTGCATTTCATTTAAGTATAGGAAAATTTAATAATATAATAATAATAATAATAATAATAATATATATTTCTTTAACAATTGTTTTACAATTATAGAAGCGTCAGGTACAATACATATCACAGATTAAATAGGATCAAATGAGTTATGGGACTCTTGTATAAATTCTTTAATGTTGTAAAATGCCCTCTTTTGTAAGGAACACTTGACTAGTTTCTTAAATTTTTGTATTCCAATTCTCGTAATATTTAATGGAAGTAAATTAAATAACTTAGTTCCCATATAATAGGGAGATTTTTCAAAGAAGGCATGGCAATGCTTCATCGGCAGAATCTTGTGCTTTTCTCTTGTATCGTGGCTATGTGTATCGCCGCATTTTGGCAAGTTATGTTTGTACTGGTGCATAAAGCATAGAATTTTGTATATTATACATGGTAGTGGCAAGATTTTATTTACAATAAAGATATTTCTACGTGACTCTGTTGGTTTGAGTTTAAAAATTAAACGTATAACTCGTTTTTGCAAAACAAAGAGTCTGTGGGTCTTCGAACTCGCTCCCCAGCAGATGATATTATAGCTTAAATGGGAATACACCATAGCATAGTAAATGTTAAGCAGGTTTTTTGCATCGAAACGATTCCTAAGTTGGGCTATTAGATAGTATGATTTATTTAGCTTTGAACAAGTGTATTCAATGTGTTCATCCCAGCGCAAATGATAATCTAATTTCACTCCTAGGTATGTAGTCGATTTTGAGCCGAAAATGTCATTATTGCTAACCTTTAGGGTAAAGATATCCTGTCCGTTTTCGGTGGGTTTCATATTCATAACAATGGTCTTATCTGAATTGATGTGCAACTTATAATTGTTACACCATTCTAAAAATTTTTGGATCACAAGCCTTAATTTTTCTTGCGCTTGATTGTAGTTCTTTGCGTTAACAACAATAGCCGTGTCATCCGCGTACATGAAAGTTACTCCATTTTTAATATACCTGGGCAAGTCATTATTAAATAAAAGGAAAACGATAGGCCCTAGATTACTGCCTTGGGGTGTTCCAATATTGAGCGTATATTCATTGGAGTACGTATTGTTGAATTTAACGACAGACTTCCGATTTGACAAGAAAGACAGTAGAAGATCATGAATGGGATTTCGTATACCAAATTGTTTCAATTTTTCTGATAATAAATTTAGATTAATGCAGTCAAATGCTTTTCTTATATCGAAGTATACCACAAAGCATTCTTCGTTTTGATCTAGTTTATTGTTGATATGTTGTACTAGCTGTATTGTGGCTAATTCGGTTGACGATCCTGATCGAAACCCATACTGTTTGTTATATATCATATCATATTTTTCTAGGAATGTAGTTAGTCTGTTACAGATGCACTTTTCAAATATTTTGGAAGATGAACTAAGTAACGAGATTCCTCTATAGTTTGACACCTGTTTCTTGTCCCTTTTTTTGTGGATTGGTATCACACAAGACTTTTTTAGTTTTTCAGGGAATGTACCCTTAGATGCACAATGGTTAATCAAACTAGATATTATCGGAGCGATAATATTCGAACAGGACTTCATTAACTTGTTAGGAATTTCATCAATACCCGGGGCTTTCCCAATTTGTAATGAATGAATGATATTATACACCACACTATATGTAGCAAATATGTACTGCTTCATACGAAAGGTTGGAAGCGCGTGTGATATAGATATAAGCAAACATAAAAGGAACTTGGTTTTTTTTTTTTTTTTATTTATTATCCCTCTCTTGTTCTGGACCCTCAACAGGCTTGCGCCCAATTACAGAGTGACCCGCATAATGCTTTTTAGAGGTGCCTCTGCAGAAGGTCTTAAGTTGTTCTATACTACTCCGGTATTTACCTTACGAATTAGGAAAACTGCAGGAAAACCTAACTCGGAGTAGCTCATCTGTTTATCCAGTGAAATACATTATTTAACAATCTTAATATGTAAACAAACACATTGCAAATGGGTTGCCTAAAAAAATTAAGTCAAGACTACCCTTTGTGGTGACATGGCAATTAAAATAGCAACCACTGAGAAGGTATTATGATGATGAATAAACGTGTTTTATCTGCGTCTGTAGGATAACTCTCACTTATCCCGGTCATTTTAAGTGGGATAAGAACTTAATTACCACACTCAGTGGGATAAGAACTTCATTACCACACTCAGTGGGATAAGCCCTTGTCAAAACAATGTATGATCAAAAATCAACTATCAAGATTATATATTGTAAACATTAACGTCTGATGGAAGAGTTCCAGACTCACTCATGACATAAGCAAAGAAATCAGAAGCAAAATTTTTGACGTACAAATTTTCTTGACGTTAGGATTTTCTTGTTTCTATGGCGTCGAAAACTGCTAACTATGCTACTTCGATTGAAATTTAAAAAAATGCATCAAATTTATTTTTCGTTTTTAGCAGTAGAAGAACAGTCGCAGATAAAAAGTTGTATTTAATACTTGGGCTAACGGCCATTAACATACTCATGCTCTTACAATAGCTCGGGCTAACGCCCTCGTATGCGCAATTGTCGCATTCGTAAGTTAATGAGGCCGTTATCCCACTGATTAAATAAATAACTATTATGTTATTAGAAATATAAATAATTCAGTTCATATTTTTAAAGCGTTTACTCATACCTTCATTAAAATTAGGGTAATTCATATTTCTGTCTGCTTCTATCACATGGAGAGAGTACATGCGCACTTTCTTACATTCGATATCTACACCACGAGCAGCACGCTGCGGTCTTCTCTTTCGCACGGAACAATACACATGACAAAAATATTAATCACTTAATTTTAATGAAGGGTAGTCTTAATTTTTTTAGGCTACCTATTTGCAAAGTGTTTGTTTAGATACTCAACTGTTAACAAAACAATTAATATTAACTTCGCCCCTATGAGTAAAAAGTTATTCTTACATTGCGACCGTATAAAGTTAAACTAGAAAGACAAAGTTACACTATGTTCGGTGATCCTCATTTCGAATAAGTCGTACTATAAACAAAACTCGGTTGTAGTTAAACAATCCACGCTAAAATCGGATTTAAAGTCGCATTTTTCTCACGAAAAAACTCAAATAACAAGCGAAAAAATTAGCGTGTGTAGGGTAGTTTAGCTTAATTTGAATTTTTATTCTTGTACATAAACAACAACTCGATTACCGTCTTCGAGAATTTGACGCAAGTTGTGCCGCGGTCGAGGTTTCACTATCCTGAAAATTTCCATAGAACGCGCAACGGGAGATAATTATACATGAGCGAGTCACAAAAGGGTTCAACTGTATTACTCTAAAAGCGATCCAGTTTTCGATTTTTCTTGGAGGGAACCTTATCAAGGGAGGGTCATGCCATTTGCAACGTAAAGAAAATATGTCGTATAGGTATTGACTGTAACTCGTCATTCCACGGAAAGCCTAATCAATTCATTTCGTGAAACGCTTTAAAAGGACGTGTGGGGTAGTTTCCCTTCTCCTCTAAATCGACAAGGTATAGTTTTTTAATGACAATTCAACTCAAGGTTATTTTATTTCAAAGGTTACCTGGTAACTATGTGGGCGGAAGCGGGAGGGACGGAATGTATACGTCATCGAGAATTCTGACATTGACGTTCAACGTTGTTTGTAATCGCGTGGGTGCTTATTTTTCTTGAGTTATAGTTTATTTGTTTAAAATTTGTAGAATTTTGAAGTGCATAAGGACATATTTTAGCTGTAGATACCTGTTTGGTGGAATATAAAGACATTTAGTTTGTGAATTTTGTGGGTTTTCATAGCCGTGATTGAAAGGTTAGTTCAACAATTATATGCACTTTTGTATGTTACAATTAAGTATTTTTTTAGATGAGTGGCGGTGACACTAAAATTCCTCATCCTGGTGTAAATAAAATCTCGGTTTTTACGTTTCCAAAGGACCCTACCGTTCTTAAAGAATGGGTAAGAAAATGTTTCACATCTGGCAGCAAACTAAAACGTGCGGCGCCCTCATTGGTCAAAACGACCAACCGATGAAAGCGTAGCGTCCCTGGCCGCAAACGTTTAAAAGCAGAGCCACGAACTCTGCAAAGTGCATCGCAATTTCTGCTTCGACTGCACTTCAAGAAACAAAAAGCTTTCCACCTGCAGAACCAGGTCGCCTTTCCAACTCGACCTCGCGCCACACTCCATCAGTCAGAAGACCTGCATCTGGGCTCACCCCACGACAGAGCTCGCCGTGTGCACTTCGGTTACTATTTTGTACATACTATAAATATACATATTCCATAAAACGCAACAGCAATTTATTTGGCGTCATCCGCTAAAGAATGTTTAGAGTTTTAAATCCCAAAGGCTAGGTATTGGTACATAGGGGTGGTTCCTATTTTGTAGAACGCGGAATTTGATCCATTTCCACCTCTAAAATTAATTTGATTACATTTTCACAAGTCCTCGTGCAATGTAAAACAGCTTACGCACCACACTCATTTTTTCAATACTTTGATTGCTTAAAGATGAAAGTCGATAAACTTCCAAGATTTCCAATATAAGAACCACCCCCATATACATATACCCATATAAATCCAAAAATATACTGCAAAAACTAAATTTTTTACCCCTTTTATTAGCATTGAACCTATGAGCAATTTTAAATGTGAATTCTGGATGACGTTTTCCCGCCTTCAAAATGCAAGCATTCTATTGGTTTAGAGTTACCAGACAACCTTTCTAATAAAACAACCTTGGTTTTTTCACATATTCATTTTCGAACCAATTATCGCATTATCCTTTCCCATATGACTAGTTTGACGTCTGTCAATAATTGATTAGTTGGTGAATTTCTTGTTCGTTAAATTGTCCTGCCGAATTACACTCGAGGTTTGTATTTAAACGAGTAAATTTGGGTTGTGGCAATTCAAATCTGTTTCCTTTTAGCAATTGGACTCGAAAAACTGTCAACCTAAAAATGCTCCACCTGCGGTGTCGCATTTTTATTAGTTGACAGTTTTTCTCGTCTAATTGCTAGGCAACAGATTTTCATGACCTAAACAACCCAAATTTACTCGGTAAAATACAAACCTCTTGTGCAATTATAAGTGAAAATATGTCATATTTTTTCTATGTAGAGAAGAACGGAACGAAACAGATTTTTTTATTATACCTGCATCAGAATCGTTCCACCTTTAATCGCAGTATTGATTGAAGTTTTGAATGCATCCACCAAAGGGTAAAAGATACTGTCGACATTTCCTTCATATATGCCGTCATTATCAATGCGTTTAAGACTTTGTTTGAAAGATCCTTCATCTACGCCAACAGCCTTTCGTATTCTATACATTTCTATTCTATTCTATTCATTTCTATACATTTCGACTTTTGCATTTTGATTTTGCACGTACCAACCTATCGTCTGCTTCTGCAACAATCCACTGAATGGACGGTGATGTTTATAAGCAAATTTCAAGTGACATGTCCATTGCAATTATGGAATTACGAATAAAGAGCGCACTTAATTAGAAATATATTGGAGCATAACATCAATACGCTTTTATTTTATTTCCCTTATTATTAAATTATATTGCAGGTATAATAAAGAATACTAAAAGAAACGCGTGTATAATTGGTCTTTAAAGCACCTGCAACTCATTGTTTTGATTAAACACTTGTTTCTTAAGATACTATTGTAAGGAAAACTATGACTTTCCAAGGATCTTTTGACGTACGTTTTTAAACAATTTGAAATTCCAAACGCCTAACAAAACAATATCTTTTAAATCACCTTTACCAGGATTTTCCCACCTGGTATTACTACTGACCCAGATAAAATAATGTAAAATAGTGAAAGGATGTGTTCAAAGTATTAATATTGCGTGCGAAAGTATTAACAGGTCAATCGTCGGCTGTTAACCTGCATGCGACCTTTAAATAGTAAACACTCAAAGACTACTTGCAAAATTATCACCATACATTTCCACTTTGCGTAATAAGTGACTTTAAAAGTTCCTAGTGCGATTAAAAAATACAGAAAGTGGGTGCTACCAAAGATAATCAAATGGTACTTAGATTAGATCACCACAATACATTTCCTATACGTATAATATCGCTAAAAAGTTTCCAGGAGAAGGAACGAACCCTGTGACCTAAACATAGAGATGCAAACCTCAATCGGGCTTGATTTGACGATAATGAGATCATGACGGTAAAGGTCACAAGGTTATTGTAATTAATAACGATAACAGTAGTCATTTGAGAAATACTGTGTCATTTGCTTTTAGTAGAAGTAGAGTGTACGTCAGTAACGCGTAGTTGAAAATGATGGTGAAGTATGAAACTACACTCATCTTTTTCGTTAATGGAAAAAAGGTAAGGTATAGAGGTTTCATTTTCATCGCTTAGTGATGCACGTGCTTTAGGTGGTCGAGCAAAATGTTAATCCTGAATGGACCTTGCTGTATTATTTAAGAAACAAACGTATCCTTTTCTGTTTTGCGTATAATAAGTGTGACGGTACAATTCCTTAACTTTCTAGTAAGACTATGTGGTACTAAGTTAGGATGTGCAGAAGGTGGTTGCGGAGCCTGCACTGTTATGGTGTCAAAATACGACAGAAAACAAAACAAACTCATGTATCCTTTTTAAAACACTTTTAAACCGGTAGAGTTCTTAACCATTGCATCCAGACATTTAGCAGTGAATGCATGTTTGGCCCCAGTATGTGCAATGCATGGGCTCGCAGTAACTACGGTGGAAGGAATAGGCTCTACAAAAACTAAATTACACCCGGTTCAAGAGAGAATCGCCAAATCTCACGGGTCTCAATGTGGCTTTTGTACTCCCGGTATCGTGATGTCCATGTACTCATTGCTGAGGAGCCTGCCAAAACCGACGATGAAAGACTTAGAAATAGCCTTTCAAGGAAATTTGTGCAGATGTACTGGCTATAGAGCAATTATTGAAGGTTACAAGACCTTTGCCGAAGACTGGGAGCTCATGCAAAACAGCACAATGACTAACGGAACGTGTTCTATGGGAGACAAGTGCTGCAAGCTAACCAATGGAGTTAATGGCACTCACAACGACCCGGAAAGCCTGTTTGACCCAAACGAATTTGCACCATACGATGCGACGCAAGAACCGATCTTTCCACCCGAGCTAAAAATGTACGACACTTTCGATCGGCAAAATTTAATCTTTACGCAACAAGGTGTCTCTTGGTATCGACCAACAGAACTACGTGAACTACTGGAATTAAAGCTGAAACATCGCGACGCCAAAATAATAGTTGGCAACACCGAAGTTGGGGTAGAGGTTAAATTCAAGCACTGCCGGTATTCCGTATTCATCCAGCCGATTCTCATAGAAGAAATGGTCAAAATAAACACCTTAGACAGCGGTCTTTACGTGGGCGCGTCGGTGACATTGGACGACATGGACGCTGCGCTCAAATCAGAAATCAAATTGCAACCTGAGTACAAAACCCGCGTATTCCAGGCAATTACCGATATGCTAAACTGGTTTGCGGGCAAGCAAATTCGAAACGTGGCGGCAGTTGGAGGAAACATTATGACCGGCTCGCCAATTTCCGATTTGAACCCCATCTTTCTCGCGTCGAAAATTGAGTTAGAACTTCGTAGCAAAGAGCGGGGGATACGAAGGATTCGAATGGATGATACGTTTTTTACTGGCTATCGAAAAAACTCCGTTGAGAGCGACGAAGTGCTCGTGGGTATTATTATACCTTATACTCAAGAGAACCAACACTTTTGCGCGTACAAACAGGCGCGTAGACGCGAAGATGACATAGCTATTGTAAATTGTGCTATTAACGTAACCATTGAGCCTAAGTCGTTGGCGATTGAAGATATTAGCTTTGGATTTGGAGGAATGGCCCCGATCACAGTGACTGCACCGAAAACCAGCAGGGCGTTGATCGGACATCCTTGGAATGAATCAACCTTGGAAATGGCATACGAATACCTACTTCAAGATCTACCACTCTCCCCAAGTGCACCAGGAGGAATGATCCAGTATAGGAGATCGCTCACTCTCAGCTTCTTCTTCAGAGCCTTTCTGTCTATATCAAAGCAGTTACAAAGGCAGATTAGTGCGCGAGACAGAAGTGGAATTGAAGGTTTTCACAGCGACATACCAAAAAGTTCGCAGTTCTTCGAAGTTGTCAATTCCACTAAAAAATACGACACCGTTGGGAAACCGATCCAGCACAAATCAGGATTCAAGCAAGCCACGGGCGAAGCGGTGTATCTCGATGACATTCCAACTTATTCAAACGAGCTCTACTTGGCTCTAGTAACAAGCACGAGATCCCACGCAAACATTATTTCGGTAGATCCCTCAGAAGCGTTGAGAACTGAGGGAGTTCATGCTTTCTTCTCCGCCAAGGACCTGTCGTCGCACTGTAATCGCTTTGGACCAATAATTCACGACGAGGAAATTTTCGCGTCTAAGACGGTGACGTGTAACGGACAAATTGTTGGTGCACTGGTTGCAATTGATCAGGTAACAGCACAGCGTGCCGCGCGTATGGTTCAGATTAAATACGAAGAATTGGAGCCGGTTATTGTGACCATTGAAGATGCGATAAAGTATAAATCGTTCTTTAATGCCATCCCAAAGAAGATGGAAAGGGGGAACGTAGAGGAGGCTTTTGCGAAGGCACCCCACATATTAGAGGGTGAATGCAGAATGGGCGGACAAGAACATTTTTATTTTGAAACCCATTGCACACTTGCCGTGCCCAAAGAAGAGGATGAAATTGAAATATTCTCTTCCTGCCAACATCCATCAGAATTAAGTGTAAGTGCTGAACATGCAAATCTTAGAAAAAGCTCAAGTTCGTTTTAGCAACTAATTTCGCACACATTGGAAGTTCCCCAAAGCAAGGTAATTACCAAAGTGAAAAGAATGGGAGGTGGTTTTGGTGGAAAAGAGTCGCGGTTTCTTTTGGTAGGGCTGCCAGTTGCACTAGCAGCAAACCGCCTGAAACGTCCAGTACGTTGCATGTTAGATCGAGATGAAGATATGCTAATAAGTGGAACTAGGCATCCGTTTTTAATTAAATACAAGACGGCATTTGACGACAGTGGCAAAATTATAGCAGCAGAAGCCGTCATCTACAATAATGGAGGAAATACCACTGATCTATCAGAAGCGGTAAGTGCATGGTGGTATCGATTACGAACTCATGATATTAAATCTTTCAGATCCTGGAACGAGCAATGTTTCATTTCGAAAATGGTTACAAGATTCCAAATTGTAGGGTTCTTGGATATGTGTGCAAAACCAATTTAGCCTCAAACACAGCGTTTAGAGGTTTTGGGGGGCCTCAAGGGATGTTCGCTGCCGAAAATATGATACACGATATTGCGGAATATCTCAAGAGAGACGTTTTAGAAGTCTCCCAAATGAATTTATACCAAGAAGGCGATATTACACATTATAATCAGAGGATAGACTATTGCAATTTGACAAGATGTTGGAGCGAATGCCTTGAATCGTCCAATTTCCACCAAAGAAGGATTGAAGTTAAAAAATACAATCGGTAAAAGGGATTAATAAATAATAAGATTCGCGCTAATGAATTATTTCTTTTGTAGTGAAAATAGATGGAAGAAACGTGGCATTAGTGTCGTGCCGACAAAGTTCGGTATATCGTTTACAGTAATCACCTTGAATCAAAGTGGGGCATTGGTTCACATCTACAAGGATGGTTCGGTACTATTAACTCATGGGGGAACGGAAATGGGGCAAGGACTACATACTAAGATGATTCAAATTGCTAGTCGTGTATTGGGTGTATCTCATGAAAAAATACACATTTCCGAAACAGCCACAGACAAAGTACCAAATACTAGCGCTACCGCTGCAAGTTCGGGGTCGGACTTAAATGGAATGGCTGTTATGGTAAGTTGCAGTGATGAAAGTACGGTACGGTTCATTGAGTGCACATTACGCAAGTAAATGCGTCATGGAACTGTTTGTTGTTCAACATCGAGTGTACGTCATCGGCTTTTTAGATTTTTGAGAAAGTTTTATGCTAAGCCAACCAGTTCTATTGCCCTAAACATGTTGATACTTGTAAAAAAAAACACTTTATCAAACATTTTTCAAAGGTGTGCGTTACTGTTCTGAATTATAGAATATTAATTATTGTTGATTGGTTTTGGAGCTTATCTTCGCCCCTTCTTGGTCACTTATTAGGATTTTGATGAGGGGTCTGTTATGGAAGATACGTCAGAGGAACTAATCTGTTGGACGAACCTCTTGAACACGCCAGTAGGTGTTGTAAATTCAAGACCACGCACGCACCATCTATTCAACTGTAATAGGCAGATGCCAGACAGATGTTGTGCAGACCCCTCTATATCCCTATCAACTGGCGTATAGCTATGGCCGTTGTATATATTGTTCTCTTTGCGCCTTCCCCAAAGGGCTTACATTTGCAGCATTCAAATGAAGTATGTTTGGGATATCCTCCAGTTCACAATACTGGCTCTTTTTGAATAATCTGGGTGAGCCATTTTAGATTGGAAAGTTCGATTCAGCCAGGCGAAACCTTAACTTCGGCCATTAACCTTGGATTTTAATTGCTGCGTGTCCTTAATTAATGATTGTTTGCTTCGCCACTGGGAGAATTTAAATATACCGCCGCCCCATTGTCAATACGTAGGTCGATTCGCAACTTCTCCCGCGACTTTTTTAGGAGAGAGCGAAGGGAAAAAGGGCATTATGTATAGTTCGGGCTCAAACCCCTGTCCGTTGTATATTTTCATCGGATTCGTTCTTTTGGGTTGACAATTCGTTGATGTGGTCATAGGTTCACCGTTCCATCCGGTATCGTACAATTCATCTGAAGATGTTGCGCTTGCTTCTTATTTTCGATTTAGTTCTTTTCTCCGGTTTCCCCTTGGGGGACTGACTTCTTGTTGCCACCTTAAACGAAAAAAACGCAGACTCCTAAATAAGTTCACACATAATAATTTTATAGAATACAACGCGGCTCCAATATCTTTACGCACCTTCTTATAGAGAACCGATCGTCTTTTTTTATTCAAATCAAGAAAACATTACGCTACCTTATGTCCTCTGGATGTCCTACAGTACAAATAGGTGGAAAATGGACGATAACCTGGATCTCCGGGAGGACTGACGTTGACGTTTTCAGGATTCTTTTGCAGATTGACGCTTCAGGTGGAATTAATCGGGCATTGAACCGTGTACGTTCACTGTCCGCCGTCAAGTAACTTTCGCTTGCAACGAATAAGCTATCAATACTTTAACTTTCGAAAGGGAAAAAATTTTCAATGGAGGCATCCCGGCTTCATTTTTATTTCTGATCTACTAAGTACATTAAAAATAAAAAGACCCGTGTGTCCTCAATTTTTATTTACGGGTAAAATAAACCCAAAATTATTGAAAAGCTGTGTTTTTAGTCCGAATTTGAAACGCTTCAGTCTAAATACGTCACAAACCTACAACCAATCACGTAGAAGTGAGCCGGCAACCTTGTGCGAGGGTCTGACGTTTGTCGGATTTGACGTGTTAGGAGAAATCTTAAGCTGGATTCACATGAATACGAAATCCGACGATACGGTCATCCGAAATGCTTATAATTGGTCAATAATTTGAAATGTGCTTGACATTTCAAACTATTGACCAATGATAAGCATTTCGGATGACCGTAGCGTTGGATTTCGTATTCATGTGAATCCAGCTTAACGCGAAAGTGAACGACAAGTGACTAGTGACAATTGCCTGTGACAGGTGACGCAAGTTACAAATGACATTCTCCTGCAATATTGCCAAGTCGTTATGTCTTCTGAATGGTTCTAGGAGCTGATTGGTCAGGGTTATCACAGAGCCCGCCACAATCATATCGTTTTGAATAAACCCTTAAAACCGCAGATGTTCATTATTTTTTTGCTAATCAGCCTCTATTTTTAAATATACTTTTACTGTCCAAAAAATTGTTTTATGCTTTCAGGTACACGCTTATTAAATTAGAACTACGGAATTCAACTATATTGTAAACCCCCATTGCGCAAACTGTCACTCTAATAACTTTATTGATTTTTCGGAGACGTTCGCTCGCAATTCTTGCCACTCGCACGTTAATAAGAGAGGTATTGCATTGCTTTTGAAGCACCAGGAATCCGAATCAAACAAAATCTCGATGCTGTCGGTCTGTCTATCGGTTATATCTGTACTCTTATTTCCGGCTAAACGGCTGAACCGATTGGAACCAAATTTGGTATCACATATTCTTAGACATAAAAGAAAAGGCAGATCGCGCATGCGCAGGTGGCCTCAGCAAATTTTTTAGAAAGTTCTATATACGAAATTTTTAATCCGAACTAGTTTATTTCGCTTTAACTTTCACGATCATCCTTTCGGCATATGTTCAAACGACAAGTGGTAAGTTACTCCTTGACCGCTAATGAATTTTCGTGCAGGTTTTATCGCCGTTTCTTGTTTTATACGTATAATTTCGCTTGGTTTTATGACACTCAGCAACTTAGTTAACAAACGTTTTGTTGGCTTAAGTTTGGGGGGGGGGGCTGGTCCATTTCCGGTACTACACTCATTGTAGACCTTAAACCTTGCGCGAAAAAACCTTACGCTTGAAAAAATTCTAAAAAAAGTTATAACCCACCACTTGCGTGACATTCTTTAGTCAAAAACCGAATGCCCTATCCCTATTCCTTCTGGACTAATCCCTACTCCTCTTTTGAATTTTTAACACCCCCCAAAATGGCGCTAATTACTTTTTTTAACCCTACGAATCATGTGCGCACAAAGGCCATCCATAAAAAAATCCACGGCCGTTTAATATTACGATTTCAGCGGTTCACACGATTCTCTATATATCATGAGTAATTCTGACTGAGCTTTTCGGGCACGTAAAGAACACTACGATTACCTTATCGCTTGTTAACACCTGTCCGACTGTCGCCAATAACTTTCCCAAGCCATTAACCGGTCATAATGCACACGAAAGCCAGTGGTATCTCTATGACAATGATGATGGTGATGCCAAAGGTCTTCATCGTCCTCTATCCAACTAGTAAGTTGCAATTTCATTCACTATTGCCTCGTCCTATTTTTCAAATAATAAAATTTTTCCACTACTCAAGCAAAATAAAGTCTAAAACTCTCCAGAAATTTGCGTATTCGGGAATTCAATACAAATTTTCCACTGATTCGAGATCTGCAGTTCAGTGCCTCAATCGAAAACGCGTAATCAATTTCGGTGTTGTAAGAATTCATCACAACCTTTTTGTAGAGCTCGCCCGATTTTACCACGCAGGATACGTTGTTTTTCTTTCTTGATTCTCCGCCCCCGCATCTCCAAACTACATAAATCAGGTCAGTGGCCCATGCTGCAAACTTGACCAGGAACGCAAACAGGGTAGATAAAGCCACGTACATAATTACACATTAAAAATAAAAATTGATAACCATTCATTCAACCAGTCATTACTGTAGACACGCTGCTCATTTCAGAGTCAAGGTCTAGTTAAAGAAATGGTCCCAGGCCATGACCTACGTGATTGAATTGAGTGCCACAATCTGAATTTAACTAAGGAACTATTTTTAATATTTTACATGTTTAGATCCAAACTTGAGAGTCTTGCCTTTTCAAATCTTTCTGCCCACTGTTTGAGTATGACCTCTAAGTGTGCACAAGTTCCACAAAAAATGTTTGGAATTCAATTTTTTACAGAATGCATGCAACGCTATTAAAGAACGATTGGAGCCGATTAAAAAAGCAAATCCAAAAGGAACATGGGAGGAATGGATTTTAGCGGCATACGTAAGCAGAATTAGCTTATCATCTACAGGCTTTTACAAGACTCCTGATATTGGATACGACATGGAGACGAACTCTGGGATGGCCTTCAACTATTTTACTTTCGGAACGGCGTGCAGTGAAGTCGAAATCGACTGCCTCACAGGCGACCACAAGGTTTTAAGAACGGATATTGTCATGGATTTGGGTAATAGTAAACTTCCTCTACAACTGGACATTAATTCGTCTTATTTAAACAGGTGAAAGTTTAAATCCTGCCATTGACATAGGACAAATTGAGGGTGGCTTTATGCAAGGTTACGGTTTGTTTACACTGGAAGAAATGGTCTACTCTCCTAAGGGTGTCATGTTCACGCGAGGCCCAGGCGCATACAAAATTCCAGGATTCGCCGATATTCCTCAGGAGTTTAACGTATCCTTACTTAAAGGAGCTCCCAATCCGCGAGCTGTCTACTCGTCAAAGGCAAGCGTGTAAAACCAAAAAAATTGTATTCGCTAATTATTTCTAACAGGCCGTAGGCGAACCACCATTATTTCTGGCATCTTCGGTTTACTTCGCGATACGCGAAGCAATTAAAGACGCCAGAAGGGACGCCGGACTGTCACCTACAAACTTCAAATTCACAGCACCCGCAACATCGGCAAAGATACGTATGGCCTGTGAAGACAACTTAACTTCAAAGGTATGTGACCATTTCAAATGGTCGACGTGTTAATAAAACCCCCCCGATTTTCAGCTTAGTGAACCTAAACCTGGCAGCTTCATACCTTGGAATGTTGTGCCGTAAAAAACCACAAGAACGTTATTATTAATTTTATTTTATTTCTATACTAATAAAGCTGTTTGTTTTAATTTTGAAAGTCTTTGAAAATGTGCATCTTCGCAAAGTACGCCATTGCAGCTAAAACAGATGAAATTGCTTTAAGATGGAAAATTAAGATGGAAAGTTACCTTCAAGGCCGAGCTCATTAGCAATTAAACCTCTACCGATGCATCTCGATATTTTAATGGCGTGGTGCTCTTCTACTGCTTCAAATTTGATCGCGAGAATTTTTAAAAGCATTAACGCCTTGTTGCCTAAAACTTTCTCTTGCAATTTTGCTTCTGTTTCCGCAGTATGATGGATACTGCCAAAACGCTTTTGAAGTCGACCACGCTGTCAGAACAATAGAATTTTACGTTAAGAAGTTACACCAACGCATATACCTGTTCAGAGTCTGGGATGCTACCAACTTCTACGCTCTCCAGCATCTTTAATAAAGCGTGAAGCTGAATCAGACTGGTAACGCGGTTATTTGCAACAGCTTCGAGCAAAGGTACAAAATACTGGGTGGTTTTAAGTGCATGCTTACATTGAAGCAATTGTGCAAGAATTCCATGCACCGAGTTCACCTCCTCGATCCAAGCTTTTGCCTAAAATTAACAATGTGAGAGCTTCATCAAAAAATAAGAAACCTTTACATTTGCAATGATGCTTGGTAGTTGGCTTTCAAATTCTTCATCACTGCAGTTACCAGCAGCTGTACAAAGCTCCGACAAGGGTTTCCGTATGCTGACGGAATAATTTTCAACCTCCTTTATCCCGTCCCCTGTCGCCGTTAGTACTCTGGAAACATTATTTTGTTTTTCACGAATTTTAAATACCCTAGACATTTTCGACTTGAGCACGCTTAATATTGACGATCTACTTTTGTGGCGGGACAGAGAAGTGTTACTGCCATCTGCCGAATCAAATTGAGAAGGTACAAGATCCACGGAGGTAAAAAAATCCTCGACCATTTGCTCTTGTTTTTCATACAGCTGAAGGACTTTACCAAACATGTCTAAAGACGCCCTTTCAGAGGGATCAAGTCCGCCTAGTCGATGGCAGGATTGCTTTCCTGTCTCCAATCGTTTGTTGCGATCTTCTTTTTCGACCTCGCATCCTTCGGCTTGATCCTTTTCAAGTACTTTGAAATCATGATTGGTCTCAGTTAAATTGAGAAACACTCTAATTGGCGATTTCGAAATTAGCACAGATTCAATCGCAGGAGATAATTTCGCAGGATCACTCAAAGTATCACTTTTACTTGTAACGGGTTGGATCACTTTGTTGGTTGGATCTGGTGTGATTGAATCGGAAATCGATGGGGCGTTGATAATCTGCAACGAATCCGTTTCGCAGCATTTTAAGGTATCCGGCCGAAGTCCTTTTCTAACCTCCATACGACTTAAGAAATCGTGCAAGGATTTTTCTATGATCGGCCTTATGTGATCTTCTGACACCCTTTGCTCTACGAAGTCGGCGACGCTCGCGTGAAAAGAAGAGTCCGAGAGAATAAGGTCTTTCAAGGTATACGAAGACTGAATGTATCGCAAAATCTTTCTTTGCTCTCGTTCGCTTTTGTCCCTGTGTTTGCAATCAGTCTGACTTGACTTTTCGTCGAAATGAATTTCTTTGCCTGGAAATTTGTCAATATCGCGATGATGATCTACCCTGTTGTTGGTCGCAGATAAAATCGTCGAGACAGATGGTTTACTTTGTATATCGCTAGCACTGGACGTATGTCGATCTTCTTTATCATTAACACTTCCGTATCCACTTTCTGAAAGTGGCGCGGCCTTTACTAAAAAAGATTCCTTTGAACGTACAATTAACGAGGCACCTGTATTTGATGTGTCGCGGTTATTCATGAACATTTTGTATGATTCGCTAGTTGCCGATGCAGCTCGCTTTTGCAAATTTTGGTCGATTTTAAAAATTAAGTAATTTCCTCTTTGCTTTTTTTCCAATTTCGTGGGAAACTGAATGGTAAAGTCGTTTCTCTGAATGCCTGTGCTACGTTCTCTTCCGTTGCACTTGGTGTATGCTGCATTGTTTCTGCTTCTATAGCATTTATTTTTGGACGATTCAATACTGCTAGCGCTTTGACTGTACATATTACACAGATTATTATTAGGAAGTATGCAATCAAGTGGCTTGTACTTCCTTGCATCCAGTAAATCCCGCGACAACTTTTTTAGGCTACTGTTAATGTCTAAGGAATTTTCCCAGTCGTCAATTTTCGTCTTCCTTCTGTTGTAATGAAATAAACTTTCCACTTTCTTCAATGGGTAATGAAAGCTTTCTTTGCCTACGATAGGCCTCGAACCCGAAAAAGACGATTTTTCCAATTTTTCCTTAAAAACTTCTGTTAGATTAGGATGACTAGCCATAACTGTAAATGTTTGATAGATATTTTCCCTTTCGTCCGATTTTGTCACTTCCGTTACTTCCAATGGCACTTGGGGCTGGCTGGATTGTTTTGAAATACTTGGCTTAACGTTCTCGTCATCCTCAGCACGCTTTTGGGGTTGCATCTGAGCTTGATGGTCGAAACCAAGATCACCATCGTTTTTGTCCATATTTTCCGGGCTTATCGACAAATTTGACACGCTATTAACACCCTGATGGTGAAAAATTGCAACAGGTACATCGTCCTTCTTTGGCTTGGCGCACTTCAGGCGAAGGGCATCGTCATATAATTTTCTTTTTTCAAATTTGCTCAAGCTTTTACCATCTTTGGCAAGTTTAGCCGTTGAAGTTTCTTTGAAGCCACTCGTCAAGCTAGTTTTTGTGTCGCTAGTGACCGACTTTGAGCAAAGTCTTTCATTATTTGAGATCCTCGGTGATCTCACAGCGGAACCGCTTCTGATGATGGGATTTCTGATACTTTTTGGAATTTTACTGCAACTCCGTTGATACCTTGTCGAGGTATTGCCTAGTGACACTGCAGAGGGGACCCGCTTAGTATTTATTAGATTGGATTCTTGAGTTGTACTGCAACTATGTACTATAACTACTTGTTGGTGGGCGTTAAATGGGTTCTTAATTTCACATTGTGGCTTTTTGCCTTCTCTAATAACGTTACGGTTTCCGTTAGTTTGTCTTTCACTAGTGGTACTCTGAGCTAATTTCAGACTCGATCCCGATCTACTATTGCTTGATTTGGTCTTCAGGATGAGCTGCATTAAGTTATTCATGTTCGCCATATTCATCGCCTGAATCTCATTTAGGATACTGTTTTTAACAGTTTCCGTTAATCGACGAATTTCTTCATCTTGCAGACTCCTTGCGCCGCTCATTGAATATTTAGCCTTATTTTCGGCAACATTAGTGAGAATTGGGACACCGGTTCCTTTGGGTTTTTTGTTATCTAAAATATTACAAAATAATAGAAATGAAATAAAGATCGACGGATATTTACCTCGACCATCTATTGCAGTTAGTGGTTGGTTAGAGTGAGACGTTGACGGTGGGCTAATATCTTTAGATTTATATTTTCCCTTCTCCCTTCCGCTGACGTTTAGTTCCGAACAAATTTCTCCACAATTCCTCTTCTGTATTTTGCCGCCGGCTGACTTTGTCGCCGCAATGCTTAGATCCGAACTTTCAAAGGTGTCTTGGGAAACGGTTTCTTCGGTAATTTTGGTCAAAGCGGTACTTGTAATCTCCACCGGAAGCGTTATGTGTTCAGCTGCCATTGGTCCGTTGGTCTCTAAGTGGTCATTCTCTGAATTGAGTGAAACTCCACTTGAAGTAGACACACCGGACAGGCTAAGTGGACGTTTACTACCCCACATTTCACTTGGGCACGAAATTCGTCTTTCCTTCGCATTCTCCCTGCTAGTCGCGGGCCGATCTCTTTTCATCTTCCCCGTGTTTTGTGATTTCCCCATAGGACTACGTACCCCTGCATTAATACCATCATTCCCTTTTCTTACCTTGCCATTAGACTGAAATGAGTCACTAAGACTCAGTTTCGAAATCTCGCCTCTCATATTCGACGAGGACGCTTCGCCATCCGATGACTTAAACAATAGCTCTGTTTCTTTTGAAGCACGTTCATTTCCTCCGACACTTATAACTGATGATACCAGCTGCGTAGGTTTTATTTCGAAAACGGATACGACAGTTTTACGCAATTTTCTACTTCTCCTCGCCTTCGGAGGGTCTTGCACCTCTCTACGTTTTGGAGGTAAGTACTTCAACGCTGCAATTGCATCTTGGTCGGACTTAAACAAATGTCGCAACTCGTCCTGGTTTCTGCTCTCAGGTGCGCACGACGTATCTGCATGTTCATCAAGAATGTGCGTCAATTGAAGCGTCGACTCCGAGCTGGACGCTGAAGATTTTGAAGATTTGCGCACTTTTTGACTTTCCTTTTTACGAGTTTGCGCACGACTGCTTCTGCATGGTTTGGAAGACGACTTGAGTGGATTATTGCAATCTGGTGCGTTAATATTACGTACCTCCATTATTGGTAACGTTACAGATTCTAGCTTTTTGAACCCGGAAAAGTTGTTCTTCTTAGGCACGTATGCTGAGGGAATGTGAGATTTTTGTTTTTTTGGCGGTTCAACACCATCCACGTTAAAACTAAGACCTCCGCTAACGAGTGAAATCTGTTGGTTCGGACGAAGACACTTTAACTCACTATCTGCGATAAAGTTGTCGATGGGGCTCCTTGATGCTGGGAGCAACGTGTTTGGTGAATTTAATTGGGATTCAAGCGACGAGCGTACTTTGACAACTGGTTTTACATTTAGATGAGAAAAACTAACCTCCAGTCTCATCTCTTGATCTGGACAAACGCAAACTACGTCATTAGGGATTATCAAGTGCTGCCCTTCGCCGTTATTACTTGCACTTCCAGTTGCCACCGCCTGCTCTTGTATTCCTTCTAATCGTACAAACTTTGGAATCTTATTAATGTGCATCGTATCCTTCTTGCAATTAACGTCGCTCATTCCCGTTACAATCGCATTCATAAGAATTAAATCGTTCGGTTTGTTTATCGCATGTGGTGACTTCGTGTTCTCTTCATTGGTTCGATTTTTTCTTAACACCTTCTCTAAGTCTAAAACATGAGAGTGTTGTTCACTAGACTTATAAATCTCGGTATTCATAGCTTTCCACTTCTGTATATTTCTTTCCAAAGCTTCCGCCGCTTCTTTAGGCAGTACATGTTTATGCTTTAAGTATGCCGTCTCTATATCGTCTAGCATTCTATTCCTTTTCTTATAGACTTCGTTACCACTAAGAACACCTAAAATCCTCCTACTTTCTCGATGCTTCGCACGTTTATGTTTTCTCCCACTTTCGTCCACACATCTCTGTTTTTCTCCAATTGCCGAATCGCTCCGCTTGCATCTATGTTCTTTAGACCTCAACTTGGTGGATATCACTTTTGGGAAATCCTTCTCTTTCCTCCTCGGTTCGGACAAATTAATATACTCGCTACTAGTAAGGGGAATTTTTCGTCTGCGCGTTTGACTTGCGGTCGAAATGCAGGCAACCCCTCCAGAACTAACTCCACGGCTCTCGAGATCTCCCCGATTTAACATGGACAATACGTTGACCTCTTCCTGGGGCTTTTTTCCATCCAACCGGTTCACATTTTGCGTCTCGCTATCTTTGCGTAGTTTCGAATTCGGATCGTGACCTTCCGATTTATATTCTAAGGGCAAATAATTGTTGGCATCCTCATTTGATGACGAGTCAAGTTTAAATGGCGCATGAGACCCAGTGATTATATAAATTTCCTTCTTCCCCTTATCTTTTTGACTAACAATCGCCTGCAATTGACTTTTCAGCTCTTCAATCTGTTTGGACTTGCTCTCCTTTCTGTGCTTTAGTTTGGAACTAGACGTCTGAACCAGTTTACTGGTAGTCGCCTTTGGAGAATACGGCTTAGAGTGCCCCCTTGATTTTATGGAGAATATTTCGTAATCCCCTTCTGTATCTTTTGCATTGGGATTGTGCAGCTTCGGAGGTTGGGATGGCTTAGAAATTTCATTCATATTAATTACCGCATCATTGCATGATTGGGAATTGACCCGTTTACAGTTTTGACGATCTGTCTGCTTGGTAACGTTATGTTCATGGTCCCGCAATGCTAGTCGAGAGCTTATTGGATTATTTTTTACCCTTTCAATGATATTTTCGATAACTTTACCTTGCACTTGAATGCGAGCATGGTCACCAGCAAATTGACGATCCGAAGCTTTTGAATTTTCATCCGCGCGACTCTTGAGTTTGTTCTTTAAGTTGTCTGTGTGTACTACATTTAATTTCCGTATATGAACGTTCTGAGTGGTCATACTTCCTCATTGTTATTCTCCAAACTGATCGAACTTGAAATTTTAAGTTTCGTGTAATGACAAATGTCACACTAATTTACTTACTGTGATCCCCACTGTGATCTGTAAATGCACCCTCATATGCAATGAGTTTCATCAACTTCTGTTACAAAAAAGAAGAAAATATCTACAGAGGAAGTAACACTCGTTTAATGTTGGAGAAGATACTCATCAATAAATTGTATTAAAATGTCGACAAAACGAGATATCGTTGCTGCAATGTGCACTATGATTAGAAAGTTTCAATTTTGATTCAGTCTTGTAAATTAAGATAAAGATAAAAGATAAACACAAGCAAAATATTCAAGAAGTTGTGGTAAACCCAAAAAATTCCAAAATGTTTCTCTCCCTAAGGCCGGTTCTCCATTGGAAGCGGAATTTCTCCCGACCAGACGATCTGAGCGGGTCTGAAGAAAACAAACACAAGACGCACCGTCGCCCCTCCTACACTGAAGCCAGTGCACGTTCCGGCGACGAGAGTCGGGTCTGGACAGGTCCGATAGCAATCAAACAGGTTTGTTTTTTCTTCCAGTTGCATGGAAGCTTTACTGAAAACTAGCTGCAATGTAGGAGTGCCGAGTCTAGACTGGTCTGGCTTGGCCGGTCAGATCGACTCCGCTTCCAATGTAGGAGTAGCCTAACACATACTACCTACTGGAAGGATTGCACTAACGGCTTTAGCTATATTTTCAGGGATGCCTTTCATGCCAGTTTTTAGTGGTACAGAACAACTCCTGGCTATACCCTGCTTCGAAGGGCATCTCGACAGTCATATCACGACTGTCGTTAAGTCACACGGACGGCTATTGATGCGACCTGAAAACGTCTGTACCTAGAGTATGGGTGATACGATACAAAAAATGTAATTTTGTACATTTTCGTAGTAAATTCGACTTTTTGCCACCTAAATTTCTCAATGCATAATTTTTAAAAGTCAGGACCGTACTCAAAACGTAAACGTAAAAATTTGAAAAATCCTACTCAAATGGGTATCTAACTTATCCTATTACCTGCAAGTGGTACTTACTTCAGACAGCGCAGTGGTATTGTACTTTACGAAAATGAAGCGCTTGTAGCAAGACTTCCGCATACAGAAAATTTCATACCGTAATAAAAATGAATAATACAAATATAGGTAGGCGACTATAACCTTTTGTGTGCGAGTGTGTTTCAACATTGAAAGGAAATTAATTATTATATTTATTCATAACCCTTTTTGGTTTTTTGTATAACCGTAAGGAAGCTAAAAAGCAATTGAAAACAAGTAACAAGCGCGATTAAAAATGCAATTCTATTTCAGATGTAAAGTAAATTAATATTTACCTTGCATTACGTCTGATAGGTAGGTATATTAGGGATGAGGTAAATGACGCGGGTCATAGTTAAAATAGGAGAAAGGAGAACGAGTTAAGTACAAGTACGTCTATCATTTCCAAATGTTGAATGACAAAACGCTTATAATAGCGCAGGGTAAGTATTTATACAATTCATCGTAGTAAAATGAAGCACTTATGAGGTCGATAGATACAAACGAGAAACCAATAAATATGAGTGAAAACAGTGGGAAGGAGGACGCCTGGTAGGGCTCTGGTAAATTACCAGGGACCCCGGCTATTAAACAGCTAATCAACACTAAACAGGCAGCTCTTAAAGGGCTACTTCGACAATACAACAACGAAGAGTTGGCGGCCTACATCCAAAACTCCGTCTTTCAAATCGACAAAGCGCTGACGAACCACCCGTCTACGCGCTGAAGACTCCTGATAGGGACAAATATGACGAAAGAGCCGTCCCCTCGCCTCAATTCTCCAAGAAGAAGTTCATTCCACACCTAACAACAGACGCGAGGACCCCAATAAGAGCTCATTAAACTTATAGATCCAGTCGCGGAAGCCGCCTACAGATGGGAAAAACGTCCGTCGCTATCTCGCTAGACAAGGTGTGGAAGGTGGGTGAAACTCTACCGAACGCAAGACGGTACCATCCGCATCAATTCTGTTCCTACACAGTTATCTCGAGGTCAGACTTTAAGTGACTTAGTGAGAGTGCTGGACCGCCTCACACTCCACAACGCATCTGAAGAGCCGCCCCTACAGCAGGAACGCAAGAAATAATCAAAAAGCGCTTCAGGAGAATCCTGGACCAGTAACAGAATAAAGTGAAGATACAAATGCTTCAACAGCCAGAACCAATCGGCTCATGCTGAAAACAAGGTGACAAGCTCAGCCCAACGCAACGACTGGGAAGGAGGCATTAGTTAAGCGGCGCGGCGTAAACCGTCCATTGAGTGGATCCCTATGATATAAATTAAGCCAAGAGGGAACCATGATCTCCGTCAAGCCACCGTCGCACTACGTAAGATTTTCGCAGTATTTTCAAGAAAGAAAACAAGAAAGTTGAAAATCTCCACGGCGTAACTCCGCTTGGGTTCTATTGCCGGTCCGTGCAGAGCGCAGCTGAATTCCATATCGAAGAAACTAAACTGGCTCAGATATTACCGTAGTACAGAACAATTAACAGTTAAAGGAATCTAAGGCTTGTCTCACAGTGGAAGCGTTTACGCGCGAACTGGGATTCGTACGAATACGTACGTTTATGGACGAACTATTCAAACGGACCTTCGCACATTAGCGATTAATAAATCGTCCGTATACGTGCGTGTAATTGCAACGTGCGAACCGATCCCATTTTGTTCGGATTTTTATGCGAATTCGCAGGTTGTAGACGATTGTGCTTGTGAACAGTTGCTCAGCTCATGATGGATACGCAGCTAATGTGCGAATGCGATTTGTGCGTATACGGACGTACAATTTCTGACGTTAGCATGCGTATTTCAGTTCGTGCGTAAACGCTTCCACTGTGAGACAAGCCTAAGATTACAATACTTATTATGCATTTATATATACAAATATGTATACACAAGTAGGCGTTGGCACCGTGATGCGCCGGTCGAGGAGGGCCGTGAACACTAGAAGTGTTGAGTTTGTTTCATTTACAAATAAATTTGAATATCTCTTATCAACGCGAAGTGTGTATTTGCGAATGTTTGCCTTTTAACCATTTGTTACTAGGTATACTATACTAATATCAATGTATTCTAGGTATTACAACAAAGATACACCTTAAACTGTTAGTTTCAACATGATGGTGCACCCGCACATAACGCATTACAGGAAAACGAAATCGGAAAATTTCGGTTTTTCTGGCATATCGGAAACGTAGGTAATCGGAATTTTCTAGTTTTGTTGAAAACATGATTATAACTGTTTAATTGCACATCTTTTCTCTAATTTTCTCACTTATAATAATTGCACAAGAGGTTTGTATTTTACCAAGTAAATTAATTTATTGTTTTACGAATTTGTTTAACTGTATTTACCGTTACCACATTTTTACTTTCCGACTACATACAAAGTATGTATAAAAGAAAGTATTGTAATCGTGATAAATTTTCGATATGCCAATATTGCGTTTTCTGGATGTTTTGAAGCACACAGACCCCAAAAAAGTGATTTTTAGCTTGACGTCAGTGTGTGGGTGCGTGTGTATGTGGTTCGTTTTTTGTGAACATGGTAACTAAACAATCCTTGAACCGATTTGGACCAAATTGGGGATGCATATAGGGTGGTATGGGGAATCGAAAACGTTCTATTTTGGTTTTGATCAGTAACCATCTTCATGGATGTTAAGGGTGTCAAAAGTTTAAGAGCCATAATGACTTGAAAACATTTTTTTCGCATACACTGGCCAAAAAGGCTTAAAAAACTCTACAAAAAAGTTCATTACAATTTTTTTGTGACTTCCTTTGTTTTTGAGAATTTAAAGATTTATTTTATTTTTCTAAATTTTGCATTTTTCTCAAAAAGTGAGCATCAATCTGAAAAATGTTAATTACAAAAAAGACGTGTCTTGATAAGATCTACAAAAAAGGCTTGTACACTTTTTGCGTCAGGTTCAAAATAAAGGTGCTAGAGGGCATTTTCTAAATGTTATACTATGACCAAAGATAATTGCAATAACTCTGTTAAAAGTAGTTGGAAAGTCAAGTCAGGAGTTTACCTGACAACTAGTTAAGTATTGTAAAATTTAAGATGTTATATTTGTACAATTTCTCTTGCATTTTGTTGCTGTAGTTGATTTATTTCGTGTATTTGTGTGTTATGCCAGTTCGCTGGCGTTTTTTCCCCTGGCTTTTCGGTTTGGATTTGCTCTGCGGAACCAAGCCCCGTGAGTAATAAATTTCAGTTCTCTTTGGACGCACAAAAATTCCGCCTGTTATTTAAATCCCTTTCCTATTACGTCACAACACATAAAAGAACAAATCCCAGAACATAGGAGTTGATTCGTGACATCCACTTCAAACTGACTGCTAATGAGATTAAAAAGTGACTTGAAAGGTAGGTGGCTCTGCGGGTAGTTTTTTCCCAGAGTCGCCAACGGTAAGTATAGGGTAAGTCAACATTTTCAGTGTTGGCTTGGGTGCCTAGGATCATTACAACTCCGATTTTCTCCAAGCTAAGTATGATGGCATTTCTGATGAGACAAACACGTTGAAAGAGAGGAAGAGATGTTGTGTTTGCCAAGATAATATTTAGCTCTTTCTAAATTTGAATTTTAAGTAGTTGGCGTAATTATGAGAACGCATCCTGATGATTGGTTGATAAATTTTACCTATTTGGCAATTATGATTGTGACTGAATTAAGTAAAATAAATGGATCTAAAACTAAGGTTTAGAATATAAAAGAAACATATCAATTTAAACTTATGTCACCTTTTGGAAGATTCACGACTTCAAAGAACCGGCCTCTTTGAATGAGCATGAAAAGGCTTCATTTTGTTTCAGAAGACCTCCAGGTATTGTGATGCTGCCTTTAGTCCAAATTTTCACTTAGCAGATAATTGATCCGAAACCATCTTCCCTTAGACAATCTTAGTCCCTAAAAATCCTCACAGCAGCTTTCTTCCAACCAATTCACAAGATCTTCGTATTATTGAGAAAACAGATTTAAATCTCATCATGATATATATGAATTTTTACTTCTAAATTTGTTTACATTTATACAGATGTGGATGACATTATGGAAAACAGAATACCTACATAGTCTCAATTATTATTACAAGTACTTTCCAATTCAATTTTTTACTATACATATTTATACTTTGTACAATTTTCCAAATCCTTTTCCGTTTCGATAAAATCGTAGAATACATAATTTCAGTATATAGAAAGCACCATCACTAAAGTTTAATAAAATATCACTTTTCAGCTTAAAAATACCATGGTAAATGCCGATGATTTAAAATTCGTTTTAATCCCAAACGAAAACTCACAACACTAATATTAATAACAAAAGCAATAATACAAGTGCTAAACTTTCGAATTATGTCTATTGATTTTTTCTAAGGATTCTGTAGAGTTTGCTGACCCTGAACTGTGACCTGGACCTAAAAGATCGTTAGTTAGGCACCACTACAAATAATGACGATATTACCTTTACTATTTCTGATATTGTTCATCATAGGCGGTGGCCGATGTAAATCTCTCCTATTGTCGTCTCTTCGATCTTCTCTATTATATGAATTATATCCTCCATACATTGGAGGTATCGGCATTCTGTCATAGTCGTCATCGGAGGTTGGCGATGGACTATTTCTACTGTATGGTGAATAGGCTCTGTCATGTTGGAAACGTGAATTTAGTGGAGGCGATGAAATTCGTCCGAGAGGTGGTGGTCTGTGATCGCCAGGTAACAAAGAGGGCGGTGGTGGCATGAACGCCGGCGGGTGCAGCGGAACCCCACCCAAAGGTGGAGGCATAAATGGTACACCCGGAGGTGGAGGCAAGAACGGCAATCCGGGAAGTGGTGGAGAAATTGTTAAATTTTCACGAGTACCAAACAGTAAAGATGGTGAAGGGCCTGCATCATTTGCCATATGGGTGGGAGTACCCTGTATTTCCCCATTAAGCTCTATGGGAGATTGAATTCCTAAAATTAATTGTAAAACCGCAAACTGCAAATTGTAACACTTACGATTGTGCATTTTTTCCTCATTAAGCGTTCTCTCTTGTAATGTTAGTCGATTCCGCAACAACGCTGCTTCTTGCTTTGCGTCGTCCAACTTTCTCTCCGTCTGACGTACGGCGACCCAGTTTTCGTGAGCCTTCTTCTCCAATACAGATATCTGACTCTTCATCTGCACTTCTTGTTCCAAAATTTCTTGCTTAAGGGATTCGTTTTGAGCTCTTAACGGTAAAGATTAACGACATATCTAGGACAAATTTGCACAACATACTTGTAATTCTGTAATTCCTCCTGCATGTATTTGATTCGTTCGATCGTCGATGTGGCTTCGCCTTGTTTTTCGACCCACATAGATTCCTGCTTGCTCAGTTCCCTTCAATTCAAATTCGGATTTAAAAATCATCTAATTGTAAGATGGTGTTTATATATTTATGTTAGTGTTAATTTTTTCTTATTTTTGTTAAATAGAGAATGGTTCCTTTTGTTCAATATTTAATTACAAGCTTAGAGCTTCAGTATATCTGTTAAATGCAAAACTTATCATCACCAAGTTCTTTTGTGTAACGGTAAATCACATTAAAACTATTAGTCAAACTAGCACCAAAATATATTGTGCTATTTTTGTGGAAATGATGTCGTAAACACTCGGCCTTATAACTAAGAATCTTGACTTATGACTATTTTAGGGGTGACACAAGCTTTCAAAAATTAACCATTAACTAAAATAGAACCCTTTTAAGCAAAATTACCTGATTACAGAAGGAAATAAAAATTTTCTCTGGCTAGCACAGATACCACCTCCACCCCTGCGCATGCGCGTTTCTGCCTTTTATGTCTTAAGAATATGTGTGCCAAACTTGGTTCCAATTGGTTCAGCCGGAAATGAGAGTACAGACGGACTGACAGACAGACCGACATCGAGATTTTGTTTGATTCGTATTCCTGGTGCTTCAAAACGTGTATTTCGGTAAAAAAGGGGGAGGGGTCATTTTTTACCCCAATGCAATGCAGTACTTCCCTTACTGACATGCGGGAGTAATTCTCAAAGTCCTTGTGTGAGATCGAAGGGATTTGATCAGTATTATATTAGTCAGTATTGATACCATCAGTAAAAATTCGGTTCACCCGCCAAATTTTAGAAAATTTAATGCCATACAATTTTGTAATGTGCTATGATACAAAAAATATTCTTTGTTTACGAGATATAGGCGAAAATCTGAAAAAAAAACATTTCAAAACTGACATATCTGCAAAACTATCAGTCTTAGAAACAAAATTTACCAACATTGAGTTGAATGCTTTTGCAGCTAAAATGTACCGAAATGAAGATATAATTGAAAATCTGAAAAGTACCGGCTTTTTCAATATGGGGCCGTGGAGGAGGGTGAATTGTGTTGCATGTCAAACACTTACCGTTTGTAAGATAACAACCCTCTATTCACTGGATTATGAGTTGACAGTGCACAATGGATACATGCGCACATCTGATTTTTACAATATGCGATATGCTTGTCTTTACTCGAAGCATCTGTGATTAAAATTTCAGAAAAATATTGGCATTGAAAATCATCAAGATTTTTCTTGGCCCAGGTGGCAGAGATATAACCTACCGAATGCAAAAAGAACGAGCTAAATATCATGAAAACCATATAGGAGTAGTTACAGCCACGGATAGACGGAGAGAAACTGGCCATAATGGCGCCTTCCAACACTAGTTGACTTTGGGTCAATATTATGTAGCAAGTTTTAGAGGAGCAAAGGGAAACTCCATAGCAAAACCACCAAAAAGGTAAACAAAAATTAGTACCGGATAAGCTAGCCAAAGACAAACAATAATCAACTTCATTTCAGTACAGTTTAAGTTCAGAATTTCAAAACTCTATTAAACAAAGAAGAGTTTCCCCTTTTTTGCAACAAAGACCAAAACAAATCTTTTTCCCAAATAAACCAAGAGTCTGTATAAGTAGGTCGACCCATATTTTGGGTCAGCCCTCTGATGGTATCATTTATTAAACCATACTATGAAAATTACCTTTCAATAATGTGGCAAAGAGTAGCTTTCATAAGGGTGACTAGACTAATGTAGGCTGTGCAAATGCAGCATTACCAAATCCTACTTGATGGCATTGTTTTGATTCATATCATGATCCATGAATCACATCAAATATACAGGGTGTCATATGAAATATATACTTTCAATCAACCATATATTTTTTCGATTACATAAAATATAAATGCTCAAAACCATTTCAATAGATCGTCTGTGTACTTTCTGAGTTACAAGTTTTGGATAGAGACACACTGAGGAACGGGCGGGCACCAATTGTATATTATGTAGTAGATTTTATTTTATTATTGTAAAATAGTCGTAAATGTATGACTACTTGATTTACTTACCTTTGGTGGGCAAGAGTAGATGGAGTCCATGATCCATTGAAAGTTTTTTTAAATTATTCGGTAAAAAATTATTAATATTTTGTAATTTTTTTTTCTGAGGCGCAGTTATAATGATAAATAATGATCATTTTGCATCAGTAATTATACCAAATGACCAACTAAAAATTAATTATTTTTAGTTACATACAATCGCCACTAGAGGCGAAAAAAGTGCTTCAAAACAAAACAAAAACGGAATTTTCTCCAAAATTCTAATGGAATGATATACAGTGAGTTTTTTTTAAATGCGAACATAGGAGTTTGCATGCAATGTAATTTCCATATGTTCGATTTAAAAAAAAACACACATTAATCTATGAGGTGTGCGCGGTTCACATTCCCGAATCGCGCAACTTGTATGACTGTGAACAGCAACTCTAATAGTCTTTATGATGAAGAGTACTCGGTAAGATTTTTTTAAAGAAGCCATGTGAGGCCATAGCAACTTTAGGATACATTTTTCTTAAACTTACGGTAACTTGACCTCACAGGCCACTCACTGACACCACAACTCATTGTGAACCAACCCTCAATTATTTGTAGGTCATGTGCACCTGGTATTCTACGAATTTGATCTATTCAATACATAAATGAAGAAAATAAGAAAATAAATGCCAAAAACAATTACATATAATAAATGTTCGAAGTGTCCTCCTTCACCTCCATGACATTCTAAGCAATAACCTAACCGATTTCGTAATTAAATTTGACGGCGGTATTTTTAAAAATATGACAGCTGTCAATAATTGTATCTACTACTCATTTGAATTTGAATTGATGTTTTTTTTAAAATCGAACATTGCATGCAAACTCCTATGTTCGCATTTAAAAAAAATTCACTGTATGTAAAACGGTATACTTAAATGCAAAAAACCAGAAATTTGGTAAATATACTTCAAAATCAGAGGGGGGAAGGGGAGACTGGTTAAGGAAGTTATCTAACTTTTTCAGTTCCATGGATTTTTAAAAATTTGGGTTTGTTTGCCTGCATTATCGAATTAGTTTGCTAGGGTATAGAAATGCCTACATTTGTATTAAAAAAGTTGTAGACAATATGTTCCGTTACTGTGATACGAGTAAAAAACAAATTATTTCCATATGACACATAGGTTAGTTTAAAGGTTTAAACAGCAAAACTCTCTTGGCCACTCTCGAGGCCACTCTTATTTAAAAAATGTCTCGCATGTGCACCCAACCCAGTACGTAAATAATAAAAATTGTTTACCTTTGTAGTTGAGCTTCCCTCTCCTTGAAATATTTATCTAATACTTCCAATTTTGTTACAGCTTCTACTTTTTCGCGATCTGCAAGGTCATATTTCTCCTTAAAGCTACTGCAATCCTGCAGAACAGTCTCGTATCGACTTTCAAACGTACTGCACTTGTTACTTTGTACCTGCAGCTGCTCCATAAGCAACTGCTTATCGCTTCTTAACTGCAACAGCTCGGCTTGAATTGCAGTTACATCCAGCAAGGATTTAACACCGTCACTATTATTGGCGAGTTTTTTTATTTGGTTAACATTTTCTTTTAGTAGTCGATATTCGTTCGATTTTAATTCAAAATTACGCTTTACTTCCTCATATTTATCCGTGAGATCTTTCATCTGATCATTGAATTTATTTGTTTCTTTCGTTTGCTGAGACTGTCTTTTTGCCAAATCTTCTCTTAGACTATCCAATTCGTTTTCATACATACTTTGAGAGGTGTCTTTATCTTCTTCAAGTTTCAGAAGTGTTAACGCCATTTTATTGAGCTCGCTTTGCAATTCGGTCACTTTGGTATTGTTTATATCTACTTCCAGACGTAATTCGTGGTTTTCGGTTTCCTTAACATTTAAATTATCGTTATAATTGTTAATTAAATCTTGCTGCTCAATAATTTGTCTTTGCAATTGTTCTATATTAGCTACTAGGGTATCACTGCCGTTTTCGGAGTTCAAAATTTGCGATAACATTCGATTTAACTCCATGCCGACTTCCGTAGAATTTTCGAGCTCCTTTTCGAGAACCTTCACCTGCGCCTCCAAAACTGAACGAGATTCTCGCTCCTCCTCCAGTTCCGCTTCGAGGTTTGCGACCGCTTCACTAGAAACGATATTAGATTTTTCGTCGAATTCGCATTCAATATCTGCCAATTTGTTTGTAAGTAACTCATTCTCCTTTTGGGTGATCAAGAATTGTTTTTGTAAATGATTGATTTTTCCAATCAGAATTCCCTCCCGCCCACGCTTGTCTATATAGGCGTAACCCCACAAAAATACTACTACAGTCACGGCTGTAATAACCAGAACTGTTAATATTTTATAACTTATTATTGGAAGTTCGAGGTTATATCCTTCACCATTTTCGCTATCCACGATTTCTTCCAATTTGCAATCCGCCGAACAACTGTCTGAAATAAATACATAAATTAACAATCGCCAATCGGTGTACTAACTTTGGTAGGTATAAGCATTTATTATATACACTTGTTAGAATTTTCCAGTCATTTTGCCCAATCACGCTTCTAGTGGGGTAAACGTGCAACATTTTAAAGTCCTAGGCCTACTTCAATTTTTTTACAAGTTTTTATATTTTATGTAATTGGATTTTTTTAGGAAATGCTACTTAAAAAAAGGTTAAAAATAGAATGTAATGACCGCACCGACAGGAGCACTTCGATATTTTATTTAAAATATTTAATGAAGGTAAATTGGGGAGAACGTTTCTATTTGCTTCAAATTTGCTACACGGTCATTACATTCTATTTTGAAGTTTTTTAGTACTTAAAATTTTTTGAATTTCCTCAAATAATGTAATTAAAAAATAAAAACTTAAAAAAATCAAAGTAGGCCTAGGACTTTGAAATTTTTCAGCGCATTTCGTCTCCAATATGCAATAAACGTTAATTGAACATTTTAAAGGCACCCTTAATTTTTCGAAACTAAAATTATTTATTTATTTATTGCTCCTCTCTTGTTCTGGGCCCTCAACAGGCTTGTGTCCAATTACAGAGTGACCCGTATAATGCTTTTTATAGGTCACAAATTTGTTTCCAACCAAGCAGGGATGATCCCCGGACTCTCAAAATTCAATTCGACATGCTGTATATTTAAAGAAATTCAAGTACTGGCATACGAATTGGTTAAAGTAGTCACTTTCCCAACTACATTAATGTTTCCTGACCAAATAATACAAAGGGTTACGATTCCCTGTACTAACGATTTACAATCTCAAACGAGATCTCAATAACCGATTGCACCAAGCTGGAAGATTCTCGTTAGCTAGTAATAAATTCATTAGAAAAATTACTTTCTCAATACAATAAAATTGCCACGTTTATTATACAGCAATATTCCTCATTCAATCTCAAAGTGTTGATTGATCAAACTCTTGAAATTGATACAAATTACTAGGTCACGTATAATGAATGGCGCCATTGATTGACAGTTCAAGTTATACTCACTCCAAAGTAGGTGAGCCGACAGCAAATGTAGATGTATAAAAAAAATTTGCGCACAATCGACCACTCAAGACGTGCCAACAAGTCCTGTAACGAAGCACACCGTTTTCGTACACGGATTCGATTAGAGTTAATGAACGCCCGGTACATTGACGAAAGCTACCAGTTTTAATGAACACATGGTACATGAAGGAACTCACTTCTTTACAAGAAATTGTATACTATTTCTTTTCTAAGAGTTGGAAATAGAAGATAAAGGTAATGACCTTAATTTGTAGCGCCGTTTTAGCCACCGATAAAAAATCAAGATACCGGAACTAATTTGCAGTTTATAGCCGTTCCCATAGAATCTTTGCATCTTGGATCCAAAAGCTCTCCTCGATTGGGAGAGGAGGGAAAATTAATATTGTATGACTTCAGGTCCGTTAATTAATGATTTAGTTGCTCAATGTATAGAAACCAAAAGGCGCGCGCTTACACGTTCATAAACCTGATAAAATTAACCTGTCGCTTGATCCCAAAATTCCGGGACGCGATCGGTGTTTTGGAATTTTAACTGGACAAAGCAAGTAAGCATAATTAACCGTCGCTAATTAGATATGTTGCAACTAACCTCGTCTGATTAGGTTGTGTTTGGTGTCAAATAAAGCGCGCTTAATTAGCATGAATTTTAAGACTGGTTCCAGAGTTTTAAGATAACAGGGGATCCGAGTAATTAATTAAAGAAGGTTTCATTTTTGAACGTTATCACCCGAGTACGCCGGTCGGCTAGAAATTTCAATGATCCCTTTCCGCATTTTGGGAGTTCTATATAATGTAACAGTATGATGTAGGCGTCTCTCACAGTGAATGCGTGTTCGCACGGACTTCGTCGCAATCCATTCTTCTCGAGTTATTGGTAGACAGAATTCAATTTCGCCCGTTTAAAAGTTCCACTATTGTTGGCATTTACGGTAATTCTAGTTCGCACATTATCCCATGTAATAGAGAGTCACCAAAACTAATTCGAGCGTTTAAACTTTTCGCATTTGTTTTACACGTATTTAACTTCGCTACCATATTCGCACAACCCACCAACCTGTGCAAATTCAAATAAAACACCCCACAATAATTTACAGGCGGTTGACTTAATTTCGCTCGCGGCACCCACCCCTTCACGCAAATCGTTTTACAGGTGCACCTATACGTGTGTACCTACCTTAAGATATAAAATTGAACTGCCCATTTTTTAATTCGTACAAACTAAAAATAAATATTGCAAGTTCAGTTGTAAATAGTTTATTTCATGGTAGGTATTGTATTTGTTATATTCTGAGAAATACAAACAACACTGTTGACCTACAACAATGTCAGAGACAAAGCAGTCTACTGTTTCTACCTCGGTTTCTACTGTTACTTCAAGAGTAAACTCATAATCTCATTTAAAAGAATGAAAAGAATTTAAATGAACAACTCTTGAGCAAGCAGCCAAGCAAGCAGCAAGTCCATACCTGCTCTACATTCAGAAAAAAGAAAATTCACAACCACTAGTTCACTAAATATTCAAAAAAGGAGTTTCTTTAAAATTTCTCTGCATGGAGGCATTTTGTTGAGACCCAATACTTTCCCTTTATTACATTCACTTCTCACGCATCCAACTAATCCACAAATAAGAGATTTACTTCTGCACATGCGCGCACGTAGCTTTTGATATGTTCAATATAATAATCAATTTGCCTTTACTAACAAAATCTAACTAAAATCAGCAGAAGGATACGGCCAGTCTGAAAATTGCCTGCAAAAATCCGCAAATTAACGCAATTTATCAAAAAAGATTTTAAAGTCGGACAACAATACAATGAACTTTTTTCTGTGACGAACCCAATACTTAACCTACCAGTTCGGAAAAGTAACATTTCTGCTACAGTAGAAAAGATAACTTACCTTCACTCGGGCGCGAAAGCAGAGAACCAAAGTCGTGCAAATGAGTCTCCACCTCATCTTCATTACTAGATTCCACTGCCACCTCTTCTACAATCTTAACATCCTCTTCTTTTGCACTTTCAGAATTTATATCTTGCGGTGCCAGAAAACCATTTGTGTACTCATTATAACTGCTTGAACGGTCGGGCCCATTGTCTAACCCCAAATTGTTACTCATTGACAAATAGTCTTCCGAGTGTTTAGCATAAGGGAATAGAGGAGTGCTCCCACTGCCTTTATCCGCAGTACCACTGACGGCGGCCAATTCCTCGGCGGAAGAGTCTGTAAAACTGCTACCACTCTGCGCTTCCGTTTCTGCTGTGGCATTCTGTGTATATTCGGATTGTAAACTTATAACATTTTGCTCTTGTTTGTGTGGAATTTCGCTATTTTGCTCACTAAGCTCTGGCTGTTCCAAAATGGCTTCGTGTGCCTTCTCTTCATCAGTTTGGGATGCAACAGCGCCTTCCGGTGTGGACATGTGAGTATCATTTTGAATTTCAAACTTCGTCTCATCTACATACCCCTCAGTAGTATTGTCGAGTACATCAGAAGTATGACTGTTGTTCTGAGCTTCTAGTTTCTCGTCTGTATCATTTTTTGTTGACTCCTGCTCGCCACTTTCTTCTTGATTTGCTTCCTCTATTTTACTTCCTTGTTTGTCACCGGCCAAAGAGGGATCCAGTTCATACTCTTTCCCTGATTTCTGTTCACTCCCCACCTCAAACCCTTCCGAAGTTTGTGCAGATTCTTCTTTTTGCTCACTTTCCTCTTTAGTAAATTGAGTAGGTTTTGCTTCGTTTTGTTCACTAACCATTTCACTTGGTGTAGGTTCTTTTGCTTGTTCACTTTCCATTCCTTCTCCTTTAGTAGATTGACTAGATTTTGCTTCATTTTGTTCACTCTCCTCTTTAGAACTCAGTATAGGTTCTTCTGTTTGTTCACTCTTACTTTCCTCCCCCTTAGAAGTTTGTGCAGATTCTTCTTGTTCAGTTCTCGTTCCACCCTCTGTAGAATTAGGTATAGCATCTTCTTTTCGCTCACTTTCCTCTTTAGTAGATTGAAGAGGTTTTTCTTCCTTTTGTTCACTGCTAGTTTCTTCCCCTTTAGAAGTTTGCGTGGATTCTGGATCATCTTCTTCCTTTTCATCCTCTTCCATGTCAATATCATCTGCCTCATCATTTTCATCTTCCCCCTCTTCATCATCTCCTGAACTTGCAACATCATCCGACTGTGCTTTTGAATCAGACACAGTATCCCTTTCTGTTGCAGTGTTCTGAGTTTGAGAGACTGCGATATTTTCAATAGTGGAGCCTGTTTCTTTTTTGTCACTCAAATTATCATTTCCTTTTATTGAATGTTCAGGAAGATCAATGGTTTCAGTCGAATTATTTGCGGCACTTTCTTTGTGGTGTAACGATTGAGAGGTAGAAGTAGTGGATGGTCCGTCAGCCGGATTGGTAGTTTCTGGATGAACAGTAGAGGCAGGAAGAGGCAACGGTTCCGTTTGTTGTGGATTTGAGTTATCCGGCTTTGGCACTAAACTAGGTTGCACTGTGCTTTCAGTACTCGATGGATTAATATCCGGTTCATTGTAAATAGTAGTACCATCCACGACCGTATACGCTTTCGTAACCTCCAACTGTGGCTGTTCATTTTTAGAAGGCACTTTTGAAATTGGTTCAACATCTACTTCGAAAGTGGGATTTTTTAAAGTTCTTGATTCCCGTAACATGCGATTGGGGACATATCCCTTTACCCCATTAATTTCAACTCCCCATAGATCTTTGTTTATTCCCGCTGCCTTGCTGTAGATTTTGACCAGCTCGTTGGGTTGAAATGACAATAAACGAGGATCATTAGAATGAGTTGCATACCTTAGTATAGTTTTTCCTTCGCCGATTACCTCTAAAACAGTGCGTAAGCTGTACGATTATAAACATTTAATAAAATTTTAAGCATATTGCTTTAACAAACAGCAGTTGATACATTTGAAAATGAGGTTATGAAAATTAAAACGAACCTGAGCAATCTTCATTTCCACATAATCTTTTTTCCGAAAGTTGTGCATTAACTAAAAACGCATTTAGAATAAATACGGCCTTATAAAAAAGTAGAAAATTAAACATCCTTTCGAAATTTGACAAGTCGTTTCGTTTTGAGCCACATCATTCGCTTTAACCTTTGATCTAAAGTCATACCAACTACTCTACAACAGAATAACTACTACAATACAGAGCCGAACTTTAGATAATAAGGGTATTTTACTAGGGGTAAATTTTCAGTGAGGAAAATCATGAGAACACGTTTTGTTTACATTTAAGTCTCGAGGGGGTATATATCGTCACAAAATAGTCATCTCAGGACAACCCTCAAAGCAGTGTAGTTGTGACAGATACTTTATTTGATTATCTACTATCTAGATACAGATACAGATAATTATATTAAAAAAATTGTATCTAGATACATATTGTTTCAGTGTATCTAGATCAGAGACTTGTATTTCATATCTAAATAGCATATAGTGGAAAAAAGAAGTTCAGCGCATGCCTTGGAATTCGAGTAAAAAAATTCACATATAACAATATTAGGTTGTATAAAAAAGTGATAATTACTTTGAAACAAAAATTCAACTTAGTGTTCAAGAAAGAACAACCTCAAAGGAGCCTGATATATTCGGTATTAGGAAAAGGGGGGGGGGGGGAGAGCACCATTACAAATTCTCCACCCTTAAGGACGGGACTGTTAAACCAACCGAATCAAAGATCCGGCCTACAAGGTAAACCTAAACAAATACAAAACGGAAATTTGGCCTTTTGTAGCTCGATAGGTTCCACTTAATTGCACTATGAAGTTACACCCAGGGGTTGGTAAAATTATTGTTAAGGGTTTCGGTACCGCTTCCGGTTCTGTGGTTTCACTAATTTCCGTTTCCGGTTTCGGTTCCAATTATTTTTCGGTTTTTAAGGGTTCCAGCATAAGTAAATTACATATTATTAAAAAAACAAATTATTAATTATAGAAAACACACAATTAAGCACATTATTCTTTTATTTTTTATATTGTTTTGGCTTAATTGAAACTTATTTTTAGTTCCTTTCACCTCTGTCAACTGCCTGTCTCTTTCTACTTTCCTTTTCTTCAGCAGTATAGTTTCAACTGTTATGCTTTCCTTATATATTTCTCAACCCTCTTACTGTTTTTGATTCATTTTCGGTATTAGTCACTCTAAAATATTTTATATTTGTTTGGTATTAAGGTTAAGTTGTTTGAAATTAGTGGATAGCTCTGAATAAAAAGGTGAATTTGGATTTTTGGGTTTTGAAATTTTATATCTCGGAAACGAATTCAGATTTTAAAATTATTACAATTTTGTTATCCATGTAAACTAGGGCTATATCGAGTGCCAAATATTTTGTGAAAAGTTTTTAAATTAAATGGGCCATCGCTAGGTGGCGCTACTTAACTGAATTCTTTTAAATGGAATACGCTACTTTTAATTCGATTTTTGGAATTTAGTACAAGGTATTTGTGATAACTTTACTTATATGTGCTCCCAACCGGTCTCGTTTACGTAAATAAGATATATGGCCCTAGCTTGCATTTACATATAACAAAGCTTTAAGAATTTCTAACCCTATATTCGTTCCCGTGATATCGCGCTGTCCCATTCCTCGCTGAATATCCTGTATATAAGCAAAATGAATAATATTAAATCTAAGAAAACGCATCAGAATCAAATTTTACGAGCATATAAAACGCAATTCCCCCGCACATAGCGCAACGTGCCTACTTTAAGAGAGATAGAACCGAAAAATACCGGTTCTTTGGCACTAATAATAATGGTACCGGTATCGGTTCCATATCATAACTTCTTAAATAACAATTCCGGTTCCCAGTGAGGGGCATTTTAATGCAACCGGTTCCGGTTCTTTTCGGTTCCGGTTCCAACCCCTCGTTACACCACCCATTTAACTAATTTATTTTTAAAAAACTTGTTACACGTTTGTTTACCTATACCTAGTTCCGTAGTTTGTTTCCAACTGCAGTTTTCGCAATGCGCGGTACAGCTTCACTATTCGGGATCGAAATGTACGCACGTTTGGTTTTTGGCCCAACAAAATTTGTATATACGGAACAGTTTCGACATCTTTTAGTAAAAGACGCTTAGGTCGGCAAAAAAGCTATCACTTTTTAGGTATGTACTACCTAATCGACTATACTTAGTCCTTTTTTGTAACAAAATTCATTCATTAATAAACATTTTGACACCTTTTGGCTAAATTGTTGGTTACCAAAAATACATACATATGTATCAATTCTTAGAGCAATTGCGTTTGGACTTTTTCTCAACAAAATTGCTGCTCAAATAACAATTTTAAAATGTTCTAGCTAACCATATTTTGGGCGCCACCGAACATGGTCAACATTAGAGCCGCTCCACTTGCAATTGTCATCAAGTTTACCTGACTTGAGTAACCATAGAGGCAGTACCAAGGGAAGGCTATGTAAGTATGGAAGTAAGTTCACCATCCGCTCAAAATCCAGATACTTACCACCATTTTTCAACCAGTGCTGCCAATCTAGCTGATATTAATACGATGATGTCCAAAAGCATTAACTGTGGTTATGATTCCTGTGACACACTGTATAGGTATGTAAGACATTTTGTCGAAAATTGTCCTTGCGGCGGCGGTTTTTGTAAAAAAAATGGGGCCGTTTTATAGATTTCCTTAAATCTCTTTGTAATCAGCCGAAAACGGTACTAAAAACAAAGGGTTCCCAACTGAAACATTTAATATATCGGGTTTTTCGACAAAGACGTAGTATTTGAGCTGAAACTGACCCAATAAATGTGAACGTGATGGTGTATACTACTATATGATATCTTTACATTGGTTACTTGGTTGATAGGCTTTTCCAGACATTGCTTCCATATAAGAGCTTGAAAAGTAACTTGCTTGATATGCTGAAGTAAAGCATTTTCCTTTGGAGATGTATTCTCAAATCCTCTACTTTTTTAATAAAAAGGAACCGTCATAGTCTACACCCATTATAACTGTGTTTCAAAGAAATGTTGCTTCATGCAGTTAATATTAGGATAGACCATCCACATTTTCTAAGCCCCTTCCTTGCCTACTCCCCAAACTGATAATACAGTGTCGGAACCTGTTACAGAATGAAATATAGGCAAATATCTACAGGTCTGCTGTGATAAATGAGAACATAGGTCCTGTTGCCTATTGGCCTACGATTTTTCTGTTCCAAAAACAATTCAAAGTTATTGAATATTTTCAACATTCGAAAAGGCAGATACTGCAATGGCTACAACATCTGAGTCTACTGTTCGAATGCTACGCATTTGTGGCCATTAGCAGGTGAACTTTGCCGAAGATAGTATTGCTCTTTCTTCAAGCGTACATACCTACAGACTATTGTTTATTAAACAAATATAGCAACCGAGCTCCTGGGTATGTCTATAGCGTGACATTCCGTATTGTATGGCTGAAGCTATGTTAATTGTGAATTTCATCCAATTCGATTCATAACTAACGGAGTTGTCAAAAGGGAATTCCTTATTTCTTGGCCTACATTGCCAATTCTGGCCCGTCTCTTGCTATAAGGAAGAAACACTGTAAGTACCTAATATTGTTGGGTAGCCTCTTTGTCTTCAGCTGCGTTGACGTTATAATTGAAACAGCAATATTTATGAAAATATTTTGATGTGGTAAAAGAAGTTGTTCTTACCCTTAAACTAATTTCATTTTCAATTAAAGTTGTAATTTTGTAAGAAAATCGTTGTATATTGTTCTTTACACCTAAGCGGCAAATCATCCCGATTAAAATGCAACAATAATTGTTTTCTGTACAAACTTAATATTCCAGAAAAACTCCTTTCCGTTTAGGTCATTGAGCTTCTTTAAGTTTCTAAAATTGGCACACAAAAAATTAATGTGCCGCCAGTTCATTTGTAAATATCAGATTGGGTACATTTTTGGTAAGATAAGATGCGCGGATAAAAACGCCGCCAAGAATTAATTTAAGTTCGAAGACCTCAAGTTTACCGTGCTAAACTCAATCAAACTCCCACTTTAATTCTTCTTGCCCTGACCTTCCTTTAAACCCGAGTTTTCTTTCTAAAGTCATCGACCAATAATATATGTTTTGATACTAACAGTTCTTCAGTTATTATTGCAGTTCTTTCAAGATCAGTCCAGGTACCTATTCAATTTGCGCGAACCTTAAAAAACGCATCAGCATGAAACGTTTCACGATCACTTGTGTTTGTGTAATCAGTTTTTTGTTAGTTGACCCAATTTATAATGCTCCCAGTCCCAGACATAGAAATAGAGATCGTTCGTCAACTACGTTTGATCAAACGCAATCTGGGGATTATAATGTTCAACTGCATTTGAAAGACTTTCATATTATTGCCGTACTTGGAGACGACTCCTGGGGAAGTTTAGGCGTAAGTAAATGAGGGTTGTTTGAAATTATTTCTAAGAGACAATGTTACAGGATTATGACTACAATTACGACTACTCTGATTTAACTATCAAACCAATTGTACCAGCTACATCCGAACAGCCCCCAGCATCTTCGAGTGTTTCGCCAGACATGGAATCATCCCCAAACGATGTATCAAATGCAACAAGTACTACGAAAGTAAGCAGTGAGCAACAATCGAGTACCGAATCAGTTTTGTCCTCAACTACCCCTAAGCCGATTGAAACAACGAAATCTGAACCAATAACCAATGTCTCCTTAATACCAGTGAAAATCATAACAGACGGTGATAGCGATCATCCATTACCACCTGGTGAAATTCTTCACTACAGAAAGTGCACGGAAGGGTATTCCAGGGATGCACAAGGTCGATGTCGAAAAATTGTGAGAAAAAGTTCACAACTTCCGTAAGTGACACGTATTTTAGATAGTCGCCATCTAAATTATAATAATTGTTGTAAACTATGTACCAAACTATTCAAATAAATTATTTTGGGAAGCGTTTAACTCATATATTTTTAGGTTCGGTATTACCCGATTTGCAGCAAGCCTCGCATCAAAAATTAGACGAATAGGATCAGCAACATCGTAAATTGTTGAGCAGTGTAACTTGTTACAATTACATTTAATTAATAAACAATTTTTATACATGTGTTCGTTTTAGTAATTAGAACCCCAGTCGGTTATTAAATACGAAACAAAAATTTTCGTGGTGGTAGATACTGAGGCATGGGTAAACCTGTTCTGGTCACCCTCGGGACACCTACCACAGTTAAATAAGTTCGCATATGTACATAAAAAAAGTAAATAGGTACCTACTTAATTTTAAAAAAAGTAATCCCGTTACAGGGAAGCGTTACCTCTCCGTATATTACGGTAAATTGTTTATTTTCTTCCACAAAACGGATTCGTTTTCGTTTAAATTGCCAGTTTAAGTTTAGTATTCCAACCATAAACATCGTTTCTGATAAAATATGGGCACGGTAATTTTGCTAATTGTGGCTTCGTTCGTTCTCGCACAATCATCCCCAATTTCGCATAAACTGAAATACAATCAGAGTCAAGAGGGAGTATGGAATATTCGGGCAGATTTGGAAAATTTCTTAATTTTCATTATTCCGACGTCGCGTGGATCTGGCGCACATCACAACGCGAGTTTGCTGGATTTCCTTTCGAAAACGGTCCCGATGTCGAGGCACAGGAATCGACACGAAAATACGGCGACCGAGGATCCGAACAAGTCAGTGGAAACGGAACAGTTTATTGAATCGAAAACGGCACCCTATCACGTTGACATCAGTCAAGCGCGAAGACATTTGGCGAAATTACATCCAGAATTAAATGTTAAGGATGACGTGATACAATCGGGGAGCGTGTCTTTGTCGAAACTTCAAAATCGTGCCATCAGATCTGCCAGGGCGTTTATTGTCAGAGTACCGATGGAAAATCAAAACGTGCTCGCTTACAACCATAAAGAAACAAAAGAAGAATTTAAGAAAGGTTCGGGAGACAAGCCGAAGTTAGAAATTAAATTCGAAGATTTATCGCCCGAACTAAAAACCACCTACGCCAATATTCTAGCGGACGTTATCAAAACTGGATTAAAGGAATATTTTCGAAAAGTTGCCGTTGATTTGGAAGAGAGCCATCATGAGGAGGACGATGATGAGGTACCACTGAAAGTTCGCAAGGAAGAAAAGAAAAAGATGGTCGAGAAAATAAAGAAGAAAAAAGAAGGAGTTCCTAACAGTGAATTAGAACCGCCAAAAGCCGAATCCGTAGAGAAAAGCGAAACTCCAAAAAAGACTTTGATTTGAAATGTGATCTTATAATACCCATGTTATTTTTCAACAAATAAATTTATTTTATTCCACTTCGACATTTACAAATGGTTAATTTCTAGCTTACGACTTCTTTCCAGTATTTACCAAAGCAGGAAAGCGGAACTTGGACCTGGGAATAATAAAAGATAAGTAACGCGGTACAAAAACGATGCAACTCACCTTTTCGATTTTTGGGCCGAATTAATCGTAACTTTGTCTCCGCCGTTAGAATCTACAATTGCCGACGAATTTTGAGACGGCTTGTTTTCCAACAAAGCGTCTTCGATTTCTTCGTTGCTATCGGATCCAAATAACTCACCCCCAAGTATCTGCGAGTCGAAAAGGGCGGCGGCGGTGAGTAAAATATCGCTCGGTGCCCATACCAAAACAAAATCTTTCACGTTGATGCGGTAATTTTCTTTGCCCTTCTGTGTCTGATCGATTAAAGGGGCCGATTCGTCGCTCTCACTGTCACTGCAATTTTTAGCGGACGCCGGTTCATGTCTCGACTTGTAGGGTGCAGCGTTTGCACCAGCAATAAAAAAAATTGCCAATGCGAGCTGTATTGTTAATTTTAAACACATGATTGGAGATGTTTGCGTTGCAAAACTTGCAGATCAAGTGATAGTGATACCACCAGCGAGGTATCCTAATAAATCGCTAGTAGGGGGGCGGTTAATGTCTTCCGCTTGAAATAAACGAAAAACGTTTGACATTTTTTTTATTAAAACGGGTTATAAAAATATTCTTGTATCGCTACCAATACAGATTTACATCTGCCAATGTGAGTTCAGGTTACATAAGGTTAATTTTTATTTTTTTAGTCAGGTCAAGTCCATATAACGGATATTCGTTCACATCAAGAGTACCGTTTAGCAGCTGCTACAAATTTCGAATGAAACTAGTTAATGCATCATTTCTCGGTAACGCATTTGATCTTCTAGCATTCGTAAAAAGACTTTGTATTTCTTATTATGGTAAGAGGTAGTTCGCACATTGGGTTTAATGACAGTACCTCGTCCACCCATTGAACGAATCGCATCCGAAATATCTTTAAAATAATTGGCGGCACAAGCGCCTAGAATCGCAGAGCCTAAAAGTACCGACTCCTTTTCGCGGGGTAACACAATGGGGAGGTTCGCGACGTCTGCCTGTGTCTGAATAAATAACGGATTCTTACATAGTCCTCCACAGATCAAAATTGACGAAATAGCGTTGTGTCCAGATTTTGCCAGGGTTTCTAAAATATGTCGGGTCCCATACTAAAATTTGAGACACAATTAAAAAAATGCGGCAAAATTGAAAACTTACGCTAACGGCTTGAACTGTAGCTAAATAAATTACAGCCAAATTTTCTTCGTCGGCAGAAAGAGATAATCCGCATATCTGAAAGCAGCAAATTTATTACGTAGACATTCTTATTTGAAGGATGGTGAATCCTCTCGATCGTAAAAATGGGTAATATGGTGCACGAAAGAACCAACAAATTTAAACCCCGTTCTGAAGAAAATCTTTGGTGCGGAACATTCTAGAAATGATTATGGACCGAATTCTTTTGTTTCACCGACGAGTATTTCTTGGGCTTTGTATACCCTGGGCCAATTTTCCTGGGACGAATTATTCAACAGCAAATATTACCAGAGAAAATATTCTGAAACGAATATTCCGCAGCGAATTATTCCGGAGGCGAATATTTTTCTGGGTATATATTCTAAAGGAGACATTTCCGGGTCGAATTTTCTTGCAATTCTGCAACAGCTAGTTTTCCTAGTTAACCGCATGCGGTAAATTCGGCATTCAGAAAACTCGGTCCCGGAATATTTCCCCTGATCAACCACCCATGATCTCCCACCCCTCAAAAATTGAATGCGCCGTGAGTATTATCGCCCCTTAAGCAAAATATAGCTTTCATTAAAAATATATAAGCACATTTTATTTATTATACGTAGCAGAGCAAAGAGACGCAAGCTTGAAGCACACTTGTCCGGACGAAATCGGACCGGACCGGACGGAACTGGCCCGAAAGGCAGATCGGTATTGAAAATCCATTCCGAGGCTATTCCGTCCGGATACGTGTGCGCATGGTACTCAACCACGGAATTTTTTCCGGCCGGTCCGGGCCGATTCCATCCGGACGAGTATGCTTCAAGCTTTAGGGGAGTCGATGGTGCCTGTGTGCCTGTCTGTCTGCGGCCACTATAACTGACAAACCCTTAGGACCGATTCGGTTCAAACTTTCTATTGAAAATGGATCACATCCAATGACTCCGTCCGGTCACACCGCTCCGCCGCTTTTCTAGATCCGCTTTACACGCGGTTTACTTCCAAGAGACTTTCGACTTGAGTGAGGGTAGGGAGAAAACTAATTGCAGAGCGAGTTCGCCGGAAAATAAGCTTTCCTTTTTGAGCGAAGATTTGGCAAGGGGCAACTATAGAAGGAATTATACTGTGCCAACGCCCTAATCGTGCGAAAAAACCTATGGGGAAACTTTCAATTTTCTAGGAAATCTCTCAACGGTCTTCTATAGCTCAAAAAGTGGCAATGGGAGTGTTTTTTATTTTTTTGTATTTGGTCAAATTTGTGTTAAAGGTATGCCGGGGTTTTTATCCCATAAAAGGTTTCCCTGATATTGCCTTATTGCGTAAGTAATATATTTATTTGTACTCGTCTTTTCTTACGCACAAAATTTGTAACGAAGCACCCGTTTTCCACCTTGAAATTTCATAGTCGAAGTTATGACCACACCGTATACTTATATTTGTGAAGTCGACCAGCTTTGCTGAACACCCGGTATCTAAAAGCGTTTTTAGTTCGGCACACATCGTTACTCAAAAACTGTAATTAGCTTTGTAGCATCTGATAGCCCTTGGCATGGGGAAAATGATGCCGATTTAATATTTGTGATTGCAGTTGCAGCTTCATTAGGCAATTAAAAACCGATTTTAGATTCCAATCATAAAAGTAAAAGTATAGAAAAGTTGTTTACGACTCGAAGACCGTGCGTTTACAGATAGTAGCTTGCTACCTTGACCTCACCGATTGCATTTAAATTTCAAGAGACAATAGGTGTCAACTCCGAAACTTCCGTTCGGCAAATCAAGTGAGTATAATTAGTAACAATTAATTTTAAGGAATTACAGAAAAACCCGTCCGTTTGAGGTGGGCTTTATTTCAAAAGAAGCGCGCTTAAAAACTTGAAGTCTGACATCGGTCCTATATTTTTCCGATGTCGTGGAAAGAAATACCCAGTTAATTAAAAACAGCTTAATTTATTTGAACGTATCGAAGGTATACGCGTACGAAATGGGATAGGTATAATTAAATTTGCGGATTCAAATACGCTCAAATATATAGATGCTTAACTACTAATAAAATGGTTGAAATAAAGATAAATAATGTTGTTTATCGGTTGTTGAAATGCCTTTTTGAAAACAATGAAAACTTTTTAGGAGGGTTTCCATGAATCAGATTAATTCCCCTTCCTGCCATCGAAATCGAAAAGCTTTCCACATTAGGTGAGTAATGACCAGAAATTCCTAGTATGTGTATAGAAAAATATCCAGTGGTAATAAAAATAGGAGTCTTTACATCATCGCAACCACTCAACCTGTCTTGTGGCGGAAAACTGAGCGGGAATAGGAAAATGAACGTCGCAATACTTACAGCACCCTTTAAAGTTGGATCAGCAACAGGCGATCTATTCCCGTGAAAATCTGGCCAAACGTGAACATCAGTTGTCAAAAAATCGACACACTCTAATCCTCTGTCATTGGCTAACCGCCGCAAAACATCACTAAGATATTGCTGCACATGTCTAAAACTCTAAATTATTACCGCGCACTTGTCGCACATTCTATGAACTAACATATCACCAATTTTTGTTTTCATGGTAGCATAAGCTGGATGCGTTTCTATAATGTGGTCTAATAGTTTGCCGGTAGCACTTTGACCTCCTTCGTTCAACCACATACCGGGAACCATAGCACTGTAATAAGGCCCCCAGACTCCTGGTGTAAAAATTGGTCGGTCCGAAACGGCCATATGACACGTTGATGTCCCACAGATTAAACCTACAAGATCTTCAATCAGAAGCCAGAGCAACGACAAGCAAACCTAGTCTGGAATTAAAATCGGAATTGATCCCATCAGCGGAACAACCAAATAAACCAAGACCTCCAGCATGTGCATCGATAAGCGAGGTTCCCACAGGTGTTCCCGCACGTAGACCAAGTGTAAGAGCAACACTGTTAGATAGGCCATCTCCAACTGCGCTGCCCGGAGAACAAACTTTTGAACCAATTTTGCTGAAATTATCATCCACCAAATCTCCTAGCCCAATTTCCTGAAAGTAACTCCTATGCCAACCTGGGTTCGAGTCCTCCTTGGCTTCGTAAGTCCACTTACACACAAGCGAACACAATGACCTAAACATGAATAAAAGAAGTGCCTCGCGCAAAAATTGTGGCTAACCTTGATTCAGATCCCGTCGCTTTCCACGTCAAGAAATCTGGCAAATCGAAAAATAGACCCACGTTATCCCAGCACTCTTTCTTCATACGATTTTTAAGCCAAAGCAATTTTGGCGTTTCCATTTCCAGAGATATTTTCCCACCAACGTAACGTAAAATTGGAGAATTTAAAGCGTTAATTTCTTCGGCCTCTTTTGATGCGCGGTGGTCCATCCATAGTATAATATTTTGTTGGTGGTTCCCTTAAAACTTACCTTCATTTCCCTTTCGACTCCTTATACAAAACTTACCTGTTGGGCTAACGGATAAGGGATTTCCTTCCTTATCCAACGCTACTAAGGAGCACGTCGCGTCAAATCCTATTCCTTTAATGGTTTCGGGATCGATGCCTCGAACAACTTCCTGTAAAAAAGACGATTGTATTTGGTGGGGATACTTAACAACAGTGTAAGTACCTTAATACAGGTGACACACGAATTCCAAATGTCATCTGAAGATTGTTCATAGAAATCTTTTTGAGGACTCCATGTTTGAATATTTTGCACGGAAACATTTACAATGTTTCCTTGACTAGACACCAAAGCCGCTCTCACACTTCCTGTTCCAACATCCACACCAACAAAGAATACGGTCATTTTATATTATACCAAGACTGCAACTACAAAGAGTAATATGAACGTTAGTGCTATTCTAATCTTGAATGAGATAAACACTAACCTTGAATGAATAATAAATAGATTTGCCATAATAGTCTATTTCACGATTCCGATTGAGTGTGATAATTGCATTTTTCATACTAACCCACCATATTGGGTACCTAACGGAGTGCCGTTGACAAGACTTTTTAAAGAACTTTCCAATCTAATCCATTTCTCAAAGGGGTGCAGGAAGTGATATAGTAAGGACGTTCATTCTTATACTACTTTAGATCCCCCAAGCTCCCCTTAAAACGGTTCTATATTGTTTTACATCCTCGATATCCACTGGCCACTTTTAAATTAACACACTGTATACTTGCATGTAAAAATATTGGATGTGATACCTATAGAAGCGACCAAATAAATCAAAGGACCAAACTGTTTCGTTTGAGAGCTCCCTAGGTTGGTTTTCAAATATCTTGAAATCTGAGAACTTCCGAGTGTTAAAACCGATTTTGAAGCACCTCGTCTAGAGGATCATAAAAAACAAAAAAATACAGGGTGTGCAATTTAAAAAAATATGCTCAACAGACGAACTGCTTTTGAAATAAAAAACGGGATTAAATACATTGAGCTTGACACTATCATTGTGATGAACAAAGAATTCTCTTTTTCCTTTCTAGTAACGGCTAGTTAAAGGCCAATGCCTCAAAGTTGAATGACGCCACTGGACAGCGCCTTGTGCGATAAACAAAATGTTGTATACAACGGCATACCCCGGGGAATTGAAAGACAATTAATCCGTTGCCATTTTTTTCCTGTGCATATATTACGCGAATTTGAAGAGAATGTTACTGCCGCCAGTAACTGTAAGCTAGTTTAATTTTGTTGATTTGTATAAAGTATAGTGGTCGGTTTTTAGGAATTTGCATAAAAATGTTGTTTGCAGTAATTTTGATATTCCTAAAGGAATCGACCCATATTCATTTGAGTTCAATGAAACCTAGAACATTTGATTTTCAATTTCTGGCTTTCAGAAGAGATAAAGGGTCCGGTCGATGCCGTTGCGGCGCTGCAAATTTTTTTTCAAAAATCTGCCGTTTCTGTATGCTTTATATACATATATAAAATTTGAACCGTATGTAATACACATACAATGATGCCGGCCCGGGTGGCGGAGTTCAGTTAAAGCTGGACTGCGGTGCTAAGGGTCCCTGGTTCGAATATACATATTTGTAAATGTATAGTGGGTTGGGTTGGTAGAGCAACCTTGGCTGAAACCCCGCCCACTCAAAAATAAAAGCAAAATAAAATAAAATAAATTATACACGTATAATCAATGGTTTCTTTATGATGAAATGGTGGTACCTATGCGACCAAGGTAGTCCCTATGAAATTGCCTTTGGTATACGCAGTAGACACATGACACAAAGTGAGGTTATACAGCACAATGTAAACAAAAAACCACAATTGTTTAAATAAATACTTTAAACAATGGTGAGACATAAACAGCGGTACGTTGCCTAAAATTCAACTGAAGCTAATAAAACACATCTACTTTTGCATTACAGATACATGGTTATAGAAATAAATTCTCCGCAACAACGCAAAGATGATTCTCTCGTTATTCCATCATCGGCATTGTATCGGGCCCTTTCAAAAAAAGTGCAACAATTACACGGCGATTTCGGTTCGGCAGCCATACGAGAAGGTTTCGTCGCGAAATACTTTAATGAGAAAACGAGAATTGCAATCGTGAGGTCTCGCCACGGACCGCATAAGCTTATAACTACGGTTTTACCTTTCGTTACGGAGATAGACAAGAAACAAGTGAGTTTAGTCACTTTATATACGGGTGCAACTATGCGACAGTGTTTTAAATTTATTTTAAATCATCAAAGGAAGAAGATCGACGAGCTATGTGCAAATCTGCAAAGTGACGAGGAAAAGACTGCTATTTCGGAAGCTTTTTTAAAATTTCACAACAAAACTTTACTTTGATTTACTTATAAAAAGGCATTTAATTAAATTTACCTGTTATTACAGTTGTGGGTGTCCAATGTTGCCAAAAATTTGTTCACGAAATCCTCGATAAAGCAGTTTATAAAACTAGTTTTAGGCACTATTGTAATAGTTGTGGTATTTTAACAAATCCTGTGTCTATTCTTAATAATATATCTTTCTTAACAAAAAGATAACATATCTCCTCTTCAATTACCGCACCATTTGACACCACTGTCTTGAGCGCTCGTGTGTAAATATAAACAAGCATGGCCGATTCGCCCTGTCAGTTCGTGACGTTTCCGTAATTTTTGAATTAAAAATAGACCGGCCGAGTGTTTTCACCATAATGAAAGTGTTAAGACGAATCAAATCACTGCCCGAGTATGAATGTAATTCCAAAAAGTGTAACGATGCAAAAATAACTTTGGAAGAATTTGACAGGTCAGTATTTACCTGTTGCACGGTGTCATTTTGAACATTCAACAAGTTAAGTTGTGATTTCGTTCTTATTGGAGCGCTTTTTCATTTTTTTAAGCCAAAGAAAGTGAATAAATCCTTTCAATTTCTATCCCTGCAAAGATTTGCCCGCATATTTTCATTACTCCCACAGGCCTACGTTATTTTAATCAATAAACTGATTGTTTTTAATTAATACTATTATAGGGGTGCCTAATGCAATGCTGTGCATGTGGTTTATGCAATCAATACTTCTGAGTTCTGATTTGTCTGTTGTTGAGTGCATTACTTGTTTTATTTCTTACTGATTTTACTGCAAAGTAAATTATGTGAATCTGTGGTAAGTATATTATCTACAGGGTGTTTAAGATTTTTTGCTGTGTGTTTTGTTTATTTTTTGACGTGACATGTTTTTAATAAATGTTTTATCAAAGTTGATTATTTACAAGGCATGACAAGTATTATGTACACTGCTTACGTCATCGATCTTGTCAATGGTACTGTGTCAGAGGTTATGTTCCATTGTCTAGGTTTCTTTGATGAGCCGCTGATGGTAGATTGTTAATTACTTTTCTGATTTGTTTAGAAACTTTTTGATCTCTTATAGTTATAGTCTCTTGCCGTTATTGCAAAAAAAAATGTTCTGTAGTTAACTAAATGAAAATAAAGATTTTTAAAGGGTCATTGGGCCATGGTTTTAATTGCGTAATACCTATCTCGTTTGCATTGATTTTTACAGTTTATTCGCCAAATATTTCTCAAAAACTGCAGGAAATACTTGTAAAGAAAAACTTTTAAAAACCGTGAAATTATAGCACTCTGTAGATTGGCACCGAAGCGTTCGCGTACATGAACTTTTATTCATAAAATTAGCCCTTTCCATATGAACTTGATTTAAAGTCACCAATCACCATATTTGGGTTAAACATTTTCATTATTGTTCGTATTTATCGTAATAGTGCCTAAACAATAAGCATTCTAATGACGTGTCACATAACCTACTTATTTTCCCATTTAATGAAATTCAAGATGGCGGTCGCACAGCTTCAAAATATGTGAAATAATTTCAAATAAAAAAGTTGTTTAATGGCGGCCCTGTATAATACATCCTGCTATAAAAGGTGGTTAACTTAACTTCGACTTAACTAACTTCTCTTACCGCTTCGCGCTATCTGTCTAACGGTTCCACGCGAGTTCCCCCGCGATTTAGTACCAATTGCGTCACGGTTCTCCTCGAACTGCTAACTTCCCATTACTTTACTTTGTGATTGACAACCATCTCGTGAGCGCCGTCAAAGCAGAAATTGCTTCGCAGAGCTCTGCTTTTAAACGTTTGCGATCAGAGACGTTACGCTCTCGTCGGTTGGCCCTTTTGACCAATGGGGGTGCAGCACTTTTTAGTTTGCTGCCGGATGTGCAATCGGTGCGTCGCCACCGTCAATTTTTGTGTGATGTCATATTTTACTGTCAACGTTACCAAAGTTCGATCCATTTTGCGGTGTCACTTTTTACTCACAAGGTTATTAAAGGCCAATGACCCCATTTTGAGTCATTTCATTTTCAAGGTTATCAAGTTTCAATGACCTCAAATGTTGTGCGATGTATTGTTACATTGTTAAGGTCATCAGAGATCTGCGACTATATAATAATAATATTTTTGTGGTTTCATATTTCAAGGTTGCCCAAGGTCATTAACGGTTATGATCCGATTTTTTATTGTAATATTTTAGGTTATCATTCTTTGAAATCATGCTGTATTCTGAGGGCAGTCAATGGTCCCATTTTTGTAATATCATGTTATTTTTAAGAATACCAGAGGTTAATGGCCCATTTCTGTTGTGTCGTTTCATTGATAGGTCATCGGAATTTTTGTGGCGTTATGTTGCATTTTTAAGATTAAAGTTATCATAGTTTAATGACCTCCATTTTTTTGGGGTGTCAAATTCAACATGGACTTCGTAAAACCTAAGCTATGCAGCAGGCTCAATAACGACGATTGCGAAATAAACAAAGCCTTCTATATAATCTGAAGCAGTCGCGTTATCTCCCACGACTCATTGGCGTCACCGCCTTTGGCACGCATTTGAAAAGTCAGGACTCGCCCACATATAACATCGAAAAAAATTAAAATCTGTTAATGGACTCTCGTTACATGTTTTGGTGTAGATGCGTAATTAAACATCATTTATCAGCATATTTTGTTGTATTAACATCTAAAAACGATACAGTGTAATTCATGTTCTGTCCTTTGAGTCCATATTTTTACGACGATCAACTGACTTCGATTTCTAGATTTGTGTTCAAAGTTTCTATGCATGTGTCAAAAATTGTTGGAAAAATTGATACCCGGAAGTTCATTCGCGCGCTCTCTCTCTCCATTAGGAGCAAGACCCATCTTTCCACTTCACACTTCTCAAAGATACATCTAGGGGGAGAGGCGAGAGGAGCATCTATTAAATTATATCTAGATCTTCTAGGTCTTATATAGTTTCTGTTTTATTTTTAGCCAACCGATCTATTTCAAAAGTGTAATTAGACCAATGCTCGCTATCGGCCACGAAGGCGAACTAGTAATATGGTTGAAAAACATTGGAATACTCCAGCATAGCCAGCGTTGCAATAACCTAATAGATAACATGGAATGTCAGGGTGTTATGAATTGGATGCCCGCTAAAATTATTGACCAGTATCAATGGAAGTGTAAGAAGTGTCCCAAAAAAAGAAATATTAGAGAGCAGTCCGTATTCCAAGATGTGAAATGTCGCTTTAAAGACATTGTACGAATTTTGGCAGGTTGGTGTAAGGGAACGGACGTCGAAGCTTTAACTAAATTGTTGTGTAAGTACAAATTATCGTCTTTGTGGGAAAGCTTACTAACACTTTAATGTATGCGTAACTATTGGGAAATAAAGAAAGGTAATATTACTAATATTGTAAAGATTAATGAAGTTTGGAGATTATAACATTTGCATCTCTATAGGTGTGAAGAAGCAAGCTGTCAATGCAGTCTACAATGTTGCTGCTTCAGTTGCGCATAAGTATATTCAAACAAATCTGTCCAGATGGCAACTGGGTGGTCCTGGAACCATTGTGCTGATCGAATCTTATCCTGAAGGCTTCAAAGAACTTAATTCGCAAGAACATTTCCAAAATCACATTATTCCCTTAATTTGCATTGCCGAAATTAAGGAGATACCTACTAGGTTTTGGTTACAAGTTCTAGATCGCTACAATCCCAACGTGCAAGAGCAAGTACAAAACGCCAACACAGTAGCGTTGCACATAATACAAGAGATCGTGCTTCCAGGTTCGATTTTAGTTACCAACATCGATAGCAAAATATGCTCGTTTGATGTGCTACAATCACTTAAACATTTATATCCTGTGATAATAAGCAAAGATGGATTAAAGCGCCACGATCACTTAAACGTCTTGCTTGACAACTTTGAAACGATTTGGTTTCCCGCACTAAGGATTTGTAACGAGGCTCAATACTATTCAAATGCTCATATCCAAAATTTTATTACTAATTTTTTATGGAGACAAAAATTTGAAAATGAATCTTTTGAAAATTTATTACATCAGATGTGTTATAATTTCATATGAGAGTGGTCATAATGATACAAAGTAAATCATTTTGAAGACCCTGTGATAGTTTTTCTTGTCATCATGAAAAAACTAAATTTACTTGCTGAATCAAATTATAGAGTATCGTATTATTTTTAATTTAATGCTCAATTTTTTTCTTACAATTAAATCTGCATTACTATAGATTTAAAAAAATGCTCTTGCACTGTTTAATAATGTATACCTAAGACTATGTAGGATGGGGTCGAGGTTTTACATTGATTGCAGGTGCTGTGGGTTGAGAAAGAAGACGTAATTGTAAATGATGTGGGCAGGGGGTTGAAAATAGCAATAATCCCAAATGACTACACTCTTTGGTCATTATTGGTATTCTCGAAAGGTGCCTTATGGTTTTTTTTTTGCAATATTTTCACAATTTATTTGCAATATTGTTATTATTGTTATGTTAGAAATTGTATTTGAACTGCTCTGAATTGTTTATTGTACCAAATATTATCATCTAATGTTACTATATTTCTCATTTTATTAGCCTTAGAACGTAGCAGTTATGACGTAGTACTGTTTTACCAAAAAAGACTGATGTTGATGTTAGTTATGAGTATTACTTATTATAATTGTATTGTTTCAGTATCGGTACTCATACCACAAAATTGTTTAAGTAGGTACTACACCATTACTTGTAATAAAACTCATACTAAGTATATAATAAATTTAGCACTAGTCTTTTGTTTTTGGAATTAACCAAACCACTACCGTCGGCACACAAAATATGTAGATTTGAAATTGAGACCCTAAATATCTGATGAATGATCTGATTTGATGCTTTTTACTGGTCAGAATGATCTTGAGATGATTATATTGTTTTATAGTCGTTTGGCAGAACATTCTAATTCTTTGTCTTCTTTTTTTATTTTTTAACAAGAGGTAATACATATATTGATCTTTTTCTTTCTCCTAGCCATTTCTTTTTCTTATACAAATGTGTCTTGCTTTTTTTCCAATTCATCTTAACATATACAAGTGTAATTTCTTCCAAATTTGGCAGCTCTTCGGGCTGTAATCTTTCAGAAATACTCATTTTTCAATCGATTCAAAGCAAATGGATGATCTATATGAATTTTAGAAGCAATATACCTACTAATAGCATCTGCTTTATTTGTTGATAGTTTGTCTACTGTATTTCTTAATATAATGATAATAGCGCTTTTTTTTTACTTCTGACAGTTCATCTGACTATAATTGTTGGGATTGTTTGGGAGAATGGCGAATTTATTTGAGTTGAAAGAAAGATATTAGACAAGCACGAGAATAAACAAGTTACATACATTCCATAAATAAATTATTTTTTAGTTGAAGCAAGCATTTACATTTTGGTCCTTCGAACCGGATATACGAAGCTGCATTACGAGTGACTCAAGTTCGAGATTTGATTCTAGAAATTATTGGCGTTTTTCCGCGTCACCGATTGGAAAATAATAGCGTTCAAGGTCGATATATATTATTGACAGGTGCATACTGCATAGTCGACGACGATACTGATAAAATCTGTTCTTTTTTTTCCTTTAAAACCAATAAAGTTGAGTGTTGCTTTCGATTTACGACAACATGGCGGCAGATCATTCTAAATTAAAAGTAACGACGTCAATTAATAAGTAGGTAATATTAAGGTAACGAGGGCCGAAAATTATTGTGACGCCTTGCGTAATTAAACTGATGCTTCCATGTACGCGCAAAATGAAGTTAACAAGGACAATAATGTTCATAATCAAGGTTTTAATAGTAATATATTGGTTCCTCTTCTAAGAGCGAGATAAAATTATCGACAATTAAATACCCACATTTAGTAGGCAATATGAAAAGTGGCTTGAGTATAGAGACGCGTTCAAGGCCTCGATACACGATATCAGAAATTCAAAAATTTTCTTATCTCCGGTCTTCACTATCATAAAAAAGTAAAAGTATTACACCATCCGAAAAGTCACAAAATCTAATCCAGCACGCCAGTTGGAGTCGTTGAGCTCAGTTTAAAAGAAAAGAAGTCAAGACGTGTCAGTGCACCTGAATATCGCATAATTGTTGCAACAAAGTGTCAAAGTATTGCGGATCGTACAAAATCTGTAAGTACTTAAGTTTTCTATTGTACATCAAACGCTTGCATGCATGGCATGTGTAAAACAGGGCTCTGAATGCCTCTTTTTCTTCCAGCATTATTGTTAAATTTTTTGTGTTTGCCAAATAAATGTTTGTTTTTGTCAATTAATTGCCTATGTGTTTAATGGAACCCTAAGTGCAAACCTGATAGTTTTCATGTCAGATTTTTCTATTCGTGCTCAAGAATGATGTCAGGTATTAATGAACATTTGTATAATTTATTATTTGGAATTTTCGAAACTTCATTGGACTACACTGAGCCTCCCAATTTATTAATGTAAAGTTAACAATGAGATTTTTAATTGCGACTATTTTTATTAAAGCTAGCTAGACAGGTGTTTTGTGGGTTGGTTAGTGACCGTTTGCCATTTCATACATCAGTATATACTTACATTAAAAAAAATGACATTTCCGTTCTCTGGCTGAAGAGGGTCAGGAAACTCGACCAGTGACCAGGCCCGCCTCCAGTATCCCTTGGGGGTGTCGTTGAAATGACACACATTGGCCTTTTCCTATCGGACTTGCGATCTAGTAACCACGCTAACTTTTCTATCCAAAAAATCCCTATTGTCGGTATCTGTGCAGAACGGTCGAAGTCGAAGACTTTTGACGATTGTTCTATATAGAGCGTTTAGTATTTTGGTTTTCCCATAGTGGCATTCTTTCAGCTGTAAGGTGTGCTGCCTAACCAAAAGAGTTTGTCACACAATTTTTTGTAGTTTTTCTTTGGTTTTAGCGTTGAGTGAAGGCCTTCACTCAACGGTTTTAGTTTATCTGCTGCATTTGTTCTCTTTCTACTATATTCTTTCAGAAATATTCATTTTTCTGTCGACTTTCTATGAATTTTAGACACAGGGCCAACAAAGTGAACTGTCTATGACTTTCTAAGGCAAGGCTATAGTATTTTGATTTACTCTTGGGTACTTCGTTCAATTAGTAGGGGAGCTAGCACGAAATCCACTGAACGAGAATGATCAAAATTTTAACTGATGGAGTTCCATTTTGCCCCATCAGAGTATGCTAAAATCGATCGCCTGCCGCTTCAGGTCATACGACTTAAGGTGCTGCGGGTACTTCTTGCGGTACCAATTCTGAAAGGTTGTTTTTCGAGAAAATAAGTTATACACCAAATGAAAACGTTGATAATAGCTCTTAAAAAATATTTAAAAAAATCGCGTACATTTGATAACTCCGTAAAAAAACAATTCTTAGTCGGTTTTTCACGAACTTTCTACGGATATAACTAGGTTACGGTTAGACGAATGAAGCTGATTTTTTCTACAGACTGATGATAGGTACTACTAATGACTTAACGGTGGTTAGTTTTTAAATTTGTTCTCTAATTATAAGATTATCTTATCATCTTAACATTATAAGATATCTTCTAATTAGAGAAAAAATTTAAAAAAGAAACACTCTCATAGCCATTATGGCTGTGCCCATCATTATAGTCTGTAAAAAAAATCAGCTTCATTTATCCGACAGTAACCTAGTTATAACCGTAGAAAGTTCGTGAAAAACCGACTAAGAATTGTTTTTTACGGAGTTATCAAATGTGCGCGATTTTTTAAAATATTTTTTTAAGAGCTATTATCAACGTTTTCATTTGGTGTATAAGTTATTTTCTCGAAAAACAACCTTTCAGAATTGGTACCACAAGAAGTACCCGCAGCGCCTTAAGTCGTATGACCTGAGGCGGCAGACGATCGATTTTAGCATACTCTGATGGGGCAAAATGGAACTCCATCAGTTAAAATTTTGATCATTCTCGTTCAGTGGATTTCGTGCTAGCTCCCCTACTAAATGTATCCCTCAATATAATTATCATATAGCGCCTATAGTTTTTGCTATATTTTTGGTAGTTTTTACCCCTTGGTTCTTAATATGAGCATAGTTCAGAGTTCTTAAAGTCATTTTATTAAAGAAAAAACATAGCTCAGACGAACCCGAACGCCCGGAATTATAAATATTAGTTGTATTTTTCATGAGAAAAACACTATGAGAAGTACGGATAGGTAACCAAGTGTTTAATCGCATTTCGCATATTATAAATCCAGATATAACAATGATTTTGATCAAGCAAAATTTAATAGGTATAAAAATTATTTAAAACAATAATGAGACGCCACGCTTTTCTTCGTTTTTTATTTTTTTGGCAAAATTGCTAACTGTTGAATATTTAGAGTGTCGTCTGTGTTTGATAAATAATGTAACGTGGTGGACAAATTTCTCTGGAGCCAAAGGGATTCACAGGTACTTTCGTGATAAATTTCATCTCCTCTAGGTTGCCTACTCAGTCTATGCATTTCCACAATAAATTCTACCTAAATCTAAAAAGAATGCACCTTTCTCAAACAATATACATTTATTAAAACTGTCAATTCTATAATATTAACACATCGGTGATTAAATTCAAAGTATTATTAAAACAAACTCCAACACAGTATATAGACCAAAATCTCATAACGCACGAAAGCAAGGTTTGTAATTCCGGCTCCAGATTTTACCCTCGATTTAGAAAGGCTGCTTAAGATTTATCTTTTCAATCAATGTTTATGAAATTGGGCAGTTGATCGTCTAGCATAGTATAATTTTGACTGCATGATCTTGGTATACATACTTTAGCTTATACAAATATCAAACATAGTACCTACACATACAACATATAGATAAGTATAATTTAACAAAATTACAATTTCGTAACGATATTTATTTATTATTAAATAAATAATTTCTACACGTTATAAAATGTTATACTATTTATGTACCTACCTACTAAATTTCCTTTACAAATATTTATAGCCATTAAATATTAATAGCTTCAACTTTCATCTATAATGAGCTATTGTGGGTGGATTTAGTGTGATTAATAATCAACAAGATTTGGTAGATACAAAAGTATGCATCAGTTGTTCCATAAACAACACCAGCGATTATTTAAATTATTTACAACACCTGAAAATCTAGCAAGGTGCGTAATGTAGGTACATAGGTATGACAATCTACTTAAATAGTGGCTATCCCTGCATAACATAATAAATGGTAGGAGGAAGTAATATACTATATTTGCACAAATACAAAATAGGTATAACAGAAAGCATGCCATAAAAAATTCTGTGGCAGAGAATACCAATACAAGCATTTTTTTCCAAATAGATCAAGGGTCCAAAATATACTTCCCAAACAAAACATTTGGACCCTTGATGGCTTATTTAGAAAAATGAGCCACGAAATTGTTTGGACATACTTGTTACACCCTGTTTTTGTCACGTAGAGTGTAGTTACAATTTAGGAACATCAATTTTAAAGCAAAAATGAACCATGATATTCAGATGGCTTTTCACCATTACAGCATTCGTCTTGCTGGATGTTGAAAATGCTGGCCAATTAAAGTCTAAATGATCACAATTCTGTTGTAATTGAGGCCTAATGCAAATAAAAAAATGTCAAACGTTGTTGATTAGTACCCAAAACACAAATCCACGTCCTGTAGCTACAACCTACTTTGGTTTTAAGCAGAATCCAACTAAAGTAATACGCAGTACCTAATTAATAAAGCTTCACAACTTAGGGGTTATAATGGCTGTGTATGCGTGAAGACAATCTTTCATTAGAATTCGTATTCCATTGCGCTGATGCTTTGACCTCTTCTCTCATAATTAAATAAAAAAGCAGCTAAAATCTAAGGCTCGTTTTACAAAAATGGCGAGCAAGTTTTTCATTAAAATGACAATCTTTAACAATTTATCAATCGACATCGTTTCCGGCCATTTCCATAGACCTACATTAAAGTGCAACCAGACAGGTACCAATTTGAAATTTGAAGCTTGCGTGATTCACCCATTGAATTTTACGAATTTCTCCATAATTACAAGTACATTCCATTTACTAGATAATCTGCGTCGTGAGCATACGATTTGCCTCCTCGCCTCAGTCGTCTTCGTACCACCCTTAGTCGACATCCAATGAGTAAGGCCATTACACACGTTATTATTAGACCTGCGCATTTGAATTAACGTTAGATTCATTGGAAATGTGTTACCTAAAGTTAATGATAGTACAGCTCCGCCGGGCGTTTCCGTGATACCATCCTGCAGATCTAGTACCTCCGCAACCTTGTAGGCAGCTACTTTGGGATACTGGGCGTCGAGATGTTCATGGGTATGCGTTTTGATTTTTTCTATTTTAATTTGCGCGGTGTCCGACGCCTTTTCCATCAAATTTTTTGATTGTTTTAGTTCATGGGCCATTTTCTCATGTTCGTGATCCGCGTGGGGGGTTTTTAGTGCTAAAAACAACTCTTGGGTATAACCTGGTGAAACAGAACACACCTACTCTTCTCCGCCTTCCAAGTGTCTGGCGTTTCCTCTTGCAAGTATAGTTTACTCCTCTCGTTATTTTCGGGAACTGGACCTAAGGAAAATGGAAAGTGTCAAATTAAACATTTAGAAAATAGTCACCTTGCTGTACGGGAATATTCTGTTGTGGCCAACTGTCCAAACGATTTTGCCCCATGTCTGGCATATACTGGTTTCTATTACCAAACCGATCATCTTGAACTGCTTTCGGCCACTTCTCCTGATATTGTGAATTTTGTCGGTACACTTCGTCCAAATAGCTGCCAATCCTTGGAGCATCTTTTGCGGAATTATCTGGATACTGTGTTTGACTGCAAACATGTAAATGTACAATGGAAAAGGAGCACATCAGGTTAATTGTGCATGGGTGTGAGTGAAACCTAGCTATTCTATTTTCGAGCTAGCGTAGCGAAGAGAATTCTAGAATTCTATTTCATGCAACCTAAAAGTGCTAGTCAGAATGCTTCGATAGGTAAGCTTCTTGTCGTGCTAAGGTCAATAATATAAATTGTATATGCACTTTATATACAATGGAAAGGTCTTAAGTCTGTGACCTTTAATTGTGTTAGCGTGTTTAAAGATGGAGGTGTATGGCAATAAAAGAACCTACTATAGGTATAATGCAAGGTTTCCAAATCCATATGTTTGCGTAAAATGTTTAAGAAGCGAGAAGCCAATGTCCCCCATACACTGGACTCCGTCCATTTGTCAGCGAAGGGTAAATTGTATGACAAATTGGTCTCGCCTTATTATAAAGGAGCGCTTAGAAAGAAAGAGAGTGAATTGCCTGAAACCCTGGATCCGAAATTGTCATCATGAGTTACAGTTTTCCATCAAGGAAATTAGGAAACGCCATCAAGTTACTCTTTCTATATCGTTCAGCACTTTGAGGTAATACCATACCAGTACCACTTTCAAATTTGTTCCCTTCGGCTTGTTTTTGTTGTATATTAATTTAGTTACTCCATAAGAAAAGGCACCAAAGCAATTCAGTTTAATGAATAAACAATGCTTAAAATGGTTATTAAATTACGATATTGTTAATAAGTTAATTATTCGAACTAATGTGTTTGCTTTCGTTTACTGTTATTATTGAGAAGTCTATAAAACGATTATTTACTAACAAGTCTGCAAGAACATGCATTTAAACAATTGGGTGGTTTGAATAAGGGTTCCAAAAAAAGGCGAATCCGAAAAATCGTAAGACCATTTTGGATCAGAAGAATCGGAAGACTCATAACCTGGGGATAAAAAAAATTCGAAGGAACTGTAGAACACAAATAATCTGTGAAATTTGAAGCTAAGGAATAAATAATCAAGTATACAAAGAATCTCATCTTGAAGAATATGGAGTGTCCGGAGAAATTACATATTTTGTTGAATTCAAAATTTGTTGAATTTGAATAATACAAGAAAGGCAAAGGATCTGAAGGATCAAAAATTAAAATAATGTGAAGTATATTCGAGGGTCTCAAACATCTATAAGACACTAAAGAATGTTAAGGGGGTAAAATTACAGAATCAGAGGGTCTGTGAGATCAGAAAAGTCTGAAATAATACTGAAGAAATGATTAAAGAATTTGATACATCCGAAGCACCCCCGCAATCCGCGGATTCGAAAGAAAATTGAAGAATCTGCCGCTACTGAAACTGTATCGAAAGATTTTGAGGAATATGATCGGACGAAATTATCAAAAACCCTCGCAAAAACCGCAAAACTCGAAAAACTTAAGAGTCAAATCTGAAGAATTACAGAAGTCTCAAGAATCTAAAATGCCTGAAGAACTCAAAGAAACGGAAAAATCCGAAAAATGTAAACTGTCTGAAGAAAGTGAAGAATATGAAGTATCCCAAAAAATTGAGGATACCAAAAAATTAAAATAGACTGAAGAATCTTCAGAATCCGCAGAAATAGAAAAATCTGAAGAAACTGAAGAATAGACCGAACCAGATAGAGCATTCGAAGGGCCCCAAGAGTGTAAGCAAGCTGAGAAAAAGCCGACAATTTGGGCATCCGATAGATCGGAAAAATGAAGAATCTGGAGTAGTGCGAAGAATCTTAGGAAGCTCCAGAATCTGAAAAATTTTAAGAACCAGAAGAATTCGAAGAAATCTTACGGATGTAAAAAATCTTATAGATTTGAAGAATCGGAAGAAACTAAAAATCTGAAGAGTCTGAGACAGGTAACACAGTTAACACGTCCTTCTACATCATTCTAACTAAACACTCTATAAATCTTGAAAATTTGTTTCTGTATCCATAATTTTCGCTCGCTCGTTAGTAAAGGGAGGTATTGCATTGAGGTAAAAAAATAACTTCCCACTTTTTTTTACGGAAATACACGTTCTGAAGCACCAGGTATCCGTATTCAAACAAAATCTCGATGATGGCCGTCGGTCTGTTTGTTTGTACTCTACGGCTAAACCGATTGGAACTAAATTTGGTACAGATATTCTTAGACATAAAAGGGAGAGCTGAACAGCTTTTGGGCAGAATCGCCGATGCTCAAGTGCGTCAAAGTAACAAAAAATGTCAAATTGAACAAAATTTGGTGTATATGTACTAAACTAAGAACTGAAACACATTTAGTCAAAATGGCGATTGCGCAAACATTAAAAATCATTTTATTTGCCAGTACATTCCGTAACAATTAAAATATTTATATTGTCTCAGAATTAGGAATATAGTAACCTTCCAAAATATCACGGGGGTTGCAAAATTTCAGTGTCAATACGTATACGTACCTGCTTATAGCCGATATCATTAATTACTCCATACTTAATAATATTCAATGATATATGATTTATAATAAATATTCAATGATACTGTAGATAAATGAATAAATTTTTAATATATACATCATGGGACTTCTTTTTTTCTGATAACACTATCGTTCATCGTTCATACGACAATTTAAGTTGGGAAATCAAATACGACTTCCAAAGGAATCGTAATCACGCACGATTTTCGAAAATGAGATCGTCTCCGGATCATTAACCAAAGTGTTAGCGTCCATTTAACGTCTCATAAACTTTTATAGCGTCGATTATAATAATGAAAGCAAATAAGTGAAACCGCGAGTCATTTCGTCCAGTTGAAAGTTGACGAAGCGACTTATAAGTACAGTACAGTATGCAAATAGCGTGCGCAGGTGCATGTGCTATTCTACTTCTTTTTGTTAGCCCATCTCACCCTGCACTGGAATATCCGAGAGCTCGATGCAAAACCTGCAAAGCTCCTTTATGTTTATTATACCTTAGGTCTTGTCCTTCTGAGACTTGCAATCCGTTCTCTTTGTGATTAAATATATGGCTATTTCTATCTGCAACAAAAATTGTTGGTTAATTTTCAGACCAATGTGGTACGTTTCGACGCTGCCATTTGGACACCTCCATTATTTTGGCAAGGTGCTAGTTAAGCGGGGGGACGTTTTGGTACAAAGGTCTTTCGGCGGAAAGGTGAAGTCTTCGCATCAAAATGGTGGTGCCGAAGTGGTGGCGCCGTGAGAAGAAGTGATACCTTCAAATGGTTGATAAGGCTGAGGTATTTGATTCGGTTGGCGCGGTAACCAGTTGCTTTGAGCTGGCGGTGGCATTTGCTGATATTGTGGTAGATTCGGAGACTCATAGGCTGGCGGTGCTGGACGTGGAATAAATCCCGCTCTCACATCCGGCCTGAGAAAGTCGGATTCCGGCCTTTGTGAATGCGGAGGCGACAGATTAGGTAGTTCGCGTTGTGGATTCGTGGGTGGATAAAATTTTTGATTTGGATATTGCTGTGGTACTATCGGCCGGTTCTAGAACAAATACATTTAGCCGTTCTTGATCATTTTTGTTGTAGTTTTACCATGTTTCCGTTGGTGTCTTCGTATGCTAGCTGACTTTGACGAACGCGTGTAGGCTGTGGTGTAGTGAGCGCTTCTGGGCATTCTAATTCGGGTCCTTCATCACTTCCGTCTGCACACTGTGGTATCCCATCACAAGCGTTGTAAATGGCGATGCATTCTTTTGTAGATCGGCATTCGAATTGGTACCTACTGCACTTAGTGGTATCTGTAACCAACGTACTACATTATTTTTAGAATGCTTATTGCTTGGTAGTCATTCATTCTGACAAAGTCTCAATTCGGTAATTTCAACTAAAATGTGCACTCCTTACCATTTTCAGGTCTTACACTTCAATCACTACCTACCTCAAAAAATTTCAATGCCACATATTCCACCATTTGAAAGTTTTCCAATTGTCCAACCAGATCTAATCATAGTTGATTTCCTTCGCTTGGTGCAATCAAAGAGTATACCTATAATACTCTTTGGTGCAATAGAAAATAAGATTATTGCAGTTATAAGTTTTCAAATTATTAGAGTGTAATTCGAATTACCACACGTTCCATAATGCTATTTAAACCGTTTAAGAGGGCGATCCGTCCGTTTGAGGGTTCAGTAAAAAAAATGCCACGTACCTTTAATACAAATTTGAGGTTTGGAGCATTTTTTTTGCAAATATTTTCCAAAATAGGATTACAGTAAGGAGTGCAAATTTTAGCCTTGTCTATATAGGTAACTACCTACACAGACATTTTGTGTCTGATTAAAAAGGTCACCTTTGTTATTATTTCTATTTTAAATGCGTCTTTTTTATTTTCGGGATTGTACAAATTGTGCACACCTCTTGTGCGTATTTTTGAAAACCGAAATAGCTTAATACCTACCTAAATGGTTGGGTTATAAGGTAGTACGAGTAGCATGCTATATTTGCCGATGTTTAGTTGTTTACTTTCTTGGTAGATGAAGGGTCGCCTGACATATATCAAGACACTGGAGAAATTCTCAGAAATATTGCATTTTCCCTTTGTAGGTAGGTACCTTCCTCCAACATTTTCGAGATATTCACAATTAAAATTTTACGTTACCAGTAGATTCTCTACGATGATTTTTCAAGAGTACCCTCCTCCGACACTCCGTTCCGCAGATATTCGCACTGAAAGTTTTGACATCACCAGTCTCGTCCTGACGTCCCACTTGCATTTAATGAGTACCCTCTTTCGAAATTGCGTTTTCAAAATATTCGCTTCGACTTCACCAAAAGATATCTCTCGTCCAGACGATTGATTTTGCCTTTGTGAGTACTTTCCTTCTACAAACCGTTTTCGAGATATTCACTCTTAAAGTTTTTCGATCACCAATGGATATATACATTTCTTCCAGGCAACCTTTCATTAGTGATGGATAAAACCATTCCCCTCTCCTCCCCCAAACCTATCTGAGTGATAGAGAAGGGCGGTAGTTAGTAGAAAACCGTTCCTTTTGTTGAGCCCTTTAATTAGAATACAATGAAAGAGAAAATTAATTTCTATCCCCGTTTGTTACCCACTAATCTCGAAAAGGAGTCGTACAGAAGAGTTTTGTACAAAGCAATTCATTTCAATGAGACCTTTCATTAGAAAGGGTAGAACTTTTGTTCACTCCCCCCCCCCCCCCCCCATTTCCAAAAGTTTTACTTTGTAGTTTGTACCACTAAAGGCGTGCGTATGCAAAATTTGAGACCAATATTGGTTGTCCCATGTAAAAGTTATGCACGAATTACTTTCAAAAACAGCATCTCAGAAAATAATTAATGGGGAGGACACGTTCAAGGTATTTATTGCAAAAAATTCCAGGACTATAAGACAATTCCCCTAAAAGTAGTTGAAAACGGCGCAAGTGCGTTCGGGTGGACGGACGGACAAAACGCATACAACAGCAAAAAAATGCGTTCCAAACTGATATTTTTTGACGATAACATAAACCCGCTTTCGTTTAAAAAATAGCATTCTTTCGTGATATGTTGGTTGCCTAAGTCATCGGGACTTCAATAATAATTCCCGCAAAGTATAAAATAATGCAGCTATAATAAATTAATATTATTGGAGGCGCGTCTTTGTCGGTGGGGATCGGTCCGATTTGAATTTGACTACGAAGAATTTTGCATCAGAAGCAGAAATTTTTTATGAAGTTTATGGTTTTTCAGGTAATGTCTGATTTTTCTCCCTTTATTTCATTTTCCTTCTTTATCCAGTTCGCCTCACTATACCTTTCCTTTCAACGCCTAATGTTTATTTCGTATTTTTCTTCGTTCTTTGTACACTTGCTGCATTATTATTCTCTCCATCTTTCATTTCTTTTCTCCTCATTTCCACATCGGAGCCTGATGTTCACATTCAAATTCGGTTCTTTGGTAATATTGTACAAAATGTACATACCTACACCTGTACAGTTTACAATGGTACCTAATAGTTTCTGTTTGTTTTCGCTATTTAATTCCTTTTCTTTTCCCTCTTCTCCTTGTGTCTTACCTCCCTTCTGTCATGTCTTTTTCCACTCTGCTTCTGTGTTATCGCATTTCTTCTTCTTTGTTTTCCGTTTTTTTCCTAGCATAAATTGTTTTACTTCTATTCTTTTCGTTTGCTATGAATCTATGATATAATTGCCAACGACTTCCATCTTCCCCTATCACTTTCATTTCTCTACTTCCACACGTCTCTCTTGTGTTTCCATCATCCTAGTCTATTCTTCCCGCCATTTCCGTGATTTTTATCGCTTTCTTTTTACTAGCTTTCGCTTTATCTTTTTTTATTGGTCGGCACGAATAGGTTCTTCAATGTAACCATTTTCGCCTATGTTATTCTTAATTCTACACCCGTCTCGTTCCAGAACACATAATCATACGCTCGTTCTCTTTTATCTCCTCTTTCTCCCTAACCTTATTCCACATTTTCGTTTACTTCCCTTCTCTCCCTCATTATTTCTTGCTTTTTTCTTCCAAACTCCTCCCCTTTCCTCTTATTCTCTGTGATCACCACCCACTTTTCTTGGGTACTTCAATCTGTATTCCTATTACTTTTTTATATCCCCTCCTTTCTTTTTGTACCCTTGTTTTCTTGAAAGCAAACTTGCTATCTATGTATATCGTGGTCTTGCTCATCCTAATTTCCCTCTCCTTCCCATGCTAATTCCGAAACTATTGTTATTTTTCCCTCGCTCGCCTATTCGACCCTACTCCCCTAGCTTCTTTGTAACGATTCCTCCTGCGATTCTTTGTGTATTTCTTGTTTCCATCCCCTTTTGCAGTGACATTGTTCCACGCCCCGCCTTTCTTTCTTCGATTCCTTTTTCTAATTTTACGACCCTTTCCATCAGTCCTTCTTTTTCCTTTTCTCGTGGCTTTTCTCTTCGTTTCTTCCGTTCAATTTCCTCGATTATCTTTTCTGTCTCTCTTTTGCGTATCTTCGAAATTTTAGATTTAGTTTGACTTCTCCCCCCTTTCTCTCCGGCCTTTTATTCTAGGAATCTTATAACTTTCTTACTCCACTCCATTCCTTTTTTTCTTCTTCGCTTTTCCCATTGCTCTTTACACATGTATATGTATTATACGCCTCACAATGGCAGAGCATACGCAAAAGTGTTTCTTCTTCTTCTCCGCAACTCCTACACCCAGTGTCTGTCTATCTCAAGATCCATTTTTAGCAGTGCTTCTTCAGGGGACGGTGACGCTCTAGTCTTTAGATATAAACCATTCCTATTGAGTTCCAACAGATCTTGAAAGGGTACATCTAGTAGAGCCTTGGCTTGTCTTTGACCAGATTGCAGTATTTCTCATGCAGTTTTTGTATGTTATTATTGTGGCGAGGCGATTACGGTCTGTTCTTCTAACCTTAGACTTTCCTTCATGTCTAGCCTTTGCTAAGAATTTTACCGGTGCGCGGTCAGTGACCACCAGCCAATCTTCGATAACCTTCGTGCGATAAAAATCGAAACTCGTGGGACCATTTTCCTTTTTACCCTCTCGCCAAATTTTTATCTGTATGGCAGAGAATGGTGCCTCAGAGGTCTAGACCGTCTAGACATCTCTTCACGGCGCGTACTGATTATAGAAGCAGAAGCATCATTTTTCCTGTTTCCTATCATACACCAATGTGCCTACCAAGCGGGAAAAATGGCAATGAAATTGCACTGGGCGTCTTGTTACCTAGATATTGAGGATTGAGGAGTTCGATAACATCTCTCTAAAATCGATCATAAGAAGTGTAGGGAGATTCGTATAACCGAGAGAGATATCTACACTTCTTATTATGATTGATTTTAGAAAGATGTTATCGAACGATTCCTCAATATCTAACAAGGCGCCCAGTGCAATTTCATTGCGACTTAGTGAATGCTCCACTATATTCACTGTTCTGTGAAGTGCCATTTTTCCTGCTTGGTAGGCACCTTATATATGCCTTCGAATCATATACCGGTCGAATCTTCTCTGTTTCATTAAATTAAAAAAATGAAAGCAGGTTCTATGGCTTGCTGATCCGTTGACTGATATTTACACGTTGACTCTAATTAACAATTTAGTTCTCTTGAGCCCGTTAACTTACAATTTTGATACCTGAAGATTAACAGAACCACAGAGTCACAGTTATATAACTCAGAGCATCTCTGTGGATCTGTCCATACTATGACCCGTTGTATTGACATATAGTCTTGGTAATGGTGAACAAAAAAAAGAATTTGCGTTCTGCACAATCTTAGAGAAAGGCATCATCTCATAATAGAAATGTTTCATCTTCAACCTTTGTAGAAAAAAGTGGCGATGGTCATATTTTTTTATAACGGGTGTGTGTTGCCCTTGATCTTTTGAGGGTCATGGTATTAACATTAAATCTAAACGAAACATTTACCTTAAAACTATTACGTGTCAATTTCAAGAAGTCATGTTCCGGAAAGTTCACAAGCATTGTCATACTGGCATTAATTGTTCTGCATGATAGTGCTTGACACCAAACAACCGAAAATACCTGCAGGAGATCTCTTTTGAATTTGTTGAATAAAGAACTTCGCTAAACTTGACTCCGTTGAATAACGCTGTACTATATCTTCGGACAAAATTAATACGTTACTTCCTCTTAATGTACCTAGGTGCGCAAGGTAATTGTCGTTCGACCCCTTAGGAACGCCGATCTCACAATACGTTTGAAGCGGATGCGAGTGGATTGAAGAAACTACCGGACTTTGCATAATTTTGCGTATCGTGTTTAGGTAATTTTGAACGAAAATCCGATAACCGGATGAACAAGATCGTAAAACTGTAAAATTGTTACCTCCGGGTTTGGGTCAAGAACTACACCTTAAGTCAACACCGTTAACTAAGATATTTGGTTTTTTTTTCATAGAACAAGGTAAGGCAATTTTGTCATTCAATGAAACTATCAAGTGTGTACCATGGTACCCAGCCCGTTTCCACTTTCTTTATGATTATAGCGTTATACATTCCGATTGTCTAAAAATCTCACGGAGCAATTCCATCTTCAAGAATGAACTCTACGCGCTGGCCAGGATCAATTGTTATCCAAATGCTTCCTATATAACAGTAAAATTAAACAATGCCATAAAAAGAATAAAAATGTTAAGCAGCTGAAATTAGTTGTACTGTAAGGGGACCGTTTAGTGGGTTTCATTTTAATTCAAAAACGTGTTCTTAGTGTGAGGATTTTCACAATGCATGCATGGAAGTTGGATGCAGATTTGCGCAATATGGCGTAAAGCAATTATCTTGTAGAAAGAAGGCGTATAAATTATTCAATGATAAACAAATTATTTCGTGTTAGTCAGTGGCTGAAATCGTTCACCGTTATCATTTTTGAATTACACTTGTCTAGCAATATCTACATTCCCTTACCTACTATCGCCAACTTTGTTGCAAGTCCATTTCTCCGCGGCGCTTCACGGTGTCATCACGTTTAATTTAAAGTGATTTGTTCATCAGCGGAACTCGCGCGGTGTCTTGTGTTTTTTTTAGTTTTCAACAATACCTAAAGAAATGGCATCGAAATTGAGAAGAACGCCATTATTTGGAAAGTTGCATTTACATTCGACTTTTCCGCCGGCGACATCGACGGTGGTGAGTAATTTACATTACCATATTTATAATAGTTTTGTTAGAGAATGCGAGCCGATTCCATATTTGTGAAACGACCTTTACTTGAAGAAGTATAACGCTTAGGTCATTATTTAAATTTTGTTTTTATCAAACTCGTTTGGATTAATGAACTTCTTCAAAGGCCGTTTAACTGTTGTAGGCGATCTTGTGCATTAATCAATTATTTATTCGCAGAGACGTTTAAACCAATTATGCATTATTTCGTATATTTCTTTATTACGGAGGAAAAAAATTGTAGGCAATTAACAGAATTGATGGGGTAGGAATTGAACTCGAAATTGTTCTCATCCATGCCACTGTATTGATTAAAAAACCTATCTATTAGGTATTTACAAGTACCTATATTTAGATTTTCAATAAGGGTAGTATTTTGGAAATGTACTTGGGTGACCAAAACAAATTTTTGCTTGCAAATGCTTCGGAACTACAATAAATGCGCCTTTTTTCTTTAATGGTTACTCAGCAACGCACACAATACTGAGAGCAATGTACTAACTTACGTCTTTGAATGTCTTTGGATTTTGTAAATCGTAAATAAAATACCTCCCCAAGCTACCGCAACCTTAAAAAAAAAAGACAAAAAACCGTTTTTTACATGTTCCATAATTTTACACTTTTGCCGTTTATTAACGATCCTAGAGATCGTTTATAATTTTACATTGCTATCTGTCGCCTGCCGGTTGGTCTCTCCGTCTGTTCCTTTGTCTGTCTGTCCATCTATCTGTCCGTGTGAACGATAACTTTGTTTAGAAATGTTCGATCGCTTTTACATCTCCGTTAGTTATGAACTGAATTGCATGAAATTCAATATGGGCATAGATTTAGCCATATAATACGCAATGCCAAAAGTTGGATCGAATCGATTCAAAATTCACAGTGCCCTTTTCGCATCTCGACCATTTATAAACCGAATTGCAAACTTTTTTACTTATAAAAGTATTTGAATGAAATTTGATACATAGGCACTTGGAATAAAGGAAAATCAAACGCCAATTTCAAAATTTGGTTTTGCGCATGCGCAGTGCCAACTTTTTTATTTATGGAAGAATTTAAACGAAATTTGATACATAGGCACTTGGGATAAAGGAAAATCAAACGCCAATTTCAAAATTTGGTTTTGCGCATGCGCAGTGCCAACTTTTTTATTTATGGAAGAATTTAAACGAAATTTGATACATAGGCACTTGGGATAAAGGAAAATCAAACGCCAATTTCAAAATTTGGTTTTGCGCATGCGCAGTGCCAACTTTTTTATTTATGGAAGAATTTAAACGAAATTTGATACATAGGCACTTGGGATAAAGGAAAATCAAACGCCAATTTCAAAATTTGGTTTTGCGCATGCGCAGTGCCAACTTTTTTATTTATGGAAGAATTTAAACGAAATTTATCCATAGGCACTTGGGATAAAGGAAAATCAAACGCCAATTTCAAAATTTGGTTTTGCGCATGCGCAGTGCCAACTTTTTTATTTATGGAAGAATTTAAACGAAATTTGATACATAGGCACTTGGGATAAAGGAAAATCAAACGCCAATTTCAAAATTTGGTTTTGCGCATGCGCAGTGCCAACTTTTTTATTTATGGAAGAATTTAAACGAAATTTGATACATAGGCACTTGGGATAAAGGAAAATCAAACGCCAATTTCAAAATTTGGTTTTGCGCATGCGCAGTGCCAACTTTTTTATTTATGGAAGAATTTAAACGAAATTTGATACATAGGCACTTGGGATAAAGGAAAATCAAACGCCAATTTCAAAATTTGGTTTTGCGCATGCGCAGTGCCAACTTTTTTATTTATGGAAGAATTTAAATGAAATGTGATACATAGGCACTTGGAATAAAGGAAAATCTAGCGCCAGTTTCAAAATTTTATTTTGCGCATGCGCCGTGCCAACTTTTTTATCTATGGAACTATTTAAGTGAAATTTGATACTTAGGCGCTTGGAACAAAGGAAAATCTTAGTTTATTAGTTAGTTATAGTAAATTAGTTTTAAAATTTAGGTTTGCGCATGCGCAGTTCCAACTTTCTTATTTAGAAAAGCATTGAAATGAAATTCTTCTCATAAACTGAAATTGAAGTAGCACGTCAACAATGGATTGCCCATGTGCAACGCTATCTTTCATATTTGTGGCCGGATTTTTACGATTTTAACAGAAGTTGCATCTTACAAATGGGAAATGAATGCAAGTGGAAATGCGCTTTATGTAAATCGTTTACGATTACTTTTTAACTTGTTTAATTTAGCAAAACACTCTTTATTTGATGTAAATTGCCGATTCATATATATTTTGGAAACAATCATACCGAAATATGTACGCGCTTTTCAATACAATTATGTACACGGATCTTTAACAAAAAAGGTATGTACTCAAATGTAGTCATGTTTAGATACATAACGAATGTCCGTTTAATTATGTGTCGATATATTTTAATCTATTTTTGTACATTTACATAAGAGATAATGAAAATTGGCAGCCATCGCTACTTCAAAACTTTTTGTACGTCCAATAGGGAAACTATAGAAACGATATTATCGCGAACTAATACCAATAAAAAGTCGCTAACCGATCCAGAAATGAATATATTGTGAGGGAACGAGATGGTAAAAACAGCCGGAGTGGAGCTGGGGGAAGAGTCGTGCCCTGCATGTTGCGCCAAGTGGTTTTTTTTAAAACGACACATTTGTAAAGTACAGTTATGATATACTTAAAATTTTGGTTTTTATTGATTACCTACTCGGTTTATTATTTATTATCAATATTTTCTTCGGGGCTTTCACCGTTATCAAAATTTTTATTACAAACGGTTCTACATTGGTCTTTGATACAGTTCGGTTATGGTTGGAAACCGTTTTTCTATAAGAAGATTGAATATTTGTCGTCTTATAACGCACTTCATAAAATAATCGATCTCTTTGTTAGGTCATCCACTGTTGTTCTGGTAAATTTTGAACTTTCATCTTATTTCAGCATGTAATTTTCGGGATTTCTAATAAAAAACTGTTTCATCAGTAAATGATTAAGAGTACCTACCTCGAATTTCATGGAGGTTCCATTTGATTTAACGGTTTTTTGTTAGAAATTCAAATGAATGAAAATTCGAATTTCAACAGGCATTTTTATTTCAAAGAAATGCTTGAGGGATACAAATTTGTCCTAAATTCGAAATCCAATCATGTCAAGTGTCGCGAAGATACCATTTTTCGTCGTTTTTAATTGTCAAAAAGGCGGTTCCGACACGTCGCGAAATTGATAAAAAACGGAGATTTTTCATTTAAAAAAATCAGTAAATCCTTGTGTGTATTGCGCCTTAATACAAAACACAATAATTTTAACATCACTACGTGTCCACCAGGGGGTGAGCTTTAAAAAGTTATTTAATAGAAATAACGTACGTGATTAATGGACGACCCCCCCCCCCAGGCACAAATTAGTCTTAAACTTCGAATGCAAGTTTCTCAAGTTGTGCGATATCTTCATTTCTGCATTTTTTGGGCTACGTGTCGTAATGATTGATACCGCGAATAACAAAAAAATAAGTTGTTGATAAAAAACAATCTGATATTAACATCGTTTATTAATAAATCGATACAAGTGGAGTGCCAATCTTATTCCCGACAGTAGGAGCATTTCTATCAGCTTCTAGGCACCTCAAAATGCCTTTCGTTAACGTATAGACTCTGTATTTAAGGGTCTTAAAATGTCCGTAAGTGTCTGCAACATAAACTTTTACTGAATGCGCCTTTAAAGGTATTTATTAAGCTGTGAGAGGGACATTTAAGATTACCAACGAGCTTTTATGGGTGTAAGAATCTGTAAGAGCTTTTAAATCTGATTAAGAGCTCCTAAGAATTCCGTCCAGTATGGAAGAGTCTTAATAAGCTTTGAGCGTGAGTGTTAAAGTGCTGAGCAGTCAAGATGTTTCATGAGCATTTAAGAGTATGCAACGGTTGTAAATAATCTCAGAGAATCTTCAAGAGCTTGTAACACTCTTTTCTTACCGACAGAAAATTCCGGTTAAGTAACCTTTGACTTGTGCTCTTATTTATATCTTTACGCCATCTAGGTGTTTCATTTGTAATCCTGTAGTAAATGTGTTATTATCTTAGTTTCTTTCACCTATAGTTCTTGGTTTTGCCTCTTAAGGTCGTGCAGAGTTTTCTTTAATTTCTTTCGGCGCACGCACTCTTGTATAAAGACGAGATTCGATCATTACTTGCAAAAGAATACATGCCATTGCAATTACTTGACAATTTTGGGGTTTATTGGTGCTCAACGAGGTGCTCAATTAAAGCACGCCATAGATGAGTTTCTACATTACCGACCGAATTTCATCGCCATTTCAGTGAAATGAATCCCGCGATACCGCCATTACCTGCGACCCACTTACATTGTAGCTTGTTGCTTAGTGAATTAGTTTTGAAGTTACCCAGGCTTTGTTCGAAGCTGATATCTACAATTTATTTGTTTACTCCGAAGAATTTGCTCATACTAGCTTGCTTACATTTTTAATTAATTAAATTGCATTGCTATTGAATAGAAATTTAGTTAATTGTGGATCGTAAAGCATTTTTCTTGATCTTAACACGTTTATGCTGATATACACAATTGTAAGGATAACCCGTGGTTGATCAAAATTTTGCTTTTGCTAGTGTAAAGTCATTCGAATTACTGATTCTTTCTGAGTATTATTAATTACAGTTTAATATCCGATTGCCTCCGTGTCAGACCTTAGAATTGTGATTTCGCAATATTTTATGTGCAGCTCGATTCACTACCACTTTTATTTTTATTTTTTGTTGTTGTCTGTCACAGATTTTCAGAACGCGCCCTTCTGAATTCAGACGGCCGCTACGACCAAAATTCAAATGTAAATTTCTCCTTGCTTAACCTTTGATCAAATGATTACGCCTGTTTTGATATTAATATTTTCTCTGACTACGTGTTGATCCCCT